GAACGTCTAGAGTGGACTTCCACCGAGAGGTCGCTGGCGATGTTGGATGGCGAGGGCCCGCTACGCTGCTCAAGTTGAACCGAGAAGAGGGCTCAGCCATTCTGGAGTTCCAAGGTCGTCCCTACTTGGTGAGCTTCAGACATATACGGCCTCACCAAGCAGGAGTCTTCGTCAGTATGACTACCATCCAGATGGACAGCTTCCAGTGGTTGAAGAACGTCATCGAGCATGGCCCCCTCTACAAGGTCACAACGATTGGATGGGTGCCTCAGACAAAGAACAACGTGACGACGTGGACTCGGGCATCCTCAGAATCCCTGGCGTATGGCGAAGCATGGTCAAGGGTGTCATCTCTTGGAAAGGCCTTGACCACCCGCAATATCGGAGGCGCTATGATGGGCCAAGGCATTAAAACCTTGCATCCTCCACGCCAGTCAGTCGGGATTCTGCTCATGTGGAAGCAAGGGGACACGGGGTACAGCAGCTACGAGCACAACAACGACGACCCGCTGACCATGAAGAAGATCACATCAATACCCACAGAGAAGCTTGTGGTTCTCTACATCTTCTGCTACGTGTTCCCAGAGTACGAGATTGTGCCAAAGTTGAAGGTGGTTCCCCCTGAAGGAGAGCAAGTAAAGGCTATGGAAGTCGACGATGCAGGAACCAATGCTGGAGCAGCGTCTTCCTCTTCGCCGCAATCTTCGTCTCCTTCCTCAGGAGGAACTGCGCTGCCGGCATCATCTGTGCCACCTGCCGACATGGACGTGGATGTCCAGGGCCACAAGCGAAAGGGTCTCGATAGCAGAACAGTCACCATTGCTCCAGAGACGAAAAAAAGCAAGCTGGACACGTACCTGGACATGGCCCGGTCTGAGAAGGTCCACACAGTGTCCCAACACAACTGGCTGAACATCTACGAGTTGATGTCCAGAAAGCAGCTTCACTCCACAGAGTACCCCATGAGTTGGCTGTTGGAGGACAACAACCATCTCACGGCGCAGTGGGATATTTACATGAGCCGGAACTACTCCGACCTGGTCAATGATGAGTCAGCTCAGTGGGGCAGCAAACAAACGCAGGCCTACATGACATCGACTTCCTCAGCGGGACCTTCTCTTCGTGTGAGCCAGTACCTCTTCACGTGGCCGGGCAGAACCAGCCAAGAGCTGCTAGTCGACATGAACACTTGCAAGATATACAAGGTCGACGAGGAGACGGACAACCTGACAGAGCAGGAATGCTACGACGTCTGGGACCAGGTCGACAGCGCCGACGAAGCAGAGATCAAGCAGTTTGTGGACACCAAGTGCTTCTCTAAGATCCACGTGAATGCGCTGACAGACGGCATGGTGGTCGTCGACTGCGCGTGGGTCCGAAAGTGGAAACGCCAGCCCGATGGCACACGCAAGGTTAAGTCAAGGATGTGTGCCCGGGGCTGTTTCGACAAGCAGAAGGACATGTTGTCGACTCGGAGCACCACAGCAACGCGGCTGAGTCAGCGCATCCTCTTGAGCACTGCGGCCAACGAGGGCTTCGACGTGGAATCCTGGGATGTTTCTGGGGCATTCTTGAAGGGCCTCAGCTTCGAGAAGATCCAGGAGATGCTGAAGTCAAAAGGCATCAAAGCTCCCACGAGGAAGGTCGCAGTCGTGGTTCCGATGAACGTGTGGAGGCACTTGGCTAAGTTCGACAAAGCGTTTGATGTTCGGGAAGACCAAGTGGGTTCCTACTTGCTGCTCTGCAACAAGCCCATCTATGGTCTCTCAGATGCTCCACTGGCCTGGCAGCTGTGCCTCCATGCTCACTTCGAGGCACAAGGAGGCGTGGCTAGTCTCTTGGACGAGAACCTCTTCAAGTGGAGCGAGAAGACATCTGGCAGAGTGCTCGGTCTTACCACAACACATGTTGACGACTGCGGCGCTGGCGGAAAGTCAACGTGGCTAAAGCAGCAGCTGGAGGCATTGGTCAACGCCTTCGGAAAGGTCACTCGCCAGACACTTCCATTTGTGCATTGCGGTGTTCTGTACTCGCGGATACCTGATGGCTTCAGCATGACACAGGATGCTTTCTGCGAGAAGTTGAAGCCCGTGGACGTGCCTGGACACAAGAAGGACGACGAGGCCTTGTGTCCCTCAGAGGTGACAGCTTTTCGGTCCATTTTGGGCGGCTTGCTTTGGCTGACGGCTACAAGACTGGACTTGGTGGCCGACGTGTGCATTTTGCAGGCGCAAGTGACACGAGCGAAAATCGTGCACCTTAGACAGGCCAACAACGTGGTTCAGCGTGCGAAAAAGGAGCTGGGCCAGAACCTAGGTCTCCACTACAGGAAGTTAGTTCCACCTCTACGTCTTGCCAGCATTCATGATTCAAGCGCAGCTGGCAACGTTCGCAACTACGCACAAGAAGGAGTTCTCGTTCTCCTCTGTGAAGATCGTCTTCATTTCGACCCTGGCGAAGAACACACGCTCGAGGACCACGAGACAAAGCTCATGGGTGGACGATCCCACATCCTGTGGGCTCATGGTGCCAAGGCGAAGCGCATCAGCTACAGCACGAGTCATGCAGAGACTCTAGCAGCGATCAGCGGCTTGGAGGCCAGCACCATGGTATCCATCAGACTGGCCGAACTCCTGTACGTGGTCAAGAAGCCCACTATCCAAGGATTGGTGGCGTTGCAAGAACGTGGAGTTCCCGAGCTTCCGGTCGACGACTACACCGACTGCAAGGACTTCTTCGAGCTTGCGTCGGGCGACAAGTCGGTGGCGCAGGACAAGAACCAGCGGCTGTACATCATGGCTTTCCGCGAGGCAAGGCTCCAAGGCCGACTCCGGTGGATCGTTCTGACCCCAACGGAATCCATGACGGCGGACGGCCTCACCAAGAGCATGATTGCGCCGCCACTCATGAAGCTCTTGAGCACCGGCACCGTGCAGTTCGCTAACGCTGGAAAGCACCACATGGTTCTCAGAACCCTTCCTTCGATGGACGAAGTTTCTGACGACCTCTTTGACATGACAGATGCCGAGATCAGATCTGCTCGCTTCGTGGCATCAAGTATGTTCTGCGGCGTAACTTGGAAGCGCTCCACATGCTACCTGGCCATGTTTGCCGCCATTGCCGCGCCAACATCGGCTACTTCCACGAGCTCTACGACGACCTCTACGTCAGCGACTACGGCGTCTCTCTGGGAAGAGGACTGGTCATGGCTGGTCACTTTGGCAGGCATCGTTCTGGCTACGGAATGGATGCTGTATGGCGTGGCTCGCTACTACCTCAGCGGCATCTTCTCATGGTTTCGAACCATCTCGACGTCGTCCACTTCAACCAGTTCTACGGGTACAGCAAGACCAACGACATCGTCTTCTACACGACCGCCTACTACGTCTACAAGTTGCCAAACGCTGGATCGCAGGATTGGGTGCCAATTCACCGACGAGGAGGTGCATGAGATCGCCACTCGCTTGGACTACGAAAACGGATGTCTTCGAGATCGCATTCAAGAGCTGGAGACGCTGTTGGAAAACGACCGGCAGTATGAGAGTCTTCAACAAGAAGAGGCAAGTGCGCTGCGCCATCGCATCAACGAGCTTCGACGAGATGCTCAAGAACATCGACAGCAGTGTCCACTGGGGCGCGAGATCTACATGACTGCTACGAACCGCGCCGACATGAAGTGGCATGCCAACCAGCAGTGTGTCCATATTCGTGGCAACGACCACAGGAAGTCATTTCGCCATTGCCTGACCTGTGCAGGAACTTAAGTCAGGAATGTGAGCGGAGTGAACTTCTGCAGCACTGTCAAGTACCTTGAGTCACATGTGCATACCGAAGCGCGCTTGGGCCCAGTGAAAGATCGATTGTCTAAGTCTGCCTTTCTTCGCCGTGGCCTGAATTTTCACGCTACACGACCCGCAGAAAGGGGTGGGGGGGGGGGGGGGGGGGGGGGGGGCAGCTTCAGAGTTGTGCCTGCTTTACAGAATAAAGTACTTGAACCTTCTGTCATGCAGGGGTCTATAAAGATGCCTTGCGCTTTGCTCACAGCCATTTTCCGCAATTTCTACTTGAGCATTGGCGACCCCTGACTTTCCCAAGCCTCTCCTGCCTGCCTTGCCTTCGCCCCAACCGGCATACGTGAATGTCTCTGCTGGGTGGACTTGGAGACTCTTTCCACTTAATCAATCACGCTTCACTCACAACACGCAGACACGAGAAACATGTGCCGTCTCGGCGTTGCTCGCCCAGTGCTGATCCGCAGGACTGTTTTTCGTTGCTGGTTGCGTTTGGTCCCTCACCCCTTCTGCCTTCCATCGCCACTTGCCTTGGTATCATCTATCTACCTGTAGGATACGTGTTCCAAATCCACGTCAACCCCCTAACGACCGTGTCCAAATACAAGTCCACGTTTGAACCCTAAACCACAAGCATGCAGGCCTGGCCGTACTGCTCTCATTCACAAAGATCAATACTCCCAACAATGGCAGTAAGCATGAGCCTTGCACCCGATTTGTCACTGGTCAAGGCTGACGCCCTGACTGGCTCCGGCGCATGCAGGAAAATACACATAACCCCAAATCCCCGTCAATCCCAAGAACCTTCTCTTTGCCGAAGGTCATATGTCGTGTGTTGTGCAGCACCACTGAGTTCAGGAGATAGGAGGGTTTCACGGGAGGGTCCCGCAAATGTCAGAAGGGTTCCCATGATAGCGTCGGGGTCCCAGCAGGGCCCACAGCCTGGAGGGTGGCGGCTTTTTGAGCGGTTCGGGCGTGTGGATTTTCGGTCGGGAAGGGGGGAAGGACACCTGCTTGTTGTTGACGCCTCTCGGCCGGAAGCCGAGGCGAATTCCAACTCTAACCCCCTGTCTTCAGGAAAAGACCAAGTCCAAGCCCCCCCCCCCCCCATGTGTGTGTGAGAGAGAGAGAGTAAGTTGTAGGTTTGTTCTTTTAGGCTTTGAAGCAAAAAGAACCTTGCCCTGATGCCTTGCAGCATGGTCTCGGCAGGCCACCCGACAGCGAAGGGGAAACACAGGACATTTGGTCAAAGCAGATGTTTTCTTCTGAGTTTTCCGGGCCTATGAAAGTGCCGGGACCTGCATCACGAGGAGCCCGAAAGATGGGCTCTCAAGTCCTCTCTACGGCCCGCCGCAAAAACTTGGCAGGCTCATTGTCTCTGCCGGGGTATGCAAGGTTTGCTGTGATGTGAGCACTTGTGAGGCTGGTGACCCGAAGTTCGCTGATGTCGAAAAGTGCCTTCCTTACTGTCAATGTCTTGCCGCCCACTGCCTCACCCAGCTCTGATGGGCTTCAGGGTGCCTAAAGTCGGCCTTCTTCGCCAAGTAAGCCAAATGTCGATTCCAGGCGAGTGACGAATTGCACCGTCTTGCACATGATGTTCAAAAGTGCAGTCAGTGTTGCTCCAGCTAGAAGACGAAGTTTGGAAGAGATGTCACAGATGTCGCAGGGGAAGATCAATCGACTGCATCGCTCCTGATGCAATCTCCTCCGACTGACATGACTGACATGCGCTGCACAACTCTTGTTCAGTGTCTTGGCTTGTTGCGCGCAAACGCATCTTGCAACACCAACAATGAACATCCTATGTAACCTTCTAGAGGCAACGTGACAGCAAGGTGACAGCAAGGTCCGGGGTCGGGGCACAGGTATGCTGCCAAGGATAACTAACATGTGCATTGGAAAGAAGATTAACAAAAACAGCATGGGAAACAGAGAAGCTCATCGTTTAATGGTCTAACGGCAACAGGGAGCTTTGAAGCAGGAGCCGCTTGCGATTGGGAAGCGGCCAGGTTCCTGCTTTCTGCTGCAGCATCATGTTGGTAGCGTGTGCCTTTGCCCATGTCATGTGCCTGGAGATGAGCAGTGCTGAGTCACGTCATACGAGTCACACGGTGCATATTTGTGTGACGGCCTGAAAGGGCGGGTCGTTTGAAGACTCCATCTCAGGGAGGTTGCTGAACGGCACTTGTTGCAAAATGAAGGCTGCCTGCACTAAGGCCAGGCTAGCAGTGTGGTGGTTGTCACCACTCCGGTCAACAGTCCAACACTTGGAAACATTCGGTGTGAGACTTCAAGTTTGCTGTGGCACTGCTGCGCATTCTGACAGGGACGAACAGTGTTTCTATGGCCCGCCGCTCAAATGTACAAATAGAAGGGTGGTATGCGCAAGCCTGCGAGACAAGAAAGTAGTTCGGCTTGTATGTGGATCTGTATGTCATGCGGTTCTTCAGGACCGATCCAGCAGCTGTCAGCACTCCCAGGCAATGCCCTCACCTATGGCTGAGTACGGCTGAGTGCAGCTGCGATCTCACACTGTGTGTGTGGCAGGATGCTGACACGCTTCTGTCGGCTGTGGAAAGACTCCACCAGGCAGGGTGGTGACCTCGTACTGTTCTTATCTGCAGACGATATTTAGTTAAATTTAGTTGATTTCATTTGCTTTGTGGAGGAGGCCGCGGCCATGCAGGATTTTCGTCCTCCGAGCTGGTCCGTCTTGCGTCGTCATCCAGATTCGCTCATTGACAACGGCCAGGCCGGAGTCCCGGCCTGCAAAGTGTACGGTTTCTGAGACTTCCTCGAAAGGCGATGCTGGAGGAGCAAGAAGCACTTCATGAGAGGCCGACATTGTATAGAACGATAAGGGCTTCACACAAGGACAGCAGACAGCAGACAAAAGAAAAGCTTGGACTGCATCTACGGATTGGATGTCTGGATTTAGTGGCGTTTCTTGGGGCCGGGGAGCTTCAGTATAGTCTAAGCGCTAGTGAAGTGCCCGCAGAGAGCGAAGGAGAGAACAACGCTCCGCTATGGAGTACGAAGTCCCAGCATACACACATTTGTTTCATGGTGTGTCGCCATGCTGGATTAACGTCTGCAACACTTGCAATACCACATGCTACATACCACTTGCTCAAACTTGCTGCACGTTGCAATGTCGCACATGTTGTACATCACTTGCTCCAACGGAATTTGCTGCGACATGGGACTCGTTCGACAAATGCTACACATGACATCTGGCACGTGCTGCAAATCACTTGCTTCGACACCGGTTGCTCCACGGAAAAGTGTTCTACTTGTAAAATGTACGTTCCGATATCAAACCAGGAGCGATGATGTACTAATGTACACCGAGGATGTTATCGTTAGGTTCAGCATCATTTGCAGGTACAGGGTGGTAGATCAGACCGCCCTTGTTGCGTCAGGTAGGTGCACCTTATCCATATGCCCATACTTCTTGAAAAGGTGCTTGTTCTCTTCATCGGATGTTCAGCAACTTCCCACACACACACAAGCTATCGCAAGCTGTACGTAAACTAAGGCGCAGCACTGCTTGGATGAATGCCAGGTGTAAGCACGGGCTCTGCAATCGTAGCATCTTGCAAGGTGAATGAAGTAGGGGTCCATGGTCAAAGTACTTTCACCGTCCTGAGCACGCTAAGACTAAGACTTGTCCAGGTCCAAGCTTTACAAGCTGATGCAGCAAGAAGGCCGCAGCTCAGAAGCGTGGTTACAGTGTGCTACAGTGCCAGGGAGACCTTTGGTGGCAAGCTTCCTGATGAGCAGGCTTGTACTCGCCCATGCGTCGTCACGTTGCTGAAAATGTGCGTTCCCGACTCAAGGAGGACTCGGACTGCAGATGTTGCGCTGGGTGTGGCTGCTAGGAGGAAGCCGAACTGAGTGAACAAGTGGGCCCCTTCGTGACAGGAGAGTGACAAGGTGGCTGCGGAGGGGCTTGAGATGCAGCACAAATGTACAAATATCCGGCTGAAGCCCTGGCAGTGCTGTGTAGCCGGCATGCTCTGAATGTAGCTTGCACAATCAAGGAAGAATCTGGGCCAGATGATGAACGCAAGGACCGATCACACATCATGCATCATCATTCAGCATGATCCTTCTTTCCTCTTGTAACATGCAGCTTGTAGATGTTTGCAACTTAAGCATCACACGTTTGAAGGAGAGATCTTGCATCCCTACGGCGCGCCATCGTCGGGAGAAACATCGATCCGGCCAGAGCCCAAAGCTGAAGAGCATTGAAGGGACTTGCTTCCTGGAATGCGGCCGCCAGGATGAGCAGCTGAAGTCCGGCTTGCTCCTGATGGGTTGATGTTTTATTAAGAATGAATTCAAGCAACGAATTCGTTCGTTTAACCATTCTTTTCGAGGGTAGCAAGTTCATGCTGAGTCCCATCGCGTCTGTTCAAGAGCCGCTCGCAACTGCCAGCCCTTGCCAACTGCTTATAGCGGGAATTACTGATGTTCATGCAACAGTACAGTTCTTGAGAAAACATGCAGTTTTTACTGTGAGGGAAACAGCAGTGGCGCTTTCGCCTGTGGAAGACGTACGTCAGCCAAAGGCTGGTCCGTCTGACGTAGCATGGGGAGCGACCCGAAAAGCCTTCAGAAGCGGATGCTAGGAAATACACCGAGCAAGCCACCTACGCTGTGGACATCGCTAAGGCATCAGAGGTCATGTACGCAATTGACGATCTGAGGCGCGTGCATGTAGCAGCTGCATGCAGCTGCTCTTCATTTGGCTGCAATCAGCAGAGGCCTGTGGAGTCCTGCCATGAAAGCTTTTGGGGCTGCCTTCCCAGGTTGGCTTTCCCTTGAAGGGAATGTCCAGCCCTGTTTCAGTAGAGAGATGCGCTGAGCTCTGGGATTTTCTGGAGTCAGCTGGTAAAGACGGGACAAGTGCTTTGCTGGCCGCATGTTACAGTCGGCTGCCCGCCCAACTTTCATTCTGGACAGTTGTGTTATGCGCACGTTACTCTGCCTGGTCTCCGCCGTCTCAACTGCGAAAACTCGCATGGTGTTTTGAGCTGGTCTCCTGGACTCTTATGGACTCTTCATACGCATCTCCACAAGAGCAAGGCAAGAAACACGCAAAGTGAACAGACAAAGTGGACCCACAGAGCCACAGAGTGAACACTAGCTCAGTGTGGCTTTTCTGTGTTCATGCTCTTTTTCTTCAGCCGGCAAGAACCTCCGCAATGAAGCCACACAAGTGCCCTTCTAGGCGCTCAGCAAAGCAGCTGACTCAACATGAGCGAAGAGACGCTCCTATGCTCGTACATCAAGCTTGGAAGAGCGGTGGCCCACACCATGGCATCCAATGCGTACAAACTCGGCAAAAAACAGGCACTGCTGAAGCATCTATAGGTAAAGGATGGAGCACAGGCACCTGCCCTTGCCAACATTCTCCAGGCCAGTGTGTCAGCGTAAGTCCACGTGAGGATTGTGCTCAAGCTGTACTGGTACTGGCAATTGTGAAAGCAGTCGCTGGGCAGGGTGACCACCAATGAGGTGCCCCTCAGTTCAGTGGACTCAGCCAACAGACTTCGTCAAGAAGCAGCATCTCTAATGCTTTACTTTCGTCGTTTTTGGCAGCTCTGCGAAATCGAGTATGACTTCGACGATGAGTCTGCGGTGATGACCTTTATTCAGGTGCAGTCATGTTGCCTGGGTAGACCACTTTCTTGCTTGCACAGAGAACTGTGAATCTTCGAGGGTGTTGTGTTGTCTGTTGTTTCTCAATAGTGGTTCTCAGTGTGAGAGGATATTGCGAATCCCATGAATCCACGCGGCAAATGTTTCGTCGCGGAGCTGGAGGCTGGGAGTGTACATGTCACCCTTCCGTGCGGTGCGCGGATGTCACCCTCCAGGTATGCTGCGCGCTGCGCGAACATTGTCCCGCACAATGTAACCCTGTTGAGTATTGGAGGTCCCCTGGGTGGACATCAGCTTCTATGCCAAGCAGCAGCTGTCACCTGGCAATCGTTCATGTGGGGTATGATGCAGTCAATTCAGTAGATGCCCTTTTCTTGATTCGAGGTTGAAGAAGCCCCCGTTGGAAGAATGTGGAGTTGTCATCGACTGTGGAAGTGTGGAAAGATTCTTGATTCCAACGATCAGGCGGGGCACTGCCGGGCTCGCCTTGTGCAACTTGAGAGATTTCAAAGATTTCTTGCCTTTCTCAGGACCAGGACAGCGGGTAACGGCAGTGTGGCAGTCTCTTGACTCACAAGTCGGGATGTTCGGTCACTGGGGCAGTGGTGGGGGGTGTGGGGGTGTCGTGGGGGGGGGGGGGGGTGTGTGTGCGATGTATCCGCTGGCCAACGCATCCATACCCGCACGACGATGATGTCTGTGTTACCAATGCGTGTCCGTGTTGCCGGTTCAGATTTCTTGGTGTAACCCAAACCTTAAACCCTCTACCCAGAGTCCTTGACGCTTAGCCTTGAAACATAAACCTTGCGATGTTCTGCCTTTGCGAGTCAGGCTTTGAGGCCTCTGGATTGCAGAGTTTGGCCTGGGAAGCTTGTAAACATGGGGCCTTGACGTTTTTGTTTCAGTTGGGGCTTACGTATTTGCAGTTAGGGGCTCTAGCCTTGCAAGGTCGTGGAAAATAGGCTTCTTGCCTTGCGGGTTTCCTGTTTGTTGAGGATGTTAAGATTTCGGGCTATGTCAGCTATGTTCTAAACGTTTTTGTCCGGGCCCTTTGAAAAGTGATCGTAAAACTAGCTAGGCCACAAGTTTTCGGCCCCAAGTTCAGTTCCACACACGCTCCGGTTTCGTGCGCATGGACCTGAAAATCCGCATGCTGATGTTCTGTGATTCTGCAAAGCTTCAAAACACATAAGTGCATACAGGCGTCGCTACCAAGTTTTCGCAGGATCTTACTCGAGGAATATTCCTCGGCCATACTGTGTTGCGTGAGGTGAAATGCATCGACATTGCCGCGCCCATTAGCCACGATGAGGACTCGGCGAGAGCGAGAGGGATGTCATCTCCGGGTGTGATCGAGTGGTTCATGAACGGCCGATGAGCACAACGAGAGTGGGGGGGAAGACATTACGATTGAAGTAGACAGCCGACCAGGATCATGAGTTTACATGAGTTTACATGAGTTTATAATATGGGTTTTGCATCTCCGGGTGTTTCCGCGCTTCGTGTCTCATGAAGCATTGCAGGGCGAAGCCTACGAGCGGGTCGGAATCCGGCTTCCAACCGGATCTTTCACATACGTGCTCTGGCTGTGCAAGATTCAGAGACTCATGTGGCCGCTGCCAGTCCGAAGTCTGCCGTGCAGCAGAGGCTTTCTTCGAGTCGCAGTACTTGGCGCGAGCAGAGGCAGGGCATGCGGGCTTGGGAAGGTTCTCGTGTGAGGATCTTGCAGATATTATCGTTGTTATGATGATGATGATTGTTATTATTACTACGACTACTACTAGTATTATTACTATTGTCATTATGATTACAATAATAATAATAACAATAATAATAAGTATCATTTTTCTTCTTATTATTCTTATTATTATCGTTGTTATTATGACTACTATTAATTAATATTAATTCGGGTCAGGATCCGCGCAGAGGCGCGCTTTTCCTGATCGATCCGAACATGATTCTGTGGCCCGCCCCGTTTTGATTCCGGCGCAAAGGGGGGCTCTGTGCCGCTCTGTTTTCTGTGTGTGCTGAGCCCCTCCCAAGGTGTCAGAATGCAGCTTGGCTAGTTTCGTCCGGTCATGACAGAAACTAGAATCATCTCAGAGAGAACCGAGGCGATGACGGAGGAGCAGAAGAAGGCGAGAGGGGGTTTTCGGCTTTTGGGCGTTGCCTTCCGCTCTCGGTTTGGATCAGCAGCAGTGAGACTTCCTTTTGCAGGAATTCCAGACTTATGGCGGCAAGAAAGTCCTGTACTTTGACGTTCTGGATGATCCTAACATTAAGGCAGTTCTGGCAAAAACTGCGGTGTAAGCAGCTGCAAAGCAATCGTGAGACAAGATGGCTTTGTGACGCAGGAGAGAAGGGCAGAAATCCAGCGCTGCAGGGAGAAGGGTGACGAGCAACGTAGAAGATACGAGGAGGCGCGGAAAAGTCGTGGACATTCGTGGGGACCGACCCGGCAGCCCCACAATGCCCCACACAAAGGGAAGTTCTGCAGGAAGATGAGCGCTTTTGTGCCTATTTTGGACCTGCTAGGCCGACAGGAAGTGGGAAGAAGAGCGAGAGCAAAGACTCTTGCAGGCATGCAGCAGCATTACACACAGTACACTTCACTTTATGTCTGGATGGAATCTTACGGATGGTGCGCACCCCTCGCCTACGGGTGCAACTCTTAGCGTTGGCACGCTGCCCGCCTCGGCCGCAGCCATAGGGGTTTGGGGCTTGTTAAGTTTTGAGGTTTGTCTTTTGGGCTTTTGGGGTTCATAGGCTTTGGGTCTTTTAGGGTTCACAGGGTTCATGAGGCCTTTGTTGGGTACACTTAGGGTTAGGGCTTCTGGGGTTCATGGGCCATGGATTCATGGGCCATGGGGTTTCGGGATTTGGGCGTTTAGGGGTTTATGGGTGGTAAACGCTAGTTTCTGAGCTACAAAAGAGTGTTGGGTTTGGGGTTCGGGCTTTTGGGGTTCGTAGGCTTTAGAGTTTTAGGGTTTAGGACTCTGGGGATTGATAGGGTTCGGGCCTTTGCGGCGTAGGTTTTTCGGGATTCAGTGCGGTCTGAGGGTCTTACGGCCGTCGGTTTAGGGTTTAGGGTGGAGGGGCACTAAGACCTAAGCCCGAACCTTAACACCCTAAACCCTAAACTGAAATTCTAAGCCCTTAAAACCCTAACCCTAGAGCCCTTGACCAGAAGCCCTAAATCCTAACCCCTATAATCGCCTCCAACACACAGGGGGCCTTTTGAGGTTTCCAGGGTGGCTGTGGGAGAACTTTGTCAATGCAAGACAAAATCGCCAGACATTCGCCATTTTCTGTTTGCAAAATCCTGCAAGCATTCGTCGTTTGAGATAAGCTGACAACACTTTCGCGTATTGTTTCACATGCTAATGTCTACTGTCATCTGCGTCTCCCTACTTACCGATTTTCCTGCGTCTACCCAGTTTTACCCAGTTTGAAGAATCCTCGACATGTTCAGCGAAGCTTGATGATGTCCACAAGACCGCCATGCAGCTTCTTGGAACCATGGCACGCCCGAACCAGACGGGGGTCGCAGTCCCTCATTTGCAGACGAATGACGAGCGGATGATGGGGGCGACATCCCGCCCCTTAGCAAACATAATGACGCAGGTGTGCACGGTTGTTTAAGTGTAGTTGCATGGTCCCTTAGTATGGGCCCTTAAACGGGGACCCCGTATATACCCCTAATTTATACCCTATACAAATTTTAGGGATGTTTAGGGCCATATTAAGGGCCCATGAAGCTACCCCTAAAGGTTAGTATTATAGGCGCAGCTCACCAGCAATCAGGTTAATCCCGTGATTTGTGTGTGAGCCATGCACATCCGGCCTTCACACAAAGCAAAGGAGTGACGGGAATGACGGGCATAGACGGTTCCGGAACCAAGCATGCGCGGCTTGCAAATGAACAGTGGGGGTTTTGGGGGCAGCGCAGCCCTTTTTTTCGGGGGCAGCGGCAGCCCAGCCCTTTTCCAAGCAGAAGATCCCGACATCTCGTTTTGCCGTTATACTTGTTGGCTTCACTCACAGCCCCATGCTCATTCCAATCTTGCCCGCGCTTGCTTGTGCCCCTGCGCTCACCCAGCTTTTGGTCGCAACCTGCCCCCCCCCCCCCCCAGGTCCTGCGCAGGGGCATCCAATCTCCCCTGCAATTTTTCCGAATGTGAGAACCCAATGCTGCAAACGTGTGTTGAGCATGAAGACTCAGTTACTAGCATCCAACCGGGTACCACCCACCCAGTCACCTTCGGCAACAGCAACAGCAGCAAGAACCGCAGCAGCGGCAGAAGCGATCAGAGCAGCGACAGCACCATGACCGACTGTTGCCTTCGCGTGCGCAGATTGTTCTCTTCAAATTGTTGGCTTGTGTCTCAGCAGTTCTTGAATCACAGCGACACAATTAAATGATGCATCAACCTTTGGGTTGTCCAGCGTTTCCATACTCAAACCCCGCTGGGTGAATGGCCCAGGTTCCAGGTTTGCATGACAGGGAAACATTCATCATGTGCCGCCGAACGTCGCGAAACGTATGGCATGAGCCTCGGGTGAGGTGGGAGGGGCGTACGGAGGGGAATGGGGTGCTCTTGACGCCGGACAGAGGAATTGACAAATCGGGTTGCGGCTCTTGATGACATCGTGACTGGGCCAGGCACAGCTCGACGCGGAGAAGCCCAAGCTGAGCAAAAAGGACATGCTTTGTTCACTTTTTGGCGCAGTTTCAACTGCTTGCAGTAGACTCAGTAGACAACCGAAACATGGCATTTTGGTATACCCTGTCGACAGAAGAATGAAATCTGACACATGCATCTCATGGCGTACTCTGCGCTTTCTTGTCTATTTCTGATACGGAGGAATTCTCAAAGATTGTGACACCGAATGGGCTCGTCATGAGATTGTTACGCCTCCCGTTTGGAGAAGATCTGCACAACAAAACAATTAAAGGACCGGATAACCCCACATGCAAAGTTATACGTGAATTTGATTGAGTGAGGGAGTAAGCGAGCGAGTGAGTAAGTGAGTGAGAACAGTTTCCCCCTAAGCCGTCAACCCTAAATCCCAAACCTTTGACCTGGAACTCTAGACCCTAACCCCTTCAAACCCTCAAAGCTGTATCGGCCACGGGACCGGACCTCTGCTGTTGCCGGCCAGACCTCTGCTGTTGCCGGCCAGACCTCAACAGCAGAGGTTTGGCCGGCAACAGCAGAGGTCTGGCCGGCAACTCCAGGGCCCCTGAAGGCTGCGCCTGCCAGCACAAACGACACCTGTGTCGCGCCTGCAACACTCTCCGTCTCTCTCTCTCTCTCTGTCTCTGTGTGTGTGTGTGTGTGTGTGTGTGTGTGTGTGCGTGCGTGTGTTATGTGCGTGTGTCGTGTGCGTGTGTCGCGCGCGGCACCGGTCCAGGCCCCCGAAATATACCGCTCCTGCCAGCACAAACGACACCTGTGTCGCGCCTGCCAGCGTTTCCCGCACCGCCAGGCGCGCGCGGCACCGGTCCAGGGCCCCTAAGTGCCGCGCCTGCCAGCACAAACGACACCTGTGTCGCGCCTGCCAGCGTTTCCCGCCCCCCCAGGCGCGCGCGGCACCGGTCCAGGGCCCCTAAATGCTGCGCCTGCCAGCACAAACGACACCTGTGTCGCGCCTGCCAGCGTTTTCCGCGCCCCCAGGCGCGCGCGGCACCGGTCCAGGGCCCCTAAGTGCCGCGCCTGCCAGCACAAACGACACCTGTGTCGCGCCTGCCAGCGTTTCCCGCGCCCCCAGGCGCGCGCGGCACCGGTCCAGGGCCCCTAAGTGCCGCGCCTGCCAACACAAACGACACCTGCGTCGCGCCTGCCAGCGCAAACGACCTTGTGTCGCACCTGCCAGCGTTTCCCGCGCCCCCAGGCGCGCGCGGCACCGGTCCAGGGCCCCTAAGTGCCGCGCCTGCCAGCACAAACGACACCTGTGTCGCGCCTGCCAGCGTTTCCCGCGCCTGCAGGCGCGCGCGGCACCGGTCCAGGGCCCCTAAATGCCGCGCCTGCCAGCACAAACGACACCTGAGTGAGTGAGTGAGTGAGTGTGTGAGTGTGTGAGTGTGTGAGTGGTGTGAGTGAGTGAGTGAGCGAGCGAGCGAGTGAGTGAGTGAGTGTGTGAGTCAGTAAGTGAGTGAGTGTGTGTGTGTGAGTGAGTGTGAGAGTGAGTGTGAGTGAGTGAGTGAGTGTGAGTGTGAGTGTGAGTGAGTGTGAGTGAGTGTGAGTGAGTGTGAGTGAGTGTGAGTGAGTGTGAGTGAGTGTGAGTGAGTGTGAGTGAGTGTGAGTGAGTGTGAGTGAGTGAGTGAGTAAGTGGAGGAGAGTGAGTGAGTAAGTGGAGGAGGAGGAAGGAGGAAGGAGGAAGGAAGGAAGGAAGGAAGGAAGGAAGGAAGGAAGGAGGAAGGAAGGAAGGAGGAAGGAACGCGGGACAGCCCCAAAAGTAAGAACCCCACACAAAGATGTGGGGAACAAGGATATGCGAGGCCGTGGCCACCTGTGTGGAAAGGGGATTGGCGGGTCGGACAGATGCGGACCAAGAAGCCCAAGACCGCAAAAAACGGAAGCAAGAAGAGAAAAAGACACTGCAACGTTTGTGTCGGAACCTGCCCCGGTTTGAGGTCCATGTAATGGAAGCATTTGAGTTTCAGGGAGGCATGGGAAGAGCGTTCAGAAGTACTAGAAGTACACATGCCATGGCACACGCGACGTTCTTCTTTTGGATGGAGGCCTCTATCGCACGTCAGGTGACGCACCCGAAGTTCAGCTTCTTGTTCAATATGTGCTGTTTCCGATCACGAGTCGGGGGAATGTGCACACACACGCACACGCACACACGCGCACGCGCACCCAGCGAGAGCTCAAGTCTTCAACTTTTTTCAAGCTTTCAGCTTTGCCTGGGGAATGAATCTAAGCGTGCCAAGCTTGGCAGCTCACGCAGGCCAAGCAGAAGGCTCGACAGGCCAAGAAAGCGTCTAAGCCTGGGACAGAAGAGCCGAAGGACTTGCACATCGCTGCACATCTTGAAAGATCTTGAAACAAACTTTCAGGTCAAGGCAGTACTCAGTTCAAACTGGTCAGGAACCGGTTGCTGACAAAGCAGATGACGAACCAAATCTGGATGAAGACTCCGAGCAGGACACTGTGCGTATTATCAGTGTGCTATGAGGGGGTAGTTGCAGGACTTCTCATGTTTTTGAAGGAGCGTCTTCACAAGCAGCGCCAAGCAGAGCGACGAGCCAAAATTGAGGAGGCAGGAAGTAGATTCTTTCGATTGAGATCTTGGTTGCCGGCCTTTGTCTTTTTTGCACGCAGGACTTGAAGCAAGAGAAGGAACAGGATTCGCACCGAAAAAAGTTAGAAATGGCAGAGGCCATCCTCGCACAGACCATCTTTCGACCATCTTGTGGAGCTGTCCTTCCTTGCCCTGTGATTCTTGTCAGGCCAAGCGGCAGGCCCAAGAGGAAGCTAATCGAATCGCAACCATGAAGACTCTTCTGCAGAAGGCTTCTAGACCCAGATGTATCCTAATCGTTGTTGGGCTGTGCACTTGCCAGATGCGCGGAAACTACAGTTGACATTTCTAAACATGCCTATGGCATTGCAGGTGCAATCCTCCTTGCCCAGCTCCACCCAGGCGCTGAGATGGTGTAGCGAAGTGGGAAGTCTTCTTCTCCAGGTGTGCATTTAGCTGTGGACAGCTTCCAGATTTCTGCATGGCCAACTAGAACAACAACTCTGCTTGAATTGCTGCGATTCTTGTGGATGGAAGGCAATTAGATCGGCTTTGAATCCTGCCTTTGCTTCCGAGTTTCTGTGCCAACGGTCGCACCTTTCGTGGCGTTCTGATGCGCTGTGGGATGCGTTGTGCGGAAGGGCTCGACTCGGCCGTCTTCTCCAGCGGAGGGCTTCGAGAGTCAAGGGAAGAGTAAGGGCCGAGTCAAGGGTGGTAAAGGTTGTGCTCCAAACAGAACTGTCAATCTGTACTTGTGGCCTTGAGACATTCATTCGTTTTTGAAGCAGCGACAGGCAGCATGCGGATGATTCGTTTGCACTTCCGCCTGCTCCAACAAGAAGGGAGACAGAGGGGAGACAAGCGTTGCACTACGACACACCGGGCGCGAAACAAATCGAGACAATCCACCGAACACCCTGACACACCCGTCCAATGTTGGACGGGAGACAAGGGGAGACAAAAGCCAGCGGAGATCCGGCAGAGACACACGCCATAGGAAATCCGTCAGACCGCGTTAGCCTTTGTGATCTATGTGCATGTTGCTTTCATCCGGAGCACACTTGCTGCTCAGGGCTACTCCGGGCAGACCATCTGAGCTGGCTGCGCCATGTACGCCTCTCTGTGCTCCGTTTCGGGACGGCGAATGGCTGCCTGAGCTTCTGATCATTTAATTGCAAGCGCGCTCGGAGGCTTGCTGTTGCCGCAGATATGATGCGGCGATTGGCCAACACCAAAGTTTGCTGGTCATGGAGGTGCTGGTGCCCAGCGCCCCACGTTTACTGGTTCAGCACCTCTGCGTTTCAGGACTAGTGCTGTTAGATTGTCAGTAGCACGGACACAGCACGAACTAAGTGCTGCGTGCTAAAGGCAGCCATGCAACTTGCCACCATCTCATGATTGCTGTGTCTCTACCTACCATTGCGAAGCGACAGCACTTGCAATGTGACTGATGCATTTTCGTCCTTTCGGCTGTCAGTACTCTGGTAAAGGCCAGGCTCAGTGGCCAGATCTGCTGAGCGTGGGGGCGCACAGTACAGACATTAGTTTCAGGTGTTAGAGGGTGGATCACCGAGTGCTTGCATTTTTGAGCTTCATGCACAAGAGCAGCAGCTGAGGAGCCAGCATGGGAAACGCCGGAACGTGCTGTTCATCTGGTGGAGGCTGCGCTTCCAGGTAGTTATCCGCTCTGCCTCTTTTGTCGCCTTTGACTGTGTTGTCAACCTAAAGGTGGATGAGTTCACAGTTTGAGACGGACGTGGGTAATTAGAACTAGCTTGTGTAAGCATGTGATATTTGAAGCTGACTTCAGATTCGCGCTGTTGCGGGAATGGCACTTCAAACGATCCTGTGCTCGGCTTATATGCTTACCGGCATGCTGCAAAAGCTGCGTCAGGCCTTACCTTTTCTAACCTTTGTGTGAGTTGGTGAGTTGTCAGATTCTGAGGGCCATGGCCCCGTGGACCCTTTGCGCGATGAGGTCTGGTAATCTCTTGCCTCAAGTGATCTTGTAACCTCGCGCTGTCCAAACAAAACACAGGTGAAAGGCATCGATCCAGCACCGCCTCCTGGGGTCAAAGAGGAGGGGTATGCCAATGCCATTGAATTCCGATACAGTATTCTCCTCGAAGTTCTCCGCGCTTTGCCCACTTCCCCATCCTAGCTGTGCCAGTGCTGATGTATGCAGTCTCCCAAAACATGCTACAGTGTCTGCACTGTCGGTGGTGCAGGACATAAAAACAGAATCTGCTGAAGCAGGCCAGGACATGGTCCTCTTGGTACTCGTACACCCTGCAGTGCCTGGAATTTCTGGGGAGGCAACAGCTTAGCGGCAATGGCAGAGGCGCATAGCGTGTAATGTGGGCCGGAGTTGGCGCATACAGTCGCCCTTCTATTTTCGGAAAGCATGCGGCTGCGCGCATGCTGAGCATGTGGGCAAAGGACCAGAAGAAGGATGAAAGCGGAGCAGACGAGGTGCTTGTTGAGAGTGCACAAATGGAACCGTCATTCCTGGATTTCTGATGTTGGATTACAGGAGCGACAATTCGTGACGTACCAGGCTCCTGCTTTGGTAGATGTCGATACCAAGGATACAGTAAATACAGTTAGTCATGACTCACGTCGAGTTAGAATCATGCAGCAAATCCTTGTGCCGGCATGGAGGTCCCTTTACATGCCATCCCATGTCTGATGCCTGAAGCAGGATGGTTCCACCTATACTGGAATGATCAAGAATGGTAAACGCCACGGCCCGTGCCCTAGAAGCAAGCTTTGCGGACGCATGGCAGAGCCGGTAATAGCCGGCACAAGCCTATCCTTGCCACAGTGTTGCAGGGCATGGAGTCTGGCAGTCGAAGAGCTGCCAGTACGAGGGCCAGTGGAAGGTACGCCCCCATGCCTCAAGTCTTGGTCACATTCGGCTACACTCCAAAGGACTTCTTGTCGAGACTTTTGAGATGCCTTTCACAGGAAGATCAGCAGGATGGCAATGGCCGTCAGACGTGGAGCGATGGACGCGTCTATGAGGGTGCTTTCCCCAGATCCCGATTTGGAATGAAATCAATTTTGAGTTCTTTCGTGGAGTTCATATGTCTCAGGACAGTTCCACAAGGGTCGCTTCTCAGGAACTGGCAAGATGGTGTGCCGCCTAAGGACAAGTTCAGTGAGTGGAGTTGGAACACAGCTGGAAGTGATGCTGGCGTCCTTTCACACTGATCTCAGGTTTGGCACACGCAGAAAGGCATGTTGGTCTACGAGGGTCAGTACAAGGACTTATCGACTTAGTCTGCCCACTGCCAACCCGGTATCAGTTGCTTCGAGCACATTTGGATTTCGAGCTTCGTGGTGCCTTTCCGCTGAGCAGTTGGAGAAGCCAGGATGACCTCAAGGATGGACATGGGATGTTCATTTGGCCAGATGGCAGGTCCCCAATTTGCTCTATTAGAGGTGTCGGGAGCTCTCAGTGGATCTCGTCTCGTTGTCTTGTGGAGCTGAGGCCGAACGTACGATGGAGAATGGAGAGAGGGCAAGCGCCATGGAACAGCACTCAACTGTTTCGGAGTACTTGTACCAAGCTGTTCGGGCACATCACCATATCGTGTTAGCAAGTGTCCGAATGTGCGAGTAGGCATTTTTCAAGGCCGTGGCACCTACATCACCGCAAAGGCGGAGAGGAAGGTGGGCCAGAGTGTGCATGACAAGACAAGCTAGTCGGTGCACAGCATTTCGCTCTGCGGAAAATCTGGGGGTCGAAGGTGGGATATTGGGTGGAAGACAAGTTCGATCGATGGGAGAAGGACGCTCAGGGATTTTCGTCACGGTGGACACATGTTTAGGAAGCCGTGGCGCTCAGTCTTGTGCTTTGCTCTGGATCTCTTGGGAATGCCACGTGCCACTGCGCGAGAAGACATGTCAATGCAGGAAGATGCAGCCGCTTCGTGAAGCTAGCAGGCCCACTGTCTTGCTCCTGACCTCTCCTCCCCCTTCATCATGCTTCCCCGACCTTTCTCTGTCCTTTTCTCGGCTTTGCTTGAGCTTGGCATCATGGCCTCGCCCATCCTGTCTTGCATCCCTTTCCACACGTGAGCAGAACACCAACTGACACTGTATTGTATGGTGAGGCCTTGGAGGACGAAGCCAAGCTCCGTCTTCGCATGTTTGCGACCAAGGTTGACGATGGCTGGTCTTTCTTTTGGCCCTGTAACGTAATGTTCTGTGCTAGCATTGTTCGCAGTTCACGTGCTTAGTTGTAGTTGTGCTGTTGGTTTATGGGCACAATCTCTGCAGCTTCCTTCAAGCGTCGAGGAAGCATAAATTCATACTCTAAAGCAATAACTTTGCACATGCAAATCTGAAGGCCCAGAATGGTTTGGACTGTCAGTTGTTCAGCATGCATCTTTGGTCTCTGCTCTGGGCTGATTCACTGATCTTTTAAACAACTGCATGCAGCATCAGTATGCAGCAGTTGGCCTTTCAGCGATTGGGCCTTAAAGCTATGACTTGCGGCCATGAGCAAAGAGCTCACATGAAGGTTCGTGGTGCTCCACGTGTGCCGTTTCACCAGCACTGTGTGCTCACAGGTAGTGCATTAACGAACCACGACTGTTCGTCTTCACTATCATGCTGCCGTGCTTCGCCAGGCGGGAATATCCCACTACTCCGTGTGCCTGGAGTGGAAAAGAAAAGCTGTGCATGTACAGGGTGGGAGTTGAGCGGTTGGGGGCGGGCACATGGTAAAGGTTGGTCATCCGCACCCTTCCAACATGACGGGAGACCAGGGGAGACAAAAGCCGGCGGAGATCTTGCAGAGACACAAGCCACAGGAAATCCGTCAGACCCAACAGGACAGCCTCTTGAAGGGCTTGCCTTGGGTTTCAGGCGAATTATGGGGTAGCCGCGTTAGCCTTTGTGATCTACGTGCATGTTGCTTTCATCCGGAGCACACTTGCTGCTCAGGGCTACTCCGGGCAGACCATCTGAGCTGGCTGCGCCATGTACGCCTCTCTGTGCTCCGTTTCGGGACGGCGAATGGCTGCCTGAGCTTCTGATCATTTAATTGCAAGCGCGCTCGGAAGGCTTGCTGTTGCCGCAGATATGATGCGGCGATTGGCCAACACCAAAGTTTGCTGGTCATGGAGGTGCTGGTGCCCAGCGCCCCACGTTTACTGGTTCAGCACCTCTGCGTTTCAGGACTAGTGCTGTTAGATTGTCAGTAGCACGGACACAGCACGAACTAAGTGCTGCGTGCTAAAGGCAGCCATGCAACTTGCCACCATCTCATGATTGCTGTGTCTCTACCTACCATTGCGAAGCGACAGCACTTGCAATGTGACTGATGCATTTTCGTCCTTTCGGCTGTCAGTACTCTGGTAAAGGCCAGGCTCAGTGGCCAGATCTGCTGAGCGTGGGGGCGCACAGTACAGACATTAGTTTCAGGTGTTAGAGGGTGGATCGCCGAGTGCTTGCATTTTTGAGCTTCATGCACAAGAGTAGCCAGCATGGGAAACGCCGGAACGTGCTGTTCATCTGGTGGAGGCTGCGCTTCCAGGTAGACTGTGTTGTCAACGTAAAGGTGGATGAATTCGCAGTTTGAGACGGACTTGGGTAGGATGAGCTTGTGCAAGCATGCCATATTTGAAGCTGACTTCAGGGAATGGCACTTCAAATGATCCTGTGCTCGGCTTATATACTTGCCGGCATGCTGTAAAAGCTGTGTCAGGCCTTACCTTTTCTAACCTCTGTGTGAGTTGGTGAGTTGTCAAATTCTGAGGGCCACGGCCCTGTGGACCCTGGCCCTGCGGACCCTTTGCGCGATGAGGTCTGGCAATCTCTTGCTTCAAGTGATCTTGTAACCTCGCGCTGTCCAAACACCAGCACCGCCTCCTGGGGTCAAAGAGGAGGGGTATGCCAATGCCATTGAATTCCGATACAGTATTCTCCTCGAAGTTCTCCGCGCTTTGCCCACTTCCCCATCCTAGCTGTGCCAGTGCTGATGTATGCAGTCTCCCAAAACATGCTACAGTGTCTGCACTGTCGGTGGTGCAGGACATAAAAACAGAATCTGCTGAAGCAGGCCAGGACATGGTCCTCTTGGTACTCGTACACCCTGCAGTGCCTGGAATGTCTGGGGAGGCAACAGCTTAGCGGCAATGGCAGAGGCGCATAGCGTGTAATGTGGGCCGGAGTTGGCGCATACAGTCGCCCTTCTATTTTCGGAAAGCATGCGGCTGCGCGCATGCTGAGCATGTGGGCAAAGGACCAGAAGAAGGATGAAAGCGGAGCAGACGAGGTGCTTGTTGAGAGTGCACAAATGGAACCGTCATTCCTGGATTTCTGATGTTGGATTACAGGAGCGACAATTCGTGACGTACCAGGCTCCTGCTTTGGTAGATGTCGATACCAAGGATACAGTAAATACAGTTAGTCATGACTCACGTCGAGTTAGAATCATGCAGCAAATCCTTGTGCCGGCATGGAGGTCCCTTTACATGCCATCCCATGTCTGATGCCTGAAGCAGGATGGTTCCACCTATACTGGAATGATCAAGAATGGTAAACGCCACGGCCCATGCCCTAGAAGCAAGCTTTGCGGACGCATGGCAGAGCCGGTAATAGCCGGCACAAGCCTATCCTTGCCACAGTGTTGCAGGGCATGGAGTCTGGCAGTCGAAGAGCTGCCAGTACGAGGGCCAGTGGAAGGTACGCCCCCATGCCTCAAGTCTTGGTCACATTCGGTTACACTCCAAAGGACTTCTTGTCGAGACTTTTGAGATGCCTTTCACAGGAAGATCAGCAGGATGGCAATGGCCGTCAGACGTGGAGCGATGGACGCGTCTATGAGGGTGCTTTCCCCAGATCCCGATTTGGAATGAAATCAATTTTGAGTTCTTTCGTGGAGTTCATATGTCTCAGGACAGTTCCACAAGGGTCGCTTCTCAGGAACTGGCAAGATGGTGTGCCGCCTAAGGACAAGTTCAGTGAGTGGAGTTGGAACACAGCTGGAAGTGATGCTGGCGTCCTTTCACACTGATCTCAGGTTTGGCACACGCAGAAAGGCATGTTGGTCTACGAGGGTCAGTACAAGGACTTATCGACTTAGTCTGCCCACTGCCAACCCGGTATCAGTTGCTTCGAGCACATTTGGATTTCGAGCTTCGTGGTGCCTTTCCGCTGAGCAGTTGGAGAAGCCAGGATGACCTCAAGGATGGACATGGGATGTTCATTTGGCCAGATGGCAGGTCCCCAATTTGCTCTATTAGAGGTGTCGGGAGCTCTCAGTGGATCTCGTCTCGTTGTCTTGTGGAGCTGAGGCCGAACGTACGATGGAGAATGGAGAGAGGGCAAGCGCCATGGAACAGCACTCAACTGTTTCGGAGTACTTGTACCAAGCTGTTCGGGCACATCACCATATCGTGTTAGCAAGTGTCCGAATGTGCGAGTAGGAATTTTTCAAGGCCGTGGCACCTACATCACCGCAAAGGCGGAGAGGAAGGTGGGCCAGAGTATGCATGACAAGAGAAGCTAGTCGGTGCACAGCATTTCGCTCTCCGGAAAATCTGGGGGTCGAAGGTGGGATATTGGGTGGAAGACAAGTTCGATCGATGGGAGAAGGACGCTCAGGGATTTTCGTCACGGTGGACACATGTTTAGGAAGCCGTGGCGCTCAGTCTTGTGCTTTGCTCTTGGATCTCTTGGGAATGCCACGTGCCACTGTGCGAGAAGACATGTCAATGCAGGAAGATGCAGCCGCTTCGTGAAGCTAGCAGGCCCACTGTCTTGCTCCTGACCCCTCCTCCCCCTTCATCATGCTTCCCCGACCTTTCTCTGTCCTTTTCTCGGCTTTGCTTGAGCTTGGCATCATGGCCTCGCCCATCCTGTCTTGCATCCCTTTCCACACGTGAGCAGAACACCAACTGTATTGTATGGTGAGGCCTTGGAGGACGAAGCCAAGCTCCGTCTTCGCATGATTGCGACCAAGGTTGACGATGGCTGGTCTTTCTTTTGGCCCTGTCATGTTCTGCGCCAGCATTGTTCGCCGTTCGCATGCTTAGTTGTAGTGGTGCTGTTGGTTTATGGGCACAATCTCTGCAGCTTCTTCAAGCGTCGAGGAAGCGTAAGTTCATACCGCAGCCAAGCTCCAAAGCAATAACTTTGCACATGCAAATCTGAAGGCCCAGAATGGTTCGGACAGTCAGTTGTTCAGCATGCATCTTTGGTCTCTGCTCTGGGCTGATTCACTGATCTTTAAACAAATGCATGCAGCATCAGTATGCAGCAGTTGGCCTTTCAGCGATGGGGCCTTAAAGCTATGACTTGCGGCCATGAGCAAAGAGCTCACATGAAGGTTCGTGGTCCACGTGTGCCGTTTCACCAGCGCTGTGTGCGCACAGGTAGTGCATTAACGAACCACGACTGTTCGTCTTCACTATCATGCTGCCGTGCTAGGCAGGATTTTCGCCTGCTCCGTGTGCCTGGAGTGGAAAACAAAAGCTGTGCTTGGAGGTTCATGGTATTGCTAACCAATTGTAACTGTACTTATAACCCTACTTATAATACCCCTAAAGGGCCTTATAGGTGTTATCCCACTTATAAGTAGGGTTATAAGCCCAGTTATATTTGGTTAGTAAGTACCACGAACCTCCAAGTGCATGTACAGGGTGGGAGTTGAGCGGTTGGGGGCGGGCACATGGTAAAGGTTGGTCATCCGCACCTGTAGTAACTTGTAGCATGACCCCGCATACGATAGCCGCTCCTTGAGTGGTGAGGGAACGCTTCATGTTCCTTCGAAATGCGCATCGGACAGGCCGAAAATGCGTGGACGCGGAATCGACAACACTGTCGGGATGTCGTAGGGAAGTGGGCGGATGATGCGAAGTTGGGAGTTCAGGGCGTCTACCTATTCTGATCCCACCAAGATCAAGCGAGTAACCTTTAATGTCGCAAGAGCGAAGCAGCGAAGCAGGGCAAATTTATTTGCCTTGGGCCGCTCTCGGCTTTGAGGGCCCTTGGACCTCGATAGACCTTGGGGAGCCTCGTTGTACTGTTATTCATTTGGCGTTGTTCCGTGGTTTCCCCCAAAGAGGCCCATACCTGGTTTCGAAGCCGCAACTTCTTCAGTAGGATAGACGTTGTATGTCCTAGTCGTACTTCCACAGCCGATGACACTGCTCAGGAATGTAGCTGGCGTCTCACAAAGCAAGCATGTGGCAAGCATCACCTGTTCTCAGTCAGATCGGCTGACGTCGAATGCGACCTCCGAGGAGGGGGAGGGGATGGAGATCGATAGGGACATGAAGAAAGCGTTCTCTGAGCCATGGTACGAAGCCGCACTACGTGGCTTGCTACCGCAGCTGCAGTGATTCTTGCCGGATGCTCAGTGCATCGTCGTCTCTGCTGTCATACATCCTCCGACTGGGCCGTCTGTCGATTCCGGGCACTTCGAGTCTTAGAGTCTCAGAGTCTCAGAGTCTCATCAGGTTTTCAAGACACATCCTTTGCATCTTCAACCTTGGACGATTGCAGCCTGGAACCAGCACAGGAAATCAAGCTACGCGCAAAAAGCCTCGAAGCCGCAGGCAGCTTTAAACTTGGACTGTATCGGTTTGTATAAAACCTCATGTCGATGTATGTGACCCTGGCAGTCAATGACCGGCCGGGTTGGTTTTGATGACTTTGGGTCAGGATCAGGGTGCCTGGCGCCGGGAGTTAATCTGCTGAAGTAAGGTTTCATGTGAGGCGAGTTCCTACCGAGCGTACACGCGGTGAGGTGACTTCTTATGAGCAGGAACTTAAGTCGCCTTGCCAGCCAGTGCTGAGTCTGTGTTTTCTTGGAGTCTCAGGACTGTGTCTGGATTTCGAAGCTGCTGAGACTGGGATATGCCAAGCGGGAAATTGTGAACGCCTTGACTGACCTCAAGGTGAGCTACTCGCCAGCTGAGCTCCAGCGGTGGGCCTCTGGCTATGACATTGTTGCCATTCAGGAAGCCGATCCGTTGTTTTGCGAGGCTTTGGGTGCGTTGAACCAGTGCATGGTGCGTGGACAGAACGATTTCGACGGCCGGGGAATGGAGGTGGAGTCCTGCTCAGCCCTGATACTGCGAAATGTGGAGTGCCTACGCCAGGAAAGTGCGACGCTAAGCTTCAAGCCTCGCCGTGGAGTGACTGTATCTCGCGAGCATTTTGCGGTTCTCGTGGAACGGCCGGACGGGGAACAGTTGGTCCTTTGCTCAGTACACCTGCACGTGGCGGACATGATCCGCCAGCGTATGAAGCTCGTGGAATACTTGGAGCCGCTGCGAGCAGCATTGGAGTCTGCAGCTGGGCAGCGGGGCGATGGGCTGTTGAGGACGCCGTGCGTCCTCCTCGGTGACTTCAACATGGATCCGGCTGCATTCGAGGAGCTGTCTACTGAAGATCCATTTTGGAAGCAGTGCGCTTGCCAGCAGTGGTCACACTTTAGCTCTTCATTAGGGGCTTCTATGGAGACATTCTTTGATAGCCTGTGACCGGTGGCGCCGCCGTTTAGATACTTTTTGGTTTTTGTTTCCTTTTCTTCTTTCATCTTCTTCGACTTGGAGGTGGAGGGTTGAGATGACAAGATGCAGCTTAGGGTTCAGGTGGTTTACGGCTCAGGCTTCAGTAGAGTTCATCGCGGGGGTCATTAAGGACAGCTGCGGACGTTTTATGGTTTAGGGTTGATGGTTGAGGCTGGATTTAGGCGCATCAGGTTTTGGAGTGAAGGGCTTTCGAGGCGTGTGTGCGGCTTCAGGGCAGTAAGTTTTGCTTTTTTGGGTCTAGGATCTGGGTTTGTTCCGGGCAAGGCTGTCTTTTTGGTTTGTAGAATGCGTCTCGTTAGGGATTGTGATTTCGGGTTAACACAGGCTTGGGGTTTAGAAGGTTGGGGGTGTGAACTGAGCTTGTCCAAGGTTTCGGCCTATTGTGCCAGCTGGTGGTGCCACGGCGCACTGGTCGAATCCAAGTGCTCAGGGCGACTTCGCCGTGGCCACGTCGGGCCGATGGCGAGGCAGGGGAGGGATTCTAAGCCTCCTATGTAAACCCGTCCAAGCCCCCGAACCTCTCAAGTGGAAAAGCCTCCTACTCCGAACACGTGCTGCAGGCAAGGCACTGGGAAGTCCAAGCTTCGAAAGCTTCGAGCGCTATGCTGCGCAAGTCTCTCAGGCAGTCACTGGGGTGAGGGGGGATGGTGCTGCACAACTTTCTCCGGAAACTTAGACATTGTGAGATCATGCATATGTCGAATCGTGCCCTTGAGGCCTTGAGCCAGCAAATGCGTCTGAAGGATATGCATCGGCGCTGCCGCGAGGTTTTGCTGCTTCGTGTGCGGTATGCTGAACTTGCCGTGGACCAGACATTCTTGAAGCTCCCTTCAAGGTTCGATCAGGCCTGCTGGAAGTGGAGAACTCCCTTTCTAACGCGGTGCATGACGCCATCCTGCTGCAATCGGCTGGAGACAAGGTGCTTCGGACACCTTAGCAGGGGGGGAGCGGGAGGAGCCATAAGGAAACATCCAGGAAGGCAGCGGGACATCGTTGTGAGTGTTGTTTTCTGGCCGGTTTTTGGTGGGTTTCGAGGAGCCGCTGCGCGCCGCTCGCCTGCAGCTGCTCCGCGCCGAGCGTTGCCTGGACCGGTCCCTGCGCCGCAGCGCGGCCCCGCTGCGCCGGACGCTGCTGCCGCTCCCCCCGGCGTTACCTCGTGTTTTCTGCCGTTTTTTAATGCGTCCTTTTTGAGAGACCTCTCGTGTGGTAGCCGAGGAACTCGGACCACCGGCCCCTGCGCTTTGAGGGCGTGCTTTCCGAAGAGGCAGGGTCCCGGTTCACTGCCATCGCTTGCAGATTCCCGGCATAGGCATAGGCTCTGACCTTTTCCCACATTGCCAGGTCGCCTGAAAGGGGGTGAGCGGCGCCTGGAACTTGGCCCAACGACTTTCTAAGTAGGTATTGTTCGTCTGCCTTATCGTCACAGCAAAGCTTCTGTGCATCAATTTAGCCACTTGGGGCGCAGCCACACGGTGTGGATAAAAGGCTATGGTCCGCTTCTCGATTCGTTGAATGCAGGTACCATGCAGTCGCATGTTATCACATGTTGCGTCGTTTCGACTCACTAGCTGCCAAGCGTTGCCAGCTCCTTCGGCCCATGAGAAGAACAGAGCAACCATGAGTAAGGTGTGCTTAGCGTGATATGGCCCGTTAGTCACTACGGCCACCCGGACTGTACACGTGGATCAGCAAAAAGCATCTTGAGGGTTGACAACGGCAGAAGCGCTTTGGTGGGGTTTGTTGATCTGCGAACGCCGTCAGCCGGCAGAATGCTGCGAAGAGGGCGTATCGCGAAGAGCTCAGCATGAGACCCACAGCATGAGACCAAGACGTAGCGAGTACGGATGGGAATGTTGGATTATTGAATGCATCTGCTTTGCCAGAAGATACCTTGAAGTTTTGGGGATGTCACCAGGTGCATCGAATCATGGACAACTGATGATTGACTACAGCGAGTCATGGCTCATCCTCACACTCTTCAAGTGGAAAGGCCTTGGCCAAATAAGCTCCGATGCCACAGCTTCGCCACAGCTTCGCATGGCCAATTGCAGGATCCGTCTTCCCCCGGTCCTGCCTCTTCGCGGTGCCCGCCGCCTTGATCACCGTCTTCCTCGTGCAGGTGATCGGGTCAGAGCTTGCTGCTGTTCCACCGTGTTCCACCGTGTTCCACCGTGTTCTGCCGTGTTCTGCCGTGTTCTGCCGCGTTCCGCCAATCTTCATCAGACTCATTGGCATAGGCTCAAGATGCGCTGGAAGTCGACCTGCGACAGGACAATGCCGACATTTGCTCGCATGAACGACAGTTGCCGCTCAATCTGCGTGTTGTTTTCTCAGGAGCTTGGATTGCTGGATGCTCACCGGAGTCAGCTGTGGATCATCTCTCTAGGCCGGTACCGCAACTTCTCTAGCCTTTCACTTTAATTGCTCTTCATGGCAAGTTCGCCAGCCAGCAAGTGTGAAGGTGTCCTTCATGCTCTTCTTGTCTTTCGCATCCAACGAGCAGCGCGCCTACAGGGATTCAATGCAAATCCTGAGTCTCCTGGCATTGCTCGTGCAACGAATTCGGAGAGGAGACCTTGATTTCACTACGTTTGTTGTCGAAGCTAACGATCCATTGTACTGTCGGCAATGTTCTGCAGTGAGGAGTTGCCAGCTTGGCCACGAGAAAATTTTGAAATCACCCCATTTCAAAAGTCACTGTTGAGTTGTCCGGAGGCTATGGAGCGCTTCTGGGAAGGGACCGGCTTGCTGCACCAGGAGGGGCTGGTGGACATCTTTAGTCTCCGCACCTTGCGTTCACATTGCTCACATTGGTCATATTCTTCACATTCTTCACATTGTTCACACAGGTTGACATTGTTCACACATGAAAACAGCGCTTGCTGGCTTCCTGTGCAGATGCGGGGAGAGTGGTTCGATGCCGTGAGTTGCTGTGTGACATTCTCGCGAGCATCTATGCCAATAAGGCAGGTCGCTCAGACACTGCTACTAGTACCAAGGATGCTCCTTGCGACTGCTTGCTGCTCTGATCATACTTCCTTGAGGCCTCAAGAGACAATGAGATTCCGACATGCGATCGTGCGCCCAGAGCTTGGAGACAGACACACAGACATTTGTGCTGATCTGCAGGTCATTTTATATACTAAGCAGATAAGACAGCATGTCCGCGAAAGATGTTGCAAGAAAGGAAGACGGAAGTTTGTGTGTTATCAGCACATACTTGTGGAGAAAAAAAAACCTGGGCAGGGGACAGGGCGTTTAAATTGGGTCCAAACCGCCTTCGACTGTGCGGGGAAGGGGGGGGGAGCGGCAAATGAAAGAAGGTTATGGCTGAGGACAAAGACTCTCAGACCATGAGTGGGCTGCTTTGCGAAAATCCGGTACGAAATTCGAGTATCTAGGCCCTACGTAGGCAACCCCAAAACCTGAAGCCGCATGTGGGTGTTGTTGAAAGAATCAGGGCCCCTTAAAGCGTACCTTTCCTGACAAACAGGATTGCACCAAGGGGCACCAATTTGGAACAGACCCCCATGGACGCCCGAGAAAACCATTTTCGCAAACCCCTTCAACCCTGATCGTCACAAGCGTCCCTTTTGACTATCCCAAATTTATTCGCGATTCCCTTTTCTGTAGCCACAATGGCACCCTTTAAGATAACCACAAAGTGACTCCCTGTTTCTGGTGCAGGGCAGAAAGGCCATGCTTGAGGTGTAACACCGCTTGCCAAGTCAGGTCTAATGAGCCTCTGCCATGGAAGTGCGCTGGAGGAGATTGGAGGCATAGGATTTTTGTGGGCCTGGAAGTAAGGGTATCGTCTTCCTTGCACTTGTCGATCTGGTCTATGCCTTGGCTATGGTTCTACAGGCGAAGATGGCGACTTTTGCGAAACCATCGCTTCTTGTCATGCACAGACGATGTTCCAAATGGCTCCAAGTGGCAGTTCAATGTGATGGATGAACAATCAGAGCGCACAACTGAGGATTCGCATGGATTAGCCACTCTCACCTTGGAGCACTTGACGGACTGTGCTGAGGCGTGGGGTACAAGCTGCGGTTTCGCACATTCCGCGACTTTCTTGCAAGCGCTTCGCGCATCTGCCTTGGCCAAACCTCATGCCGAAGGTCCTAAGTGCACCAAGCGCGCAACAGGATGCCTGCTGCTATCTGCTGCTGGCAGGGTGGCAGGGCCCCAAACTTTGGGCCTCAATCCAACTCGTCGGTGCCGAACATGGCCAAACCCAACATCGGAACGCCACTGCCCTCAATGATAGCCCAGTGCCATCCGGTACTTCTTTGGTGATCACAGCGGGGCTTTCAACCAATCTGTGGAAGACGGTTTCCTGACGACCCATCGCGTCGCCAAAAAGTCGCAAAGGTGCCCGTGCGCCTCATTCCATGCACGTGGGGCAAAAGCTAAGTTTGAACATTGGCAAGCGGGGTTTCGCTTCAGTACCGTTGTTCATGGGTCGTGCACTCCTTGGGTCCAGCAGTCGCCTGTCAGGAGTACGATTTCAATCGGGTCGAGGTGCTGTTGCACATGATCCAGCCTCTTAGCAAGACGTATTTTACCTTCTTCGAGCGGTCACTCAGATGACATGATGAGTGGAGTCCATTTTGCACATCTCACATGTACCAAGGTCGCTAATCACTCACAACCTGGATGTCGGAGTGTTGACGCTTTCTAGCACACATGGCGCCCTCGGTGGCGTGTCTGTTGTGCACAGCATCCACAGACTTGGGCAACCATGTGCAGTTGATCAGAGCCAAGGAAAGTGCAACCTCCCATCCTATCGCGAGTCTATCAGACCCTCTCCAGAGGATTCGTGAATCTTTTAAATGCTAAGAAAATTGCGGACACAAGGCCCGCCTGCACAGCCTTTTTTTGTAGGTTGTCTTCGAGATATTTCGTTGCATGCCTGTGAACTGTTTGCAGCGCTTGCTTGCTTGTCAGGTTTCCGTTTCCCTTTGCACAGCTGATTTCGGCGCTTTTGCTACAGCCCCTGCTGTGAACTGCAGTGACTGTGCATCATGCAACCAACTGTGTTACACGACATGACCCGGCTGCCGAGGTTCTTACACGTTGCGGGAACCTTGGTTTTTGGTTCACCTTGGCTCCGAGGATGAGGTTGCAAGAGAGCCCCACGTTCGCCATCTGAGCAAGGTATTGCTTCCAGTTCTAATCTCCGCGGTGATTTCCCAAGCTTCCTTCTTAGTTCTTAGAAGTCGTGAACGGTTGCAAGATGGAGACAAGCTTGGGCGCAAGCCATGCCTTGTCGTAACTCAACTGATCTCAAGTGGTGCCTTGAGGCATGGTTAGCCTTCACATTCACGTTTCTTCCAATCTTCTCGATGTCCTGGCCTCGACCGCTGGAGAGATGTGAGAGCATCGAAGAGAGAGGAAGGGAGAGAGGGGGAGAGCGCTAGACAGAGAGAGAGAGAGAGAGACGTAGCCATTTTGGCTCAAGGCTCAATTCGATCGGCTAGCTGTGGATTTCGCCATGGCTTCGAAGCCCAAACCGGAACCAAAGAAGTCAGAGAAGCAGAAAGAGCCCCCTCCAGCGAAGACTGGATCGGCAGCTAGCGAGCCCTCTACAAAGAAAGCTAGGTTTGAAAAGCCTGCGGAGAAACTCCCAGCGAAGACCGAGGACAAGCCAACAGAGGAGCTCATCTCGGACTACGAGGACGACGGCCCCGAAGCCTGGAGTGGAATCTTCGGCGGCCAAAGTGGAGAGCGCGAGCAAGCCTACATCCAGTTACAGGTGGTCGAAGTGAACTTTGCCAATGAAGACGGAGAAGCAGAGACCCTCGAAGGCGGCTTCACAACGCCTGGCATCAAGGGAACCGCTGACGAGTACGACTTCTACGCCAGGGATCAGCCGGTAGCTCCACATGACCTTGCTGTGCACTTCGCATCGCGCACCAATGCGATCCAGCACAACGCTGATCTCCTGCAGAAGCACACCAGGGTTGCCCCGTACCTGGCAAGCCTGTTCTCGGCGGCGTTCGAGACGGGCATCATGATAGGGGGTGCGCCTACCATCGCCTCAAAGAAGTCGGAGCTCTTTGTGGATCCCGAGAACTGTGATGTGTATGAGCCGGAGCACTTCATCTTTGACAACCTCCGACAAAAAGGCAGAAGACTTCGTCCAGAGAAGCAGCCAAGGCACTTCGGAAGTTCAACAACAAGTTCTTCAAAAGTGTGGGTCAGCTGCTAATGGCCGTAGTGGTCAACTCGTTCAGCAGGACACATGTGGTGTCTCCCAGTCGCCATGGAGATTTCGGCTCCACGAGTGCGAACTCAGAGATCACGGTCAAGACGAGGTCTGTCCTTCAGATAGCAGTGGACGCCCTGGACGAGATCTGTAAGATGGTACATGGGAAAGACTATGTCTCAGAAGAAAGCATGGAGCTAGATGATGAAATGCTCATCAAGCTCCTTTACTGTCTCTCGAAAAGTCTAAGTCGGCGTTCCCTAGCGTACAAGCAGATCATCATGTTGCGAATGAAGGAGAATCGACTCCCTGATCTTCCGTACTTCATGGTTTGTGGCTGGAAGATGGGCGATGTGGAAGGGATCTCCGGCCCTTGCTGGATCCAATGTCATTACCGTCTGCCCTTGAACGAGGAGGCAAAGAACCGTGTGCGTGACGGTCCATACTATCTGAGGACCGGACTGCGCGCGGCTAAGAAGATAGCCTCGGCCGCGCCTATCGGGGCGTTGCTGATCCCATCGGTAAAGAACGCCGTCGCGGGTTATACCGCCGCCTTGGCACCCGTTCGTAACAGTGCCAGGGGTGCTCGAGGAACAGCCTAGTAGCTCTTTGTCGGCAAACTTCCTGGTCCAGCAAGAGGCAGTAATGGCCACCCAAGCCATGCAAGCACTAGACGAATGGCTGTCCAACAGATGGGGAGAACCCATCTACCTCATTGACGCGCAAACAGGGGGAGCCACCCCGGACGAAATACCCACACCTGACACCCTCCCCTGGCACCCCCCACCACACAAACCACACACCATCACCACCGACGATGCACAACACCCACCACACCTACCGTCACACCACCACCACACCAGTCCTGGAGGGCAAGGTGAACCCACAGAGGAGTTCACCTCACCGAGAAGCGAAACGTCGGAGGAAGGGCGAACGATAACACATGGGGGACTACAACGCCGCGGTTCCCAACTACCCGATCACGACTCAAGACGCCGAAGAACACATGAAGGGGCAAGCAGTGATTAGAATAGACCCAACAACGCCAGCCAGAAAGGGGACATAGAGTGGGGGACCTCAAATGTGGTGTGTTGGTAGGATGCCGTCAAAAACCTGCCCCTTTACTACTGGTTTGTTTGCAACGAGGAAAGCCACAACCCTTGGCCAGGCGGAGTAGATGAGCAGGGTAGTCAACAGCCGGAACAACTCTGCCGCGTACAGAAGGCATAGTCTGCACAGGAAGTACAGAGTGGGAAACCTCAACAAGTTGGGGAATTGCGGGGGGATTGGGGTTTGAAGGATTCAGGTTTCATCGGGTTCACACACCGGTTGACACATGAGGGGCACCACATTCCTGTGACACGTTTGGTGGGCCACGAATACCGTGGGCCTTCCGATCAGACGGACCCTTGGACGTCGCGCGCCTCTCGGGGCGGCCTTCCCTTCGGGGGGGGCTATGCGTGCCGGAGAGAGAGAGAGAGAGAGACAGATCTCGGGGAGTTTTCGGACAGGTTGCACCAGGTTCCGGGGATTTGGGGATTTCTGACAGGGGTAACAGACAGAGCAGGGGAAGAAAACAGTAGCCGCGGGATGACCAGCCAAGCATAGTAGGGCTGTCAGGACCAGGGAATGAAGCTAGAGCCGGGATGTGGGGTTATAGTGTAAGAATGCCAGTGAGGGGGAAGCTTCATGACCTGACTACAAGCAAAGACAGCAGACCGTGTTTTTTCCCCGCAAGGAAGTATAAGTTGTGTATGGGGTTAGAGGGTGACCGTCTTTCTCAACACGAAACCGGGGGAAGTCCACGCGACAGGCCAGAAATCGGGGCGAGATCGAATCGCGCTCGCAAACGGTGCCCACGCCTAACCGAGTACGCGCCTGTCGTTGTGGTATCACCGGACCTAACTCAACCTCGGGCGCGCTTCGAGCGCGGGGGGTCTCCCCCTATGCCCAGCAGAAGAAGAAGACAGAGATCTGGTGACCACGTCTCCCTCCAAGCCCCAACCAAAGAAGGAGAGTTTTGTTCCGACGTTTGGCAATTATATTGTGCGATTGTGACTAGTGTTACAGTTCGCTCCTTTATCAGTTTTGCGTAGCTCATAGTCTTCAACGTTCAATATACGCGAAGGCGACCATTGATTGAAACTTGAAAGATTTAGGCTGGCATGTGGCCAGCAATCGCATGCCATGGACTTTGCTGTGAAAACGTGTTTCTGTTTGTGCAGCCAGATGAAAGCGTCACGCTCTTTGTGCGACGCGTGCTTTTGTTGCCCCGCATTTAGTGGCATGATTTTGGAAGGCTGCCCAAGCCATACCCTCACTGCGTCTAGGTATGTCTTAAGTATGTCTAGGTGCAGTGGCGAACCGGACACCATGCGGCCATGGCAGGTGCTGCCTCAACTACATTGGAGTTGAGCTTGAGAACCCCTTTGGTCGTGACGCTAACGACTTGCCCTTGAAGCACTTCCAGGTGCCCCGATGGTTTTCCGATGGGGTCAAGAACTACCAAGTCACCGGCTATGTTTTGCTTGACGATGCATGGAGTTGGCCTTTTTTATTGGCCCCGCCGTAGCATGCCAACATGGAAATGTCATGGAATCAGGTAGGCATGAAGGCATCTTGAGGGATGTGTAGAGTGTAGTGACTCCGGCATATAAATCGCGGATACGTTCTTAAACAAGTAAAGACTCGCAGTAGGACTTTACGATGTTCTTCCACCTGCACACGCACACATGCACACACGTACACTTCAGTCAGCCTTTGCTTGTCGTGCCACCTCCTGGCATATCTTGGCGAGCTGTCTTTGCCATGCCCGAGTGTCCAGTCTGCCTGGGCGTGATCCAAGATGCTCGGCGAATCGTGCGTTGTGGCCTTCTTTGCGAGGGAATAGTGTTCCAGAGCCGAACGCTGTGTAAGTGCTTGAGAGCTCAGGACCCCTTGTGGGCACCTTGCAGGCACAAGTTTTGTCGCTGCTCGCCTGCCTCAGTCATGAGGGTCTCTGATTCATGGCGTCATGCGCTGTTCAATACTCTTTGATGTCCTTTGTTCGAGACCTCTACGAGCGCAGCTGCAAGGCCACTGCATCATCCAGGTGCTGAAAAGCCGTCCGCCCGAGTGGAGCGGGGACTGCCCTTTATGCCGTGTCCACGTCAGCACCTCCGCTCAAAGCCCAAGTCGGGAAAGCAGGTCGGCATGTGTTCTGTCGAACATGATCAGCGATGTCACGTTGTAAGGCTTCTAAGGGTTGCTATCCTGTAGAGTTGCAACGCAAGTGTACTTGGTTCTGTTGGGGTTTCGGGTTTCTGCCCACGGTGCAATGCGAAGGCATGGTCTGGTTGCCCTCACAGGACATAGGGTTCAGGGTTCAGAGTTGAGTGACGTTGAAGAGGACATGGTGTTTTTTGAATTTGTTTCCCTCCCATCTGCATAGGTACAACATGTCCAGCATGCGATCTGTATTACCTGCATGTGATTGCAAGAGCTTTGATCAGGTCTTGTTTCTGATGCAAAATGGATCCTGAACCGTGGCAGTTTCTTGAGCGCGCACCTGCGCGTGGTTCGTGGTTTTGTGGGGTGTTTTCTTTCAGGTATCTACAACTTGCGGGATGAGAACGACGAGCTTCTGGTGCAACCTGATGTACACGAACTGTGGGGTTGCGTGTTCATTCAGCATGGGCAGATAGGCGGCGCACCTGCGGCCAGAAACATGTTCCGTTTGTGAGCCCAGATGGTAGTATTATTGGGGGGAAAGAGAGCATCTTGGTTTGTGTAGCCTTTGATGAAGGCCTGGCCAGCTATCACTTTGACTCCCCAGAGGAGTGCTACATATCATATGAGAACGCTCCTCCGCATTGGCGAAGCTTGGATCCGTTAGCCGCCATGACTAGGTTCCGGATACCATCGGTCACCGGTAACAACGTGGGAAGGTAAACATAATGTTAATTTGTAAACATCCTTAAGAAATCAAGCAACTGAGCTCACCTGTTACCTCTGGATTAAGATGCAGTGTTGAGGCTTGGACAATGGCAGCAAGCCGCCTGCAAAGAAGTATTGGACAGATGCAAGCTTCCATGAAGATGAGTTGACCTTCCGGGGTGTGATTCATTGGGATCCGCCTTTTAATGGGGAGGTAAAGTGGAGATATCGCATTCAGTTTTCTGAAGATTTCTCGGGAGTCGTTGGTGGTGAGATAGTTGCAACCTCGGCTACCGGTTCCGAGAAAACCACACCGTTTCTGGCTCCCTGGATAGCTGAGTGGGAGAGGCACCTGTCGTACCTTCGGTGGACTCCTCCACCCAGCACCATCTTTGGCAGTGTTTACGTCCAAGGGGCTGTGTATGCAGGCGTCCATGAGGGGGTTGCAAGCTATCATTTCGACAGCTTGAAGAACTGCTACATATCATATGCAAATGCTCCAGATTCTTGGCTTCTGGATGATGGCTCTCCACCTCCACGACGAAAACCATTTGAACAGGTTTCATATGAGCAGGATACGCGAACGTTCCGCGGAGTTGTGAAATGGCCTCAAGGATTTGACGGAGCCGCCCTCTGGGAATACACCATGGTATTTGCTCCGGATTTTAGCTTCATTTCATCAGGCAAAGTGCAGCCTTACGGACCTAGTGGCCGTCCCTTGCGCAGTGCGCAGTACTTTGGTGATCCCATGACTGGCTTGATGCTGTCAGCTGTGCTTTACTATACACGGAAGCCATCCGTGCTTTCAGCCAATGAGAAGGTGCGTGCCACAATCCTTGCTTTGGATGATAGTGAAGCTGGTCAAGAAGATGCTGTGGAGACTGTGGAGCCAGAACAGCAAGAGCAACGAGAGCCTGCCAGCGCGTCCGCACCTCGTGAGGCTGAACAAAGATGTTCTCTGCAGTAGCTTGCTACCATCTTCCGTCTGGCCGCAGACAGACCTGTAGACTGTAGGCACATTGTTTCCTTTGTCCTGGGCCTTCGAGATACATGTCGATAATGCTGTAAGCCGTTGCCTGGGATTCCGAACGGATGGCACGACTTGTATGACCCAACAAACCTAACACCACCAGGCAAAGCAAGAACGGTGCCAGTGCCTGTAGCGGGCACTGGAGCAGCCTGAGATCAGAAAATCTGACATTTGGTTGCTGAGTTCAATTTTCAAGAGCAGCGAAGAGGGCCATGTGCTTCAACTGGCACTGGTGTCATTTGCATTCTCGGCAGCGCCGTAGAGCTTCACTTTCCAGCACTGGCTCTCTTTGGCGATCTTCCCTTTCTCGTTTCTGGGTAGACAGTGCCCAGTTGCCCAGCAGCGCCAAAGTGCAGAAGCAGCACAAGGGTCATACGAAGAGTGCTTTAACTGGAGGGTCTGCTGCTTTTGGCAGGCTGAGATGAACAACTGCCTGCTGATGCTGTTGCACTCCAGCGCGGATCTGATGGCAGGCATCAGCAAGCAGGCCCACGGGACAGTCCATTGAAGTGCTGCCGTATAGACGTCGAAGGTTCATCGGGCACTGTGAAAGGAGTGGGGAAATAGATGGAAATCGTCTGCTGATTCGATTTGTTTGTGCCCTGCAGCGCTGCCTCATGGACATCATGGAAATCAGAAAGGCCATGCATGGCACTTTGTCTGAAAGCCGCTAAGCTGCAGTGAGACGAGGGGAAGGGTGGGAACGGTGCGCCGTCCGTCCGATGCAAATTGTCATAGAACCCACCAAAGGCCCGCGGGCCATTGTTGTCTCGACTCTCAGAACCCCTGGATGTATCCCAAAGCCGGAGAGTCTTCTGTGAGATCGCCGCCTTGAGCCGATACCGGTCTTCTAAGTGCACTTCATGTTGGACGGAGGACAGTTCCTGGGCCTGCGGCGTCAACATCATCAAAAGTGTTTGCTAAAGATTGTTCCGCTGTTTTTTGCTAAGAGTGAAGTAGAAGACAGTTCCCCGAACTGCTCTCTGCCAGCCTGGCAGCAAATCAGGCTTCGAGCAGAGGTCTTGAAGCTTCATATGGAAAAGGTCACACAACGAATGGCTGGTCTTGTTCCACAGGCAAAGAGCACGGGGGCCAACTGCCAAGAAACCAGTTCGCGAAAAAAAGCATCCCCTTGGGGGCTGCATTCCTTGGTGTAAGGGGCAGCAATTGCACCCCTCAACGAAACTGCCATTCTGTCAGCATCGCAGCGGGGATCTTGGCGCAGCTTAGGTTGGCTTCAGGAGACCCTCGACAAAGCGGCCCGGGCCACTGAAGTTGTGTTTGCAACTCTTCGATAAGGGCCTACCATGGCCTACCTTCAGCACGGCATTTGTCTGCATTTGTGTGGACCATGCCACCTTCAGCAGGCGCCGGGCAGCCCTGACGAACCAGCCAACGTCAAAGACGTTGAGGCACCCGGGTACAAAGTCTAGCACGGTTAAGCAGTTAAGCACAATGGTTCTTTTGAGGGAGGGGGCGGATATCTCCATGTTTCTCCACTCCCAATGTTTCCTTTGGTCCGGTGGCCCTCCGGTGGCCTCTTCGCGGGGCTCTCCCCAGGAGCCTGCTTGCTTCCAAGAAGATCGGTCCGTTATAATGGGCATCCCGTACATTCCTTCCAAAGCCACAGCAGTCCTGTCCAAAGCCGGAACGGTCCATTTCCGAGTGTGTTTATTGCTTACGGGGGTTTCGGGTTCGTGGGGCTCTTAGGATTTTACAGCTTCTAGGGTTTAAAGTTTAGGGATCTCATGATAGGGTGCAAGGGTTTAGGTTTTGACGGTTTAGGTTGTTCGCTTGTAGGGCTTCGGGCTTCAAGGGTTTCAGGGGCTCAGGGTTCCGGGCTTGGGCTCGGCTTCAAAGGCTACAGTTTTCAGCATGAGGCCGTTCATGGCTTGAGGCAGTTCTGGAGTTGAGGGGTTTTTGGATTGCCGGCTTTTTGGGTCTAGGCTTCTTCGGGTTTGAAGGACTTTCAGGTTTTAGGGTTTAAGGCTTTTGTGCACAAATCAGGGCTGTCAGGCCTCAGAGTTTTCATGGTCGAGGTTTCTTTGGCTCTGGGTTGTGTTGGGTGTGTAGGGTTTTTAGGGATCAGGGTTTCAAACATTTTGGGCATTCGTGGCGTAGTTTTCGTCTGTTTTTATTCGGCCGCGGTTTTGGGCTTGCTTGGGGTTTTTTTGTGCTTTGGGTTTGCTCGGGTTTGCTCACGTTAAGGGGTTCAGGGTTTTAGGGTTTGGGGTTAAGGGTTTTTTTATAGGGTTTGCGCTTTTTGGGTTGTAGGGATCAGAGGGTTTTGAAGACGGAACGTTGTGTGGTCAACAGCCCGAACTCTATAAGAAATTTCGAGCCGCGAGTCGTGTGCGTGAGAATAGTTTTCGCAACACCTTCTGTTCGCGAATCCTGCTGGGCAAGTGCGTCATCGACTTCCCAAATGGGGCAGTCCCTTGTTGTTTCTTGCGGCAGCGCAGCTGTTGCTTTTTGAAGCACATGACAAGAGAGGTTCCTTGAGCGAATCCGTTAGTTATACGAGCCTTGTGTTTGCACATGGGTGTGCCCCCTTCCAAACCCGTCATGCGAACATTGCCTTTGCAAACGGGACATGTTCAAGCCTTCTGCTTGCAAACGCAGAGGTGGTTGAAAAGCCGCGATCATAGAACACTTGAGAACTTGTCAAAGCCCACCAAAAGTGCAAAGCACCTTTTCAATCATTTGGGAAATCCCAATCACACATGTGCAGACAAAAAACAACAAACATCAATATTGAGTTGAGTTTGGCGTTTATAACCGGATCTGCTTCAAGAAACATGCGAATCCTTTGGGAAACACCGTCATACGAGAACGATGTTTGCACATGGGGGGATCTGCTGCGCTTGTGAATATAGAGGTTTCTTATTGAAGATGAAACAATGGTTTCCCATGTAATTGCAGACTTTTCCCCCCCCTCGCCCGAAAGAGAGCAAAACCAAACACACAGAAGGGAGCACAAAAAACAACACCCGGTTTTTAAGGGCAGTGCCATTCATCTCCCAGGGGAAGAGTTGCCACGTAGTTTGGCCTTGCGTTGGGCATGGGCTTGCTGCTTCACGTTGAGGGTTGAGCTGTTCGGCAGGATCACGCGCTGCACAGGGCATAGGGCGAGTGAGTAGACTCTAGCAGTGGCAGCAGTGGTGGCACGAGGAAGAAGAGTCGCAGTCCGGCTCCATGGTGCAAGAAGCTGCTGGCACGGAGGCGGAAGTGCTGCTGTTTGCTTGTGCAATGGTTTCGATCAGTCGCCTCGGAAGCCTCAAGCTCTTGGCGATGTGCCGCAGGTTGTCCTGCCACAGGTGACAGCGCAAGGCTGGGCGGAGGGTTCGTGGTCATGATTTTGCAGGGAACTGCGAAAGAACAACACAGTCTCAAATCGAGTTATTGTTCTTGAATCTTGGATTGGCATTGTCAGGCGAAACCTCGTCGGACGGTGGAGCTGCTCCGATGTTTGAGGAGCCCTTTGAGGAAAAACTACAGCCTACAACACTGCTGCAAGGCAGAGCCTTTCCACCTCAAAGAATCAGTTGCCTGCTCTCCCGACAGTGCATGTCTCTCGACAGTGCATGGCTCGAGGCATGGACCAGGCGGTGATGGCTCTGACGGGTATCAGACAGGCTCGGCATGCTTAAATTGTTCTGAGGGAACACTCTGGGAAACTGCGTGCCATGCTTGAGCATTTGTGGATCAACGCGATGCTGATGACCCAGGGCTTTTTCAGGTCTTAGGGTTCAGGGCATGCGGTGCGCACATCGCACCTGTTAAAATTGCAGATATGTGCACTCGTATGCCGAGTTGCTGATTGGCCTTCCCATTGTGTCATTAACAGCGCTCGTGGGATGTTAACAGTCGGAACGGCCTTCTTGTTGCTTCATGCGCACCCTTTGCATCGTCGAGGGCTATCATGAAAACCCTTCGAAACCCAGTACAACCCATTCGAAACATCTCGCCTGCTGAGCAAAACTGCGCGCGTCAGTGTGTACCTGTACACCACCTTAAAGTTTGGTAAGACGTTGTTGCAGTACTATTGGTGTGGATATGAAGTGTCACTCTATACATTCCCAGCGTACCATTCTGGGACGTGTGATTTCAGGCATGATTTGTGCCTTAGCTACGGATCCACGCACGGTCCGCTTGCCAGGCCCACGCTTTTGTTCAGAAATGCACAGACAGGAAACGTGTCAAAGGCCCCATTGTCAGAAAAGGGCGGCGCTTTTCGACAACAGAACTTGGCAGCGTGTCGCCAGAAGGTATTTTGGAGGGGGGTCATGCAAGGTTCGTGTGTAACAGGCGGCGTGGTAGTGGCCTCGAGGGGCCTTCTGAGAGGTTTTGAGAATGTCTGTCGATTCTGTGGTTTCTGTGAGAGGCCATAGCGATGCAAGCAACTGACGTCGATCGAAGCATCGATGGATTCTTGGCACTGGCCAAGAAGCTCAGGACATCAGCTCCACTTCGTCAGGGTTGCTTGAAGTTCTGTAGCTGCTGTAGCTGCAGAAGCTGTGTCATGGTAGAGCCAATGCCATGCAGGAAAACAGATCAAGTAGACGATCTTGTTGCAGACGAAGCTGAGCCAGCAGACGTGGAGTTCACGTTTGGATGGGACTGCTCTGGGCCTAAGGGTCTTGTTGTAAGGCATCATGTAAGCTGGAATAGAACGAATGGGGACAACAGCTTCGCCCAGGCTCTGCCATTCCTTCCTTCGAGGCCTCCGGCTGAGGCCCCACTTCGTCTTCACACGCGCATGCCATCGCAGCACTTTGCATTCTTGCTGTGAGGCCGCAGGCCAGCTTCGGAGGTCAGAGTCCAGGAGATGAGAGTTTCCTGCTAGTCACTGCTAGTCCATGTCAGTCCCGATCTGCTTTTTCCCGAGAGAAAACCCGCCAAAGTACCTATCAAACATCAGTTGTAAAGTGCATCACTTCGTTCGCGGATTTGTTTCCCGAATCACACACGCGCTGTTCACATTGGGCAGCGCCTTGCTGCTCGTGGACGTTGTGTGGTATCTAGGGTTGCTGTGATCGGAGCAATGCTCCCAGTGCTCGGATACTTGACACGGCCGCTCACTCAATGCTTGTTAAGTTGTTGCTGTTTTTGTTCTTCGCTCAGAAAGAGATGCTCTTTCACATGTGATGGCGGCCTGTAGCCGGTGTCTTTCGAGCGACCGGGCCTTTGTGGCAGTAAGTTGAGAGCTTGAGACTGTGCAAAGATGTGCAAAGTCAGGGAGTATCGAAGGACCGGAAGTTCGATGTTGACTATGCAGAGCTTCAAAGAAGCAGTGCTGCAGTGCTCAGAGATGCAACGCGTGCATCAAGAAACATAGACCGGCACGCGTAGAAGCTTCGGTGCCCTGATTGTGCTTTGACGTGGCAACAGCGCAGTGCTGTGACCTTCTGACTTGTGCTCTGCAGCTTGAAAGCATTGCTCTTCGTGCCTCCAATTCTTGAGTTTCTCTGAGCCTGGAGCTATGGCCCCAAAGACTCAGAAGAAGGGCACAAAGCGACCAGCTCAGGCGGCCGCTATGGAAATCTATTACTATAAAGCTACAAAGTATTGCTTCGCGACAGTCTATCCAATACCCAGGTGTCTACGGGGTAGTGAAAGATGTGAAAGGACATTGCAAGGCTGACCCTTGCCATGAAAGGTTGGAGAACATTTGAAGCGCAACTGAGCATAAGAGTCACCACGTATGTGTTCACAAACACTCTTGAGTGTCACAGAAGGCCCAACGAGGATGCTGTATCTCGGGGCATGCCCCTCCTGCAAGGAAGCTCTGCAGCTTGAAGAAGGCAGCTAAAAGCTGCCGCAATCTACACAACATTATACAACCTACACCTATACTGTGATCACCCTCTACCCTCAACAGGTCGCCCCTCTGACTTAGCCCGCCTTCGTGCCTTGACCCCTCGGGTGCTTCCAAGGGCATGACATCAAGCCAAACAGAAAGCAAATGAAAGTAAATAGCACATCTGAATGTTCAGGAGCCCGCGGCGAGCGAGGCCAAGAAGCTGAAGGACATGTTGCAAAAGAAGGGCGTGGCCAAGTCGGCGTACGATGGCCGCTCGGCTGTTTTCAAGTTCTTCTGAAGCTGGTTGCGCCGAGCACGAGTGAAGCTCGAGTTACTGCTGCGGCCTCTGCAGGTATTGTTGCTGGCATCCAGCACCCGTTGGCAGAGAACTTGACAGATTCTGTCCGCCAGATGCTGTTGGCAATGCTTCCAGAGGCGGGCGGCTTTGGGAGTAGTTGCAAAGGTTGCAAAGGCCCAAGTAGGCCCAAGTCCTAGCAAATATGGGTTGTCACTTGAGCTCCCTTTGAGCTCCCTGGTCCAGGGCCTTTGTGTTCCAGAAGAGCGGCACGAGGCCCAGGAGTCTTACGTTGGCATGCTCTCCGAAGTCTTCGAGGGCATCATGGCCAAGCTACAGGATGACGTGAAATTTGCTTCGGCAGAAGTTGCCCGTGTTGAAGGATCCAAGTCTGGCCTCGAATCCAAAGTGATGGAATCTGAAGCAGCCTTGCAGGCTGCTGAAACCCGTGCTGCCGAGTGCAAGGTGATGTTGGCCGACTCCACCAAAACAGTCCTGGCTTGCAAAGCAGCTCTCGGTGACAAGGAGAGGCTTCAGAAAGAAGGCGATGCTGCCTTTGAGGCTGCCAAGGCCGAGAAAGCTGCTCTGGAAGAAGCACTCTCTCAAGACTTCCGCCTGCTTCGGGATGGTGAGGTTGAAGGAGAAGTGGCTGGGACTCACTACAAGAAGCTGGAAGGGCTGGTAAGCAATATTGGCCTGGAAACCAGCTTGATGACGGCGTTGCCCACTTGTATGATCAAGAAGCCGGCTGACCGCGGTTCCTTCGATGCAATGGTGGTTGCACAGCTTCAAGACAAGCTGTCCACACGGATTTCGGATCTGGCTGAGATCATCCAGTCAGGTCAGCCAAGTGCTGCTGCGCGCCAGGAGGCAGTCGACACAGCACGTCAGGATCTGGATGCTGCCAAGCAGGCGCAGCAAGAAGCAGCAGAAGGGCTGAAAGCTGCCACCGATCTTCGACAAGAGTGCGAGAGCCAAAAGGCGACTGCAGCACTGAATGTGGAGCAGCATGAGCCTGAACTCAGCGCCGCAAAGAAGACCATGGTCGAAAAAGAAATGGAGCGGGATGCTTTCCAAGGCTACAACTTTGCCTGCTTCAAGAATCTCCAGAAGCGGCGAACAGACACGAAAACTACCCAGATGTCTGCAGCACGCGAACAACTCGAGGTGGCAGCAGCTCTGGAGATGGCTGAGGCAGGGGCTTGAAGGCTTCTTGAAGGAGTATGACATCCGATTCTAATTCGAGCATGATAGGCTCGGAGAGTACACATATTGCAAGACGCTGAATGTTCCCGGGCGCGATCCCAGAAAACATTCAGCAAATTTGGCGAGTAGCTAAACTCTGGTTCCTAGTGACTCTGATGGCATTGATGTGTCCCGATCGGCGCAGTATGGCAAGATGTGGCAAGCTCGCATTTGCCTGGGGGCTGGCAAAATCTCAATTCTGGTGAGCTTTCCGGCCATCAAGCTGAGAGGAAGGAAGGCAGAGTGTGGAAAACAATGCTGTTCTGGCACGGCGGTTCATTTGCACTGCCCTGCTGCGTCAGCCAGAAGACATGGCTCTAAGAACATGGCTTGACGGTTTCTGCGCCTTCTTCTTGAGATCATATCATGCCTTAGCCAAGTTCACAATCAACATGTCGGTACGTCCTCACACATGTCAATCGCAAAAGTCAAGTCAAGCTGCAGGGGGCTTTCGGGAAATGGACTGCGGAGCAAAGGAGGGCGAAGGAGAGACGCAGAGAGGAACGCAGAGCCGAGAATAGAGGAGAGAGAAAGAGAGAAAGAGAGGGAGAGGAAAAGAAGAGAGCAGGAGAGGGAAAGAGAGGAAGAGGATGGATCTTGCCACTGCAGGTCATGCACGGTTGTAGTTCATGCGATGGTGCAGATCATCTCTTTGATGGCCCTTTGCTCCTCCTGGGCCGCTGGTGCTGCGGATGTTGATGCGGCTTGTGCACGGCGCCTTACTGATGTTGACGAAGACCTGCTGGTGCAGACAAAGCTGTCGAGCATCGGCACGAATATCGTTCTGGCACCCAGCGGTTCACGGCACGGCATTGCGGCCGGCTTGCGATGCCCGAAATGGACAACTTGCCTGCGCTACAGTGCGACCTTTCCGCTCACATCAAATGGCTATCCCGTCATTGACTTCGTGATGCGTTTCTACATGGGTGAGGCCTTGGATGCTGCCATGGAGACCCTGTCTTGTCCCTATTCTCCGCTTATGGCGACTGAACTGCACGACGACGAACCCGAGAGTGCGGCGGAAGGAACCTTCAAGGGTGCCAAAAACAATGGCGCTGACCAGTACGCTGTCTACTACGCTGGGTATCCGTTGGCCAACCTCACACGACCAGGCTTCGCAGGCCTGAACGCGACGCTCCTGGGTTTGTGGCCGAACGCTGCATACGTTTCCCTGGTGGTATACTACGGCCTGACCAGAGCAAACAAGTCTGCGCTCACTTTCGTGCAGTACGAGGCAGCATCTTTCGACGCATTCGGAAGCGGAGTCCACTGCTGGGCGTCCGCCTCAAACCCTTTTGTTCGAGGAAGCCCCACGGTGCAGACCTACCTCAGGCAGACAAGCTGCGCAGACAGGAATTGCACAATGGGAGCAACCTCCCTGAGCGAGTGGAAGAGCATGAACGAGACAAACGATATCCAGAGATTCAGCGCATCCAGCTCACAGCCGAGGCGGCGGCTGCTGACCAGTTCATCCGGTTTAAGGAGAGCAGCTCGAAACTGCAGGACGGCAGGGCAACTGCCTGGGGTGCTGCTGAGGTTGATAGGGGGTCTCGGGCTTAAAGTTTGGGGTTTGTTTTTTTTTGCTTAGTCCGTTTAACGTGTAGGGTTGAGAGGCCGCACATCGAAACCTCTTAAATCCCAAACCCCACCAAAGACCCCCCCCCCCCCCCGAGCGCGAGGAGTGTGCGGTACAGACGGATGTGGCATCCATGGCGCAGGTGTCGCAGGTAGGGAAGGGTTGTAGTGGGCTTCGGGGGTTTCGCCTCAGTGGGTTTAAGGCGCCTGTAGGGTTTAGGAGGCTTGTCGGGTTGGGGCTTCCTCAGACCAGATGCAGGGACGGCAACGTATGCAGAGATGCAAACACTGACGTCTATCGCATGTCCGCTGACTTAACAAACCTGGTTGGCGCAGACGCCCCCACGGGGACTTGCGCAGACTCATACCTCCTCGCAGCTGCAGAAGGTATTGTTCTGAAGTACCCTACCCTGAATTGGACGGGCGTGTCGGTATACAACTTTTCATATGGCTTCGTCAAGATGCAAGTGCCCTTCGTTTTCAACAATGCTGAGGCTAAAGTGTATCGAGGGCTGCTATCAGCTGATCATAAGCATGGCTACGACCTCGACTATTGGTCTGTTAGCAGCAGCTGGTACCAGGACAGCAACAACAGCAACTCGAACCCACAATTACCCTTCACCGTGAACGCGCTCATGATGCAAGATGCTGGCATGATGACCGACAGAGGCTACAGTTTCGTGCTCTTCGCGCCCGTTTCTGAAGTGCAGGCGTTATACCACACAAAGGCGTTCAACAGCACAACGCCGCCGAAAGCATACCTGCCTGGGCCTAAAGTGTGGGCGTACGTGCTGGCTGCACCTACCTATGCCTTCATTTTTCGCTACAAGAATCCCAGCTCCGCCTGGGCTGGCAGCCCGGCCAATGTGCCATGCGCTGCGACTACCAACGACATGTCCAACTCTACTGCAGGCTGCGAGACTCTTGGCAGTTGGGCTCCGAAAGTCACGCGGGTGAGCAGTGGGGCCAAGGGTGTTGCGCTGAATGGCCTGCGGCAGCTAGCAGCCCTGGTGGTGTGAGCCTTCGGCCAGAGCCCAACGTTTCGTGGAACAAGCCGAGAAGGCTTCGCTGACGCTGGTGAGGTTGCTTTTTCTGCTTGCGCCATCTCTCTGTTGTTCTGCTCGTTCCACACTGGCTTTGCTGCCCAAGATGGGAGCGCCGAATGGGGAGCCGCTGTCCATCCGATGTAGTTGTTAAAACCCTCCAAAACCGCTTGCAACCACGCAGGCAGCTCTGGGGTGTCCAGAACTGTGATGTTAACATTGCTGCTAGTCCTACTGTTGGGGATTTTGTCACATCTTGGCTTCCATTGTAGTTAGGCAATGTTTTAGTATGATTGTTGGCAGTCTGGTAACTCTGGTAACGGCGAATACTGTTGGTAGTGTTGCTGTTGGAGGTAACATCATTGTAGAAAATACTATTTGGCATTTTGCATGCTGTTGTTAATAGTATGGTGAATTTAATGAATGGTGCTTTTTGATGTAGCCATCTGTCAGACTCTGCTGGACATAATGTTGATATCATTGCATCATTTGTATGCCCTAAATCAGAGACAATATTCATCTGGCCTGGTGAAGGGTGTTGGCCCAAGGCAGTTTCAAGCCACAGAGTTCGGCACGTTCAGCTAGGATTCGCGTCAGTGGTTTTTGAAAAAATCCCACGATGAGTCCGCAAAGCTTGCGTGCCAGCACGTGCATCAAGGAATTCTCATCAGCACTCGAAGGAAATAACAGAAATATTCCGAGTTTGGAGAGCCAATGTGCCTCTTCACAGCCCTGGCTCTGTTCGCAGTTGCTGCAAATGCGGCCGTTGAGGTGCGGCTGACGGCTTGGTTACTAGCCTAGCTAGTTTAAGGGCTTTGTGACCCGCGCAAAGGAGGGCAAGTGGGGCTGGATAGATGTGGATGCCTGGACCTGAGATTCCACCCGATTCCTTGTCCTTACTTGGCAACTTCAGGTCAGCTTTGTCGTACGGCTCGGAGCTGGCTTTCCACATATGCTTCCGCAACTCAAACTGAGACCGGCAACATAGACGAAGTCCTGAAGCAGGGGCCGATCTTCGTGAAGCAGCGAGCTCAGAACGTGGTCGGCCGGACTCTCGCACACACTGTCGCAATGATGTACCTCGCATCTCAACAGCAGATGATTGGGAAGGTTCTTTGCTCCATGGTGCTCACATTGCAAAAACATGGCGAAGGAGCGCGCAAAATGCTTCACTAATGCAAATGCAAATGCAGTCAAGAAGCAAACGCGGCCTTGTCTGCTTGTTTGCAACGGCTCAGCGGCTTCCCTCCAGGATTTCCATCGGGTGGCCCAGGAGGAGCTACCGGCCCCTTGGCTTCAGCTTTGCCTCGCTGTTTCATTGTGTTCTTGTGTTCTCTATCATGCTTTCCTTACGCTGTTCTTTTTTTTTTGTTTTTTGGTTTTTTGGGGTTTCGAGGGTCCGCTTCGATCTGATGGCAGGATGGGATTCGTGTCGGGAGCGGTGACCTTGGACTCGCAAATTACTGCCGGCTGATCATGCGATTGGTTGCCGCCAACTGCAGCGAATCTAACGTTCGCATACTAAGGGGTGGACTCAACCAAGAACCCAGCTCTCAACAAGCGCTTTGGCATTTCTGGGTACCCGACACTCCTCATGCGTTCGCCTTACCGTGCGAAGCTCTTGCTTGAACTTATGAGGATGATGCTAAACTAGGGTCCCTTACAGATGCCTTTTGTAATAGGATCTCTTTTAACGAAGAAGTCCCCCAAACGGAACGTCGGAAGGGACCCTAGTTTAGAACAACCAACTGCTGTTGTACTTACTGCATATGGCAGCGCTACCCTAACAGCAAGGCTCAGCGACGAAGGCAGGGACATGAGAAGGCCGCTGAGATGATGAGCGCTGAAACAAAGAGCCGTCCCAACATGTATGCTCCCTGTCATGTGCCCTGCAGTTACTCGGGAGACCGTTCTTTTAACAGCCTCCTGGAGCGACTTGGCTCCCAAAGCCCTAGCAGTCAGGGAGGATCCAGTTATATCCAGTTCATATGTCAGTCATATGTCAACATACTGGTAGCGTGTGCCATGCAAGCCCATGCACGTGCCGAGGTTTGCTCAAGGTGGTTGGAAAACAGCTCCTGTGTACCCCACACAGAAGATGCAGCTGTGATGAAGCGACTTGGAGTGGACAAGCTGCAAGGGAGAATGTGAAATCAGGCACGACCCCGCCAAGCCGCGACCAAAGCAGTCCTTTGGCGATCAGTTGCAGGGGCCTCGAGATTATGAACATCTGTCCTGGAACAGTCTACGCTGGCAAGTTAACCGATCGGCCCACGCCACGTTCAGGAAGAGCCTTCCGTGGACAGCACCCTGTCTGAAGGAAATCATGTGACAACGTCAAGTGCAAGCCAGCATTGTATGATTACATGATGTTGCATGTGACTGTGTCAGACAAGGTCAAAGCAGTGGGTCTCCTTTTCATCGTTGGTGCAGGCCTCAGGCGTTCGGAGGATCCTGATGGGCGTCTCGCGATGTGCTGTCTTGAGCATCACATGCGGGGGATCCCCTTGAGGGTTCCGTTTGTATAGGGTTCTATGATAAGTTGAATGTCATAATTTAGCGCAACCCGCCAATGAAAGAATGTCCAGGGGTGAGATGGCAAATGCCTGGGTAGTCAGAATTTTTGCTCCTGTGCAGGATTGCCCTTGTCGATCTTTGCTGCCTGCCACCATCTCAGCTTTCGTATCAATCAGGCCTGATGGATTGGAACCAACCCCGCAATCGACTGTTAGTGACCAGCAGTCAGACTGAACAGCCGAACACATCCGGCCCCGGTTTCACTCAAACTGATGAGTTTCCGCCACACCATTTTAAGTGGAATTGTCGGACTGATGCATTGGAAAGGTGCCTAGAAGCCTGGTCACACAGCCGCCCGAAACGATGAACTTTGGATTACATGCATCCATTGACGTGGAACATGGTGGGGCCGGTGGGGCCTATTGGATGCTGCATGGCTGGTGCTGACATCGTGTGACTCTCGTAGCGGTCACAGTTTTTCCTGGATCGTCAGCTTGCAGCGCTGGCATTCGATGTGTTGCGGACCAGACCCTGCAGCATGGCCATAGCCTGCGAATCAAGTGATGTGGCCAACGACGCTTCGTGATCAGAGCCATCCAAGCATCTATGTCCATGCAGCTGAAGCTTGGACAAAAGTAGACGGAGCAAAGGCCGAGCGGTGTGCCAAAGCATGTCAGTCGCTAAGATCGTGAGGTGCCAACATGCCATCACAGCCATATGCACTCGCGAAAATCAGAACGTTGTTTTCCACGCGGTGCATCACAACCACATCCGCTCAGACGGGATGGGTGGGGGAGGTAGGGGGGTGGTGCGGACGTGGCAGGAATGCGGCATCCTGTGGCCATGCTATGCTTTGCGTTTGGCTTTTCGCGCAGCCGAATTTCGATATTGGATCTGGCGCGTGTAAGCAAAAAGGATTGCTCGCGAAAAGAAATCGTCGGATCTGCAGGGAAAAGCCCGAAAACATCGTTTTCGGTATTTGCTGCGAGCATGTCCGTTTTCCTACGACAATGGCAATAATATTGCGTGCGAGAGTTTTTGAGTGTTTGCGAAGTTGTTTGAGACGTTGCAGAAGCTTTTGCATTTCAGGTTTGACGCGGCGGTGCGAAATTTGAAGAATTGCATTGTTGTGTGAACTTTTTGGGATTGGGGAAGTTTTTATGTTTGAATTTTCGATTCTTCGATTTGTTGGAAAAACGGACGGCTCAGCTGTTTTCGAAATTTTGCACTTGTGCAAGAAGCACGCACGTGTCTTTGTAATTAGCATGTGGATTTCCGTTTCTGGTTGGTCCTGGAGTGAATCAGAAAGGGACAGCGTGCTTGATGTGGCCGAGGATGATTGTCTTTCGAAGTTATCCATGTAGCTGAAGCACGTTTGATGCACAAGCGACGTGTGACCAATGGAGCAGAGGCCAGCAGTAACACACCCACAATGCCGCTTGATGCGGCAAGGGAAGCATGTTTGATGCAGCGATGCGTGACCAAGGGAGTAGAGCTCAAGTTTAGTTTTTCTAGTTGAATCGGGATGGGATTGAATCAGGATGGGACAGCGTGCTTGATGTGGCCGAGGATGTTTGTCTTTCGAAGTTATCCATGTAGCTGAAGCACGTTTGATGCACAAGCGACGTGTGACCAATGGAGCAGAGGCCAGCAGTAACACACCCACAATGCCGCTTGATGCGGCAAGGGAAGCATGTTTGATGCAGCGATGCGTGACCAAGGGAGTAGAGCTCAAGTTTAGTTTTTCTAGTTGAATCGGGATGGGATTGAATCAGGATGGGACAGCGTGCTTGATGTGGCCGAGGATGATTGTCTTTCGAAGTTATCCATGTAGCTGAAGCACGTTTGATGCACAAGCGACGTGTGACCAATGGAGCAGAGGCCAGCAGTAACACACCCACAATGCCGCTTGATGCGGCAAGGGAAGCATGTTTGATGCAGCGATGCGTGACCAAGGGAGTAGAGCTCAAGTTTAGTTTTTCTAGTTGAATCGGGATGGGATTGAATCAGGATGGGACAGCGTGCTTGATGTGGCCGAGGGTGGTTGTCTTTCGAAGTTATCCATGTAGCTGAAGCACGTTTGATGCACAAGCGACGTGTGACCAATGGAGCAGAGGCCAGCAGTAACACACCCACAATGCCGCTTGATGCGGCAAGGGAAGCATGTTTGATGCAGCGATGCGTGACCAAGGGAGTAGAGCTCAAGTTTAGTTTTTCTAGTTGAATCGGGATGGGATTGAATCAGGATGGGACAGCGTGCTTGATGTGGCCGAGGATGATTGTCTTTCGAAGTTATCCATGTAGCTGAAGCACGTTTGATGCACAAGCGACGTGTGACCAATGGAGCAGAGGCCAGCAGTAACACACCCACAATGCCGCTTGATGCGGCAAGGGAAGCATGTTTGATGCAGCGATGCGTGACCAAGGGAGTAGAGCTCAAGTTTAGTTTTTCTAGTTGAATCGGGATGGGATTGAATCAGGATGGGACAGCGTGCTTGATGTGGCCGAGGATGATTGTCTTTCGAAGTTATCCATGTAGCTGAAGCACGTTTGATGCACAAGCGACGTGTGACCAATGGAGCAGAGGCCAGCAGTAACACACCCACAATGCCGCTTGATGCGGCAAGGGAAGCATGTTTGATGCAGCGATGCGTGACCAAGGGAGTAGAGCTCAAGTTTAGTTTTTCTAGTTGAATCGGGATGGGATTGAATCAGGATGGGACAGCGTGCTTGATGTGGCCGAGGATGATTGTCTTTCGAAGTTATCCATGTAGCTGAAGCACGTTTGATGCACAAGCGACGTGTGACCAATGGAGCAGAGGCCAGCAGTAACACACCCACCATGCTGCCAAAGGATTGAATCGGACTGGCGCAGCTTGCTTGGTGTGGCCGAGGGTGACTGTCTGTCGAAGTTATCCATGTAGCTGAAACACGTGTGGCCCATGGAGCAGAAGCCACGCTGGTCGAGCAATCGAAGTACAGCATGAGACGTTGTGTGGACATATTATTGTCCTGTCATTTGCGTTGTTGGGCTTGCGTAGTGCTTCGTTTTCGTGCCTCTTCGATGCGCATGGTGGAAATGCGAGACGTAAGCCCCCACCGGATCCCGCCGTTGGCTTTGTTTGCGCCGCAGATCCGATCAAGTTGGCGCTGGCTGGCAAAAGCAACAAAACCGTCTCGAATGGACTTGCCCCCTTGAAAATCTGCTGCAAGCCTGGAACATCCAGAACTCCCAAGCATTGCAAAGCCTTCCTGGACCTGCAGTTGCGGTACTTGAGCCGAGCATTTGTGATTTTCTGAGGTTACGATGTGTACACAGAGAAACAGCGTCGTGATGCCCGGCGAGCTGAGCGCAAAGCTGAAGCTGGCAAGACGGACTGAGGTCACCAGGGCGCGGAACTCTGCGTTCCGGCGTGTGTTGAAAAGACATTTTCCGAGTCGCCTGGCCCTGTGCGCCGACACTTGTGTCAGCAGGGAGATGAAAGGGGTAGAGGCAGGTCGATTCGGCACGATGGAGATACAAATTGTTGATAATTATTATGTGCTCTGAATTGACACAGATAATGCAAATCGTTGTGCGTCGCTGCTTCAGCTGCAACAATTTTTAGAGGGCTCTCTCAACGCAAGAACTAATTGCAGGTTGCAGCTGACAACGTATCCGACATGCCCTCACATGCACGAAACCTAGCTATCCAGTGAACCTTTTAGCGAAACAATGTCATGCTCTTCCATATGCCGGACGTGGCGGAACCTTCAGTCATGCACTGGCACAGTTTGACACGAACGCGTCTTACAGAGTGTTTACATCACTCACATGTTCGGCGATGACGAATGAGCAGCTCTCAAACTTCGAGGAGCAGCGGCGACACCCCTCCCAGCCCAATGTGCCAAGGGGATTGAGTGGGGCAGGTTGAATTGACAATCTCGGGGTGTTATTGCCGCTTTAGCGAACCTATGTCGTTTGGTGATCTGCGGCCTTGCCAGGAGCTTAAAACCACAGTGGTGAAGAGGCGGTACTGTATTGTGCGAGTCAAGTCACAAGATATCAAGAATCGATCGGAATCGGAAGAAACACAGGTGTGCACACAACTCCACACTAAACTCCGCTAATTTCCTCCTGCTCCTTCACATACTCACAACTGAACCCTGGCCAGTTTGGAGACCTCCGGGCTGCTGTCACAGATCAGGGCGCAGCTGCGTGCGAATGTCTTTAAGGCCAAGCCGGATAAGCCGGGGCTGATCGGTGAGAGGACAGGGTATCGGCGGTGGATTTCGTGAGCGTGAGCTGTTAGGCGATTGGAAGTTCTGGCGATGCGAGCGAGACTCAGGCAAAGAAGCTGGGCCCGGGCCTTCAGTGATCATTCTCCCAGCTTTTCAATCGAGGTGAGAAGTGCACTCAGGTGATGGAAGCCCCTTCACAGTGCTCTCAATGGAGCTTGTGGCCGAGTTTTTCCAGGCTGGTGGCCCTGTTCTTGTGTGCATGTTCGCACCGTTTTTCGCCCCTGACATTCGGCGTCTCTCTGCGCCCTGCCCTTCATTATCCTGCCATGAACAAAAGCACAGTGACAAGCTCAACTTCGTGGCGTGTGTTTTCCGGGTGGGCTTGGCTTTTTCAGAGAAGATTATAGGACATGATCATACAATCATACATTATGGTCTTCGAAGGGTGCTGGGCTGGAGCTTCAATTGTGTCCACCTCGGAGCTGGATGCTTCCGGCACAATGGACATAGACTCAAGCCATTGTCGAGGCACCAGCAAAAGTTTCGAAGGTCTCAATTCACAGACTGGCCCGCGCCCACTCTCAAAAAACCTCAGCACCATCCAGTTTGACCGTTTTCCAGCTCACGCAAGCCTTAAAACAGAGCGCCCGAGCCTTGCTCCCCCAACCCTCACAGCCCAACCGTCCGGGTTTCGAGCTTCTCGCTCGGACTCGCTCCCTGAAAGCATGGCTGAGAGCAACGAGCAGTGTGAAAGACTCACGTCTTCGGGATTTCCAAATCAATCTTGGGCTGCGGCTCGAAAACGGGAGAAGCACTGCCAGCGTTAGTGTTGCGGTGTAATTAATTGTAAGCCCTCGAGCGCCGCCTCGGCAGCCAGGATGGTCGCAGGGGCGTCAGGGGCCCAGGGCATCCTAGGCGGCCGGGGAGCCTTCCAGCAGGCCAAAGCCACTTTTCGTGTTTGTTGCCCCCGCATCCTGGAGGGGGGGGAGGCGGGCTCGGTGTTTGGGGGGTGCGGTGCGGGATGAGAGGGGTGGGAGGGGCTTTGGCGGGGTTGGCGTGGTTCGAGAGCCGATCGGTTGGTTGCTTGATCCAGACGCGTCTCGGCTGGGGGAGGCGAACATGGCGGAACATCGTACATATTTGCACTTGGCAACTTCCTTTTTATGAAGCCTTTTGTGCCAGTTTCATGGTCTTCACCATTCCCTGTCGGTCTTCCAGTGCGAGGCTGGCTTTTGCAGTCGCAGGGGCTCAATGGGGCTCAACCTGTTTCGTGTCGGTTGCAGCATGTTGTAGCAGTGCAATGTGGCATGGTCGGGCATTGCGACTGCAAGTTAGACTACAAGGCACTTCAATACACTTCATGAATATTTTAATTTCCGGAGGCTCAGCTGACAACATCTTGCGCAGAAGCCCCAACATCTCTCAGGAGGCATGATGGGGTCGTGTCATCACCGTGGAAGGGCAAATGCGAGGCACAGGCAGATTGCAAGTGAGAGGCGCAGTGAGCTGGTGGCGGAAATGGAGCTGGAGCACTGGCCTCAGATGTTCTGAGACTGTTCTGAGACAGAGGGGCATCGTTGCTCGCATTCACGGCCAAGGCATCTGGAATCCGAAAACTGTTCCGTGCTCGAGCAGCTTGTGGAAGCCAGAAGGCACCTTGACTCTGCATGCCCAAACGACCATCCCTTCTTGAGGGTGTTGAACCCAGGGAAACTTTCCGGTTCGGCACAGGCACAATGACAGGCGAATATCCTTTTGTTAGATTCTTACATGTCTCGGTTCTGTTCCCAGTTGATGCAGTGCTGCATCTGGTTTGAAGTTCAGGTGTGTGCGAAAGAGTTGCATGTAGCGTCATGTTGCCAATGATTCGTTGGCAAGGGAACCTGTGCCTTCTATGAAGGCAGGTTTCAACTGACAGCATGCTCGCACAATCGTTGCTTGAGCCTGATCGTGGTGGCGATGATGACTACCAGCCGCAGTCGGCTGCGAAATCACTGCGCGCTCAACTTGCAGGAATACGCACCTCAAACGATATCACACGAGAGGCCCTGGCTCCTGCGTGTGAAACGGCAACGAGGTTCTTCTTTTTCCGTGCGTTTTCGATGCTGGCTTCGATCGCACCTTGTGCACCGTAGCTGAGGTTTGTGGGTTCAGCAGTCTTGCAGGGAAGGCATCGAAGGTATTCGCCAAGAAACTTGCATGGGGGGCATTCGCGACCGGGCAGTGGGCCAGCGATGCCAAACTCCCCAGCTCTGGCCGCTCTGGTCTACACATGTGCTCCGCCCCTGTAAGCAGTTCTGTCTTGCACATTTTCTGGTCTGACGCTTCCAACGCCTGCCTTGCCAAAACCACTTGCTGGCACTGACGCGAGTGCTTGTGTTTCGGAGGAATCGGAGGAAGCTTGCAGTGGCTTGCCTTTGACATACGCCAGATGGCATCCCGCAAGAAGAAGCCTTTGGGGTTTTTGCACTTGCTGTTTTTGAAGCTGCAGGCCAAGAGTAAATGCTCAAGCTATTGTTCCTGTGTGTTCAGTTGCCTTCTAAAGCCTCCTGCCGACACGGGGGCTGTCAAGAGCTTGTAAAGGGGGATCCAAAACAACACTCCAAAAGAAGAGGGCATGCCGCCTGACCTTTTGCGCCTGAACAGGGTGGATGTGCCACATCGGTCTGTTTCGGAGCAGCAGCCAGAAGAGAAGGAAGAGGTGAAAATCCAGGCGACCTGTTTGCCTGCTAGGCGGAAGATCGATGTCAAAGAATCTTTCTTGACTTGCGAGGTACAATCTCCGACTCACAAGGAGTTAGCGCCACCGAAGAAGCCCAAGTCAGCCCTCTCAGATGGTTGCGTGATGCCGGCACTGGGGCTGGTGCTTGGCAAATTGAACGAGCTGGTTGGTGCAGAGGTCTGACACTTGGCCAACTTCGTCGACTACGACCTGCCATAATGCAGAAGGCCCATAGCACGCGAGATTGAAAATGGTACAGGAGCAGAACCCAAAGCAGAGCAATCCAACATCTCAGCCTAGGGAAGAGGCTTGTGTGCCCACGAAGGCGAGAGACGAGGGCTGCATCGACGGCTCTCGGATCCTCTCGGTGTCGCCACGGCCCTGGAGTCTGGAGGGAAACGGAGAATGCAGTGTGCTGTCATAACACACACACACACACCTTGTCACTTTGGCAGGAGGCCCTCCAAAGCCTGTCTCAGCAGAAGTCTCCAGGCCTTCGTAGCTCTGCGATTTCTTTGTTACCATGCAAGCATCGTTTGTCCTCTGCCCGATGCCGTCCAGGCATGGCAAACTTTCCAGGCAAAGTGGTTGGGGATCATCTTGGCATATCTCTTACATGTTTGCACGGAATCATGCTGTTGTGGGATCAGTTTGCCTCGCTGGGCTTTGCCAACTCGGCAAGGCTCCTTGACGTCCCCAGTGGGCATTGCGGCATGGGGTCCAGGGAGAGGGCGTGATATCGGCAGCGTGCCGAGACTGCTGAAAGCTGCCACTTGCAGACCTCAGCAGCTTTGCTTCTGTATTGTTGATGAACGAAGGCATGCTGACAACCAGCCCTTTGGGACATCGACAGCGGCTTCCGCCCCTCAGCAGATCCGGCCTGAGTATACCATGCAGCGCAGGAGATTCCTGACACGCCAGCAGGGTTCCCGCAGAGGTAGGTATTGTGATGCACTGCGGAGACACGTGAGGTGTCATGATATGCCAGCAAAAAGGTGAGAGCGCGTCGTCCACTGGCATCACTTGCGCACCTGACTACAGTGCCAGGGTCTTAGTCATTTTAGCTTTTGCCTTCCGATCCACGGCCCGGCGGCACTCGCCTGTTCATGGGGTTTTGCAGCACTCTGGCGGGATGCTTTGTTACAAGTACTGCGCAGCAGAATCTTCTGGTCAACAGGTGCAATCAGACTCTGGTTGAGCGCCCTGGCGCATCTGCAATTGGCACCCGGCACGGGACACGACCGAACAGACGGCGTAGCCTTATGTTCCCGTGTTCTCTCTCATGTCGACCCGGTGATCCTGTATACAGCTTATTGCCAGGCAACACTACCGGTTTTCGTAGCCAGGACACGCTGTGCTGAATTGTAGCAGACACGGAGAAGAGTGAGTCGCTGGGAAGCGTCTGACATCAATTAAGAGCCGGATCGTGGTGCTTTGCCGCAGCTTGCTGGAGCTGCAGCGTTTATGGAGGCCCGGAGGCGGCGTCAGAGAGCGCGTGGAGCTACAATGTATCAGAGTATCGTAGAATACTTGGAGATGTAGTGCGAGGACCGGGGATCTTTCTTATCGTTTCAGCATTCCCGGTGATTTTTGTGCGACTGTTTGCATTTTTTTTTGCATTCTGGTCGTCCCGCAGCAGATACCGACGGTTTTAGTCCCCATGAGCCCGCATGGATCTGTCATCCGAATTGTTTCAACTGTGCTGTAATGGACTACTTCACCAAAGTGCTCTTTCAGCCCCGTCCTGGCCTTCCATGTATGGTACTGCAAGGATGATGTCGTGGTTGTGGAGCGGCGGGTGTCCTGGAAACCCAGGTGTCTCTAATGCCTTGTACAAAACAATATTGACGGTTTCTGTTGCGCTTTCTAGCCGGATGTCCAGCCATGCTGTAACGTGATGAAGCATGGTTTCTAGGTATTGCCTCCGCTCATCCAACACAGTTGTGCTTCTGGCACAGCCAGCTGACAGTGCGTCATAGCTAAGCCAACGCAAAAAAAACACCTTTGGGGGAAGCTTGCCGAAGCTGATCGAAGCTAGGGTTGAGCCTCCAAAGTAGACGAGACTGTCAGCTGGCGTGTATTCCAAGACATGTTGCACGCACAATGGTGCTGGACCATTCGCCGTGCATTTTTCGTGTGGGCTAAAGGATCACTACCAGTTGTGTTATCGGCAAGGTTGCACTTGAAATCTCCGCCAAATCCTGCTGCCAACTGCTTCGAGCACTAATGTAATGTATGGTGGCCACATGCTGAAGCGTCGTGGTGAGATTGTTCAAGAAGGAGCTAGATGGCCGGGATGGTTTCCGTCTCGTCTTTTGTACCTTGGTTGCCCGTCTGAACCTTTGTGAATTGCGATGGGTTCTCCTCCTCAGTTGCGAACAAGCTGCGCAAACAAGATTGCTGTAGGTATCCATAGGTGACAATATCCAGGCAACGGAAGTTCGCTTTTCAGGGTGAAAGCTAACCCATTGAGGTGTTGCACAAGACCGCTGCAAGATCAATACATTCAGAACTGGCTGCGCAGTTCGTTTGCAGTTCGGCGGTTCGTTCCCATGTAACATACGACTTTACCGGTGGCCAGGATGAATTGCAGCAGTGTGCCTTGTGTGCAAGATGTTGAGGGGAAAAATCGTCACGGGCTGTAACTGCAGCACGGGGCAACAAAGTAGTGCAACGAAACGGTCGTCTTCTGTTGGTTCTATTTTGGCCCCGGCTGTTCTGCATTTTGTCGCAGACAGGGATGAGGGTTCGCTGTTTGCTTCAAAAAAAGGAAGAGGGGCTGCATGAAATCAGCATGCCTGCACGCTCCATGAAGTTGGCCATCTTTGTCAACATCCGCCCTGCTCCTGTCATGAAGGTAGTACGTTTAAAGAAGGGTTGTTTACTAGCATCCCACGGAAGCGTTGGATCTGGAGCCAAGCCGACGGCGATGAACTCAGGTTGGCAAGTGACCTGACAGTAAAAGAGCTGTTCGCCGACTTCAAACGTTAGTACGACACAAAAATCATGCCAGAGACGCGATATTCTTGAAGTTGCCTGGGAAGTTATCTACACGGTGCATGTAGCAGAGCAGCATGTTGATTTAGGTCGTCGAGCGTGATGAGGCCTTCTATGTACGCGTGACCCATGGCGGGCCTCACTGTGAGACAAGTTGGCCAGGTGGCACCGCCCCTGAAGCAGAAAATCGAACAGTTTCAGCAGATCATTGACAACAACGACCAATCTGTGGCACGCATCCGCGAGCAGCTGCGGCGACTGGAGCCGCAGCGAGAACGGCTCTCTGATCAAGTCCAGCAGCGCCAGGATGACGGGCGGAGCATTCACAGCCAGCTTGTTCGCCTTGAAGACTCCTTGGCCTCCTTTGGGGCTGAGAGCGTGCAGCTTGAGGCTGCCGCGGAGGAGATGCCACGGCTCCTGGAGCGGATAGCGGTTCCTGTAAATGGTCCCGGCCCTGGAGATCCATCGTTTCGCAGACTGCCAGCAGCGGCTATCGACGTGCCATTGCCATACTTCGACACCCTGGCTGAGCAGCTGGAAGCACGGACAAAGCAGGCGCCGCCGCATCTAAGCACCGACACTGATGCTAGTAAGTCGAGAACATTAGAGAACCGTGAAGCCGTGGATCTTGCCCTGTCTTACCTTTCTGGAATCCTTGCCCTGCAGATCTACGAGAGAGTCAACGCTGTTGAGAAGGCTTTAGCAACCTACAATCGTCAGGCGGGAAATTTTGCAGTGCCCACCAAAAGTTTGAAGCAGACATGCTGAGTATGAGTATGAGTTGGTCACCAAGGGTAGCTGCTCAAATCTTGGCAGCTATTTCCTGTGGCGAGGTGTCTGGCGTTCCGGTCACATCCCAAATCGAGGCTCATGGGTCAGAGCTGAAAGGAGGTTGGGGTACTGAAGCTCTTTAAAACTATGCAGTACAAGGCCACTGCCAACAAAGTAGTCACGGCAATGTTGAAGACGACTGCCCAGTCCTGCTTTCAAAGTGTATGTGAGGCGGTGGTGCGGTCCGAGTTCCTGCAGTTCAAAGCCATAGCTGCTGAGCTCACACAGGACTGATGGGCAGTGTGTCGCAGGGTGGTGCCCCCAACGTCCGACGCACCCGCCCCGAAGAAAGTCATTCTAGGGTGGGCATGGCCTCTGGCTGTGCTATTCCAGCACACAGGAGTACCATGGAGCTCACCTGCATCTCTCATCTGCTTTCGCTCGTAACTCCATCTGTTCGCAAATCGCGTCTTCATCGTTGTTGTTCACGTTGTTCACTATTGTGGCTCTTGATTCCGCGCCTTGCACAGGCTTCCCATGTGCTTCGTTCGTTTGGCATGTCGCTTGTGGCTCACAGAGCCTGTAGGGGCTGCTGAAGCTTTTGCAACAAGGAACGATGGAGTGGTGTATCAGATAGTGTCTCAATGTTGTACAACATGTTTACAACATGTTGCAATCATATTGTGCAATGTCATGCCACGGTGCTCTCATGGGCTTTCTGGTCTCCCAACCCCCCCCCCCCAGCCTTACGCCTGAGAAGGAGGTATCCTAAAAAACTTTATAAAAGGTTCGCTCCCCCTGTCATGGCTGCGTTGTTGCGAGTGAAGCCCTCCAAATGCAGTCCTTGAAGAGTGGATGAAACCAGACAGACTCTACGCATAAAGTCTCAGCCTCCGACCCACATGTTATCAAGATTCGGGTTCATCAAGGGTTCATCCTGTGGCTGCCTGCTAAGAAGGGAGTACCATTCGGCGCTAACCATGGTCGGACAGCCTAAAGAAGTTCGTTTCAGAGGCCCCTGTGCGCAAAACGAGACATCAGGCAGGCGAACGCATCGAGCAGCTGCGTGATGCAGCAGTCAGGACTCGAGGCGGAGCCATGGGAGCAGTTTGCCAGGGATTTTTCAGCGTAGGGCGAGGTACGTTTGCTTCAACCTTGACAGAACTGCACATTGTTCTTTGCGCGTCACAAAATGGCAGGTGTTCCTGTGGGCATGTGCGATTCTTGGTTCGCTGGAGCAAGGGTAGGCCCTGGCTTGTCACGGAATGCAAGGGCTACTTTATAGCCACAATTGTTCTAGGCTACTCTGAATACAGGTTAGAGATTACAGGTTGCTCAGTTCCAAGGTTGGCGCGTCCTGCGGAGCCAGACTACGACCAACGCATGGCGAACTCAGCAGAGCTTTAAAGGCTTTCTTCATAGTATAGGCTTTCACAGGGCTTTCACAGGGCTTTCACAGGGCTTTCACAGGGCTTTCACAGGGCTTTCACAGGGCTTTCACAGGGCTTTCCAGTGTCGGAGTTGTGAAAGTCCACTGCCAGGTTACCGCACGCTCAGCGGCAAACTTTGGGGCCATCGCCTCGGGTCGACTTGCACTTCTAATTTTCTGAATCCCGGCTGCGCTCCCTGCGTCCCTTCCCCCCTCCCTTCTCACTACACAGCTGTGCCGCTGCAGGACTTCGTTGTAGAAGGGCCCCCGGTTAGTGGCACGACAATCCCCAGCCCCTCCAAGTTCACGCCCTTGACGCCTCCGGTCGTATCGTGTGCGGTTTCCTTAGATCTGGAAGTCGCATCATTCTCTCTGCTCTCGAAGTTGCTGCGCCTTCTGTTGGGATGCTGTAGGCACGGCTGGCCAGTATGGCCTTCACCGAAAGTATCATGCAGAGACCTGTGAGTTGGTCCAGAATTAAGGGCCAGCTACTCGGACCCCTTGCCATCAGCTCGTGGGGCCGGCCTGCTTCACATATGGCAACTGTTGGCAACGCGCTCTGGGGGAATTGTGCATCTTGCAGCAACCTGAGACAGGCAAAGGGTGTGTGTAGGCGAAGCCAACGTTGCTGTGCATATTATATTCTTAAATGCAGGCGAAACCAAAGTTGCTTACACATGCTTACATTGGGCTTACATGCTACGGCCAAGGTCGGCCACAGTACCAACGCCTCGAGTCTGAACCCGCCATCTTTCAGTCCCAAGCATACAAAATCCACGGAGCAGGCCCGAACTGAACGAAAGCTTACTGAGACAACACAAAGTTCTGACAAGGGAGGGTAAGTACAATTTCACACTACAATGTGAAGTAGCCCTCGTGTGTTCATCTCGCGAAAGTTCCCCATGTCATGACAGGATCGGATTGATGGGCTGCGGTGGCTGCTTGGTGGCAGGATGTGGCAGGTCTTTCGGATTTCACTGGCGATGCGTCGCTGAATGATGGCCTATAGCACAGCCCAGGCATGATTCCAGGCGCAAGCCCATTGGGTGTTGCTGGTGGCGGCATGTTCGGCGCCAACACCGGCGGTGGCCTCTTCGGTGCCAACACAGGCGGCGGCCTGTTCGGTGCCAACACAGGCGGCGGCCTCTTCGGTGCCAACACCGGCGGTGGCCTCTTCGGCGCTAATACAGGCGGCGGCATGTTCGGTGCCAACACCGGAGGCGGCCTCTTCGGCGCCAACACCGGCGGCGGCCTCTTCGGTGCCAACACCGGCGGCGGCATGTTCGGCGCCAACACCGGCGGCGGCCTCTTCGGTGCCAATACCGGCGGTGGCATGTTCGGCGCCAACACCGGCGGCGGCCTCTTCGGTGCCAATACCGGCGGTGGCATGTTCGGCGCCAACACCGGCGGCGGCCTCTTCGGTGCCAACACCGGCGGCGGCCTCTTCGGTGCCAACACAGGCGGCGGCATGTTCGGTGCCAACACCGGCGGTGGCCTCTTCGGCGCTAACACAGGCGGTGGCATGTTCGGTGCCAACACCGGCGGCGGCCTCTTCGGTGCCAACACCGGCGGCGGCATGTTCGGTGCCAACACAGGCGGCGGCATGTTCGGTGCCAACACCGGCGGCGGCATGTTCGGTGCCAACACAGGCGGCGGCCTCTTCGGCGGTGCAAACACCGGCGGTGGCATGTTCGGTGCCAACACAGGCGGTGGCATGTTCGGTGCCAATACAGGGGGAGGCCTGTTTGGCGGAAATACCGGTGGTGGCATGTTCGGAGCGAACACTGGAGGTGGCCTGTTCTAAAGTTTGCGGAGCCAGCAAAATGAGACTTCATCCAGTAGTCCGCATGCCTTGTGCGGGCTAGTGTTGAAGCTGCGAGCTGCAGCTGTAAACCATTCAGGATAGATGGCACTTTTCTAGGCGTTCTGCGTAATTGTCTCGTGGGAGTCTCATGATGGTGAGTGGCAACAGGATCATTGTGCATCAGCCCTACTGGACCGGTAAACCTGATCCTCTGAAATCGCCGTGCCAAAACACGTCTGCTTGTATGCAACACGTGGCTCAATGCAGCCGCTCCGCTCGGCATCCATGCACAACGTGTGGTCGGCACGACCCACAGGTCCGGGCAGGCATGGGCCGTCGGCAAGCTGGACAGCTTGTTTCTGGGTGTGCCTGTGTTCCCCGCTGGTCAGGGGAGCCCTCAACAAGCATGGAGAACGATGACGCGTGCTGCCACGCGGAGTTTGCGAGAACCTTCTGCTGTATGCCCAACAGCACCGGTGTGCATCATGGGTTTTGACTCCACGTTGCACTCTGAAAGATGTTGCCAGGTTTACTACTGTTGACTCTGGCCATCTACTCGGACTGGAGCGCTGTGAAACATCCCCTGCTATGCTCAAGTTTCGCACGCTCTCGGGCATTCTGTGAGGTCTAGAGGTGAAGAGCACCATCACCACCGAGGCACCTTCTTACACATTGTCATTCAGTATGCAGGTTCGAACTTTTCAGAGAAAATTGGCAGAAGAACAATATAATCACTCCATAGTATTCCATAGGTGCTGTACCTTGAGAAGGGTCTTGTGCTCCTGCGTTGGTTGGGATGCTCAAGTTGAGTTTGTAATTTTAACGCTACGCGACCCGCCTCGGCCCGGCCCAGCGCATCCGCGTGAGCATGGTGATTCCGCAGCGCCCAAGTCGCTGGACCCCGAGCAATAAGGGTTGGGTTTAGGGTTTAGGGTTTAGGGTTCCGGGTTTCTGGTTTATGGTTTAGTTTAGGATTGAGGGCTTAGGGCTCAAGGTTCACGCTTTGGGGTTTAGGGTTTTTTTGGGAGTAGGGTTCAAGACGGTTCGGCTTGGATTGATCGTAGGGTTGAGCCAGGCCCCTCAGGGGCGTAGGGGGAGTGGGGGGGGAAGGGGGGCGGAGGGGGGTGTGGGGGGGGGGGGGGGGGGGGGGGGGGGGGGGGGGGGGGGGGGGGGGGGGGGGGGGGGGGGGGGGGGGGGGGGGGGGGGGGGGGGTGGGGTGTGGGGGGGGGGGGGGGGGGGGGGGGGGGGGGGGGGGGGGGGGGTGGTGGGGGGTGGGAGGGTGGGGGGTGGGGGTGGGGGGGCCGTCTGCTGGGAGGGGCTGCCTCTGGTCCTGGCGAACCGTCCGCTTGCGGACCCCGGTTTCCTAGGGGGGGTACCCATTTGAGGCAAAAAAAGGGGTCCGAAAAGTGGCTTTGGGTGTGGGGAGGATTTGGAGGGGGGTGCCTGTTCTGACAACCTATACACCTCCGGCCCGAGTCCTCGGCGGATTTGCCATTTGCTGCATGCTACACAAGGTCCAAGGCACAACAATGGTGTGCGGCCGCATGCGGTTGAAACAAGAAGGATTCTCCAAACTCCCAGCTTGACAGGGCCTGGGCTTGCTGAGCCCTGGCCTTAGAAGTCCCTCCCCGGAGCCACCAGGTGTCGCAAGACGCACGCGATACGCAGTTTTGGGGGAGTTTAGCTCGTGCGCTATGGTGCACGATTAGGTCGCGACAGCAATGTGTCGCGAATTCACAAAGCAGCTGAGAAGTATCGAGGACCATGGCCTGAAGCCATCTGAAGCTGAACAGTTTGCCATCGCAAGCCTCGTTAGGCCTGATACCTTGCTGTTGACCGAACCCGCAGGAATAGCGCGACAGCTGCTGGGTCGAAAGGCTGCAACCATTGAATTTATGAAGTGAAGTTGCTTGTAGTGGACGATCGAGAAAGCCACTTGCAGGATTTGGAAGCCGTGCCTAGAGGAGTGATGCAGCGTGTCATCACCACGCGGCAGGACGGAGCGTGGGTGTTTACTTGGCTGCGTCTATGCTGTCAATTGAGAAAGACTGTGTATGTGTGTGCGTGCGCTTGAACTCGCAGCATCTGCTCTCACAGGAAAGATTTTATGGTTGTTTGTCGGGATCTCAAGACGTGTTAGCTTTGCTTTTTTCGCATTTGAAAGCACGTGCTCAATGTGCTCATCCCAAGAGATGCAGGTCGCTTCCGGTCAACTTGCTCTTCTTCCTCTTTTTTGTCATCGCGGTTGCTTCCCAAGATTGTTTGGCGAGGTAGGTCATATGTCTGTGCAACACGCAGCATAGCCGCGCGGCAGTTTTTGTTAAGAATGTCCTGTCCCATGCAGCCTTGGCCCTGCAAAGGTTGCGATGCATGAGGACATCACCACCGTATATATGGTGGAGCCACATGCCAAGACATGCCAAGACGTGTGACGACCAACGTAAGACGGACCCCGGAGAAACTTTAAGGACTTAAGACGCCGAGTTGCCTCATGGTGAGAGACGGTGAGACCCACGAAGGTCTGGACTCCGGACATATCTCTCTGAGGGGTCCGATGATGTTAGCGACCTAGAAGGTCTTTGGACTTGGCTGGGCTCTCAGCAGTCGCGACCCAGTCATCGTGTTGCTCCCCTGACCATTCGGCTGACATGCAAAGGCTGGAGGGTGACTTGATGTTGGGGACACAGCTACTGCCAGTGATCTTTTACGTCGTTGACGGTTCGCATGAAGCGACATCTGCAGGCCCAACTTATTTCTGCAGTCTGACACACTTGGTGTACCGTTGCCTGCTCAGGGCATTGTGTTGTGTGTAAGCAACCTGCACCTAGGGCCTCGGTGGGGCCCACTGAGGTACCAGAATAAATCCATGCGCGGCTCCAAGAGACACATTCGAACATCTTTGGTGTAGTGCCCATCGCCGTGGCGATGCAGGTGGAGCCGAGTCCTGACCTACAATCAGGTGGTAGGCTCCCTTCTCAACCGTGCTTGTGTGCAAAGTGGTTCGAACCCGGAACGGTTATCGCAACAGAACAGGATCCCTTGTGACAGGCCCCGTGGTACTGGAACAGCAGCGGAGTCAAAAGCACGGGCCTCGGAATGCAACACAGCCCATGCTTATCGGAGCACTTCGGGTACAGAGGCCGAGAACTGGCACAGCTATAAAGAGAATGTCGAACCCTGCGCCGATTGCAAGCGATTGCAAGTTTCGAAAGCAACGTGGATTGAGGTCCCTCTGCGAAGATGGTGACGGAGTCTCTGGTGACATGTACCTTGCCCATGAGGGCTGTGCCTGAAACAGTACGTCTTGTAAATGCCTTGAATCAAGTATGATCATTTTGGATTTCTAACTTGACCCAAGCGCAGAGACATCGCAACTCATTGTGTAATCGAAGTGTGCTACAAGTCACTACAGCCACAGAGGGCTCAAAAAGCTAGCAAGCGATGAAAGAAAAGTGTGCCAGGTACTGCTACAGTCAGAGATCGAGCTCGCGCGACTCCTTTGGTTCCAATCAGGCTGCGACCTAATGCACAGAGACACACAGAGACATAAAGAGACACACAGACACACGCAGAGACATGCAGAGACAGACACACACACACACACACACGCACTCACAGACAGCGATACATCGAGATACATACAGACACACACACACACAGACGCACGGAGATACAGGGTTCCGGTACCTGGACATGAAAGCAAGAACTGTCTGCCAAACGGGAATGGCCCCCTGCGCCAATGAACTGAGACGGTTCATACGCACGTACACAGAGCCGTCATAGAGAGCGACCTTGCAGAGCTACGGTTTGCAGCAAGCACATGGACCGTTTTGGCTCACCTCAGTACAAGCAAACAGACAAGCGGGAACATTAGCACCGCTTTGCTTGCGCGAGATGTTCGGGTTGGGGTCGGGGGTGCGCATGTTGCTTCAACCATTACAGTAGCCGAGCCTACATTGCGCGTGACCTCATGGCAGATGCACATGCCATTGCATTATGTGCCTGAGGAAGGACGAGGTAGCGCTGCAATAGTTCCGTGCGTGTTGTCATGAACAAGCCACAGAAACTATGCAGCACCTTTGCATTTGCCCTTCAACTGCAAACACCATCGTAGTAGGAATAGAAAGCTTAAGTAGACACAGCTGCACCGAGTTCCGATCAGCAACACGCACGGTCAGCCGGTACTACCTGGTCGACGGTCACTCCATATTTGGACCACTGTGTCGACGTTTGGGATAGTCGCTGACACACACGTGTGGATTGGCGAAGCATGTGAAGCAATCTGACCAATGGGGTTGCAGTTCCAGTCCCCACTCCTGTGATGGAGGGTCCAGTCCCCACTGCTACACATTTACGCTCATCCTAGGATGTAGAACGTATAGGCTCGGTAGCTGGCACCAGGTGGGGATCCGTGTTTGTCCTCTTGCAGGTGCAAAGTTTGACGTCCCAACATCCTTCCCTCTTGGCAGCATAGCTGCCCGTAGCCGGTTCCCGGTGCTGAAAAAGAATGTGCAAAGAAATGACCACAAAACGGAAGCAGCCCTTTGCGCCTTCGAGCTAAGGCGGTCCGCACATACATAGACTCCAGGTCCAGACTTGAGTTGCCGAGCCTTGGCAGGGCACACAAGGCCACATTTGTAGTGCTAGTGTCAAAGTGGACGGGAAAACCAATTCCAAGGGGCGGACGTGGATACTTCGCCACCTTTCACCCCCAAATCCCAAGAGCATTTCACTTCCAGAGCCTACATTTCAACATTTTGACTCCCTGACCTAAAACTTAAGCTTAGTCCTCCAGGCCAACAGGTGAAATGCATCACCGAAACCAGACCTAGTATGCAGCATGCCTGCACAACATTGCAATAGTTGTGTGAATCTGAGCAACGTACATGTCATGTTGTTGTCGATTTCTGGGATTCCCGGCCGCTTGTGGAGGTGCTTCCGATTGCAACACCAGCGGTGGCTGACTATGCTGGAGGAACTGCGACGCAGCTAAGCTGCCCTGGAAGGGAGGGTTTTTGATTTTAGTGCAGGCTCTCGGGGCCTCGAGGCTCCTAAAGGTGGCCCAAACATGGTGCGCAGACCTGGTCCCGATGGACGTTTTTCCCAGGTTGGCAGAGAGAAGAGCCTACTATGTGACACACTCAGAAAGGGACTGATGCTGCGACGCTTCCATTACAAGTGTTGATGCTGAATCTTGCTGACAGCTTCAGCTTTAGCCTTCTTAGGACTCTGCGTTCACCGTCGCATCATCCTCAAGAAGGACAGAATAGAGAATGAACATCATAATCATAATAATCAGAGCAATAGTAATTTTCGTAGTAATAATAATGATAATATAGCCTTGGACATGCTTGCACAAGCCTTAGCAAATCTAACCCGCCAGGCTTGCCACCGACACTCGGCCAGAGTTCGACTTTCTGTCAGTACCCCAGCACCTTATCGCCTTATGGATTTTGCAATTGGTTTCTTCGGGTGCGGTGCAGATGCTGAGTCGTGCTTCTTTGACGCATCACGAGTCAGGCTGCCGCGGAGTTTCCCAAAGGAGCTTGCCCATGAGACCAACCCAGTATGTAGGGCGGGGCAGTTGAGTTCCAAATTAAGACTGTCCTGGCTGGCAGGATACTTTCCAGGTTGCCATCTACCCGAATACGCCGTTTGCACTCGTTTCAGAGCATCTCGCCTACATCAAAAACCGTGAATGGCTGGATGCCGCGGGCTCAGCTGAGATCATTCGATAATTCATCCCGCGCCAGACCTTGCAAGCTGAGCGCGGGTCTTTCCTGTATGTCAAAGTTATCTGCATCGTGGAGTACATGTGTTTCCAATGTGTTTGGCACCGGCATTGCTGCTTTGTTGGTTTCTTTTCCTGTTCAACAAATTAGGGTTTAGGTTTGCGGTTTCGGATTGATGGTTGCGGGCTTTTGCTGTATGTTGAGGGTTCGGGCTTGACGGCTTTGTGGTTTCAGGGGTTCGGGGTTTGGGGGTTTTGGGTGTACGGTTTCGTTTCTTTCGTTCAATACTTTTCCCTTCCTTTCCGGAGAACAATCAAGACCAACCAAAATTAATAGGAAAGGCGTAGCCGACAGAATTATTCCGATCATCCCCACCCTACAGCGACATGATGTGGGATTCTCCTTCTCTGGGGGTGGGCACTAGGCAGGTCTCTCTGCCACCCTCCCACGAAAGGAGGTTTCATAGGCTTCCTTCGTGGGTTCTATTTTTCAGCAGATTCTCAACACTAGACACCTGCTCTTCCGCGTGGAAATTTGCACCCAACGGCTGCCTCCAAAAACCCCAGCTGATCCTCCAAAACGTAGAAACCTTACTGCCAGACACTACTGAAAACTCCATCGGCTTGTCCGGGGCGGGCTTTCTGGTCGTGGGCATTCCAGGGATATTCGGCGGGATTCTCTGCGCTCTTCTCCTTTTACAAGCTGCAGAGACTGCCTTTGCAAAGCGTCAACTCGGGTACCTTAGTTGTTTCCTATTTCACCACCCTCGGTGTGGGGTTGCTAGGTTTTTCTACGTCAACCATGGGACTCGGACTCTCTGTGGGCCTTCCCGATCAGGGGAGCCCCAGAGAGCCTGCAATCCCACCACCAGAAGAACGCACAGAAGTATCCCTGGAGTGCCCACCCCCAGAAATGCCCGCAGTCCCGGTGTCCTTGGAGTGCCATTTTTCAGAGAAGCCCGCAAAAAGAGTCTCGCCGAGTATCCCTGGAGTTGCGAACCCCAGACGAACCTCAGACAAGCCCGCAGATCCCGCAGAGCATCCCTGGAGTGATCACCCCAAGAGATTGCTGCAGGGGCGTTCATGAATGTCTGGAATAAGGCGAGCAGGTGACGGAGCAACAGCTGTTTGTCCAGACTCGATGCCTACGTGTGGCATGTTTTGGTCCAACTTCACTGAAAAGTCTTGTGAAGCTGCCCAAAGTGCCACCGAAGCAGCCGAGGTGCGAACAAAGCTGCTGAAAATCAATGCCATCCTGGTGAATGCTGAAGTTGGACGGTTACCCCGGCTCGTTCTCGACGGTTGAAGTGCCGCGCCCACTGGAGCATCGCATGCCATCTCGGAGGCCCCGATTGCAGAAGTTCTCCATTGAGTTGGTCGGGCCTTGAGACTGTTGTAGACGATGGTCATCCTCACATCCTCATGCTCACAACTCACAAGAGCATCCTCGAACTGTGCTGTAAGGCTTTAAGCCGCGGGGGAGGCTTCTTCAAGCAGGTCCGGCTAAGCCCCCGGTCAACACCTTGCGGCCATGACCATATTGGCGGCTAGAGTTTCATGAAGCAGTGTCATGCAGTCGTAGCAGCTTGTACTTCCAGCAGATGTTCAGCCTCTTCCCAGGTTCTTATTCTTGAGAGCTCAAGGGTGCTTGATGATAATTCCAGCTTTGGCCTCCTCATACTTCTCTCCTCCGCGGAATCATTTGGCTGCAGCTCAACCTGGAACGCTGAGGGTGAATACGCTCTTCCTCGAGACTTTCCCTGGCGTGGAAGACTCAGACGACAGATGTCTTGCAAGGATTGCTCGAAGGCGAAGGCAGCACTAGCGCATCACAGCACCAACCGCAGAGCCGAAGTAGCCCAGCAAGAGTTGCAGCAACAGCAGCCCACCATCGAGTAATCAACTGAGGCACACATGTGATATGGCCAAGATGCAGGTGTATGCCAAGTATGCGTGCGCACCATGTTAGAGACCAGCCTCTGACAAGAGCACTGCGCAGAGGCTTTGGGAGTCTTCACTCCCTATTCTTTATTTCGAATAGCACTTAGCATCGAGAGTAGGTGCAGCGTTGACATGCGGCTCGTGCTTTGTTTCTTTCTTTCGTTCTTTCTTTCATTCTTTCATTTGCTTAAAATCTCTTTCTCTCTCTGTATTCTGTCTCTGGCTCGCTCCCCAGAGCGAAGCGATCGGACAGATCACGTCTGGCACAGGCACAGACGAATTTGTTACATGATGTGCTTCAGGTTGCGAGCATCGTGATGGACATTCTGTTCACTGTGTTCCTGGCGGGCTTCTTTCTGTGCAAAGCCAAGTTGCACAGCTCCGCAGAAAGCTTGAAGTCAATGATGACAAAGAATATTCTTAATTCGTTTCAGGACGTTGTTCTTCTCCGCTGTTTTCGCTGTGAGGTCTGAGTGCTACCAACTGGGAAAAGCCATCGCCAGGCGCCAGGCCAGACAATAAGTGCCACTTTCGGCTTAGGCTTAGAGGCTTGTGCTGTGCTAAGATGGACTTCAGAAACCTTAGTCCGAAATGACTGTGATTACTCCAGAATGTGGTTGCATTGCTATCACCTCAACGACACGCACATGTGCGCGCGCACACAGACACACACGTGCAACTACTTACTCGCAGGACGGTTCTGGTATCGTGCAGGGCATGGCACATTTTGAGATAGCATTGGTGTGGCTGTGGGTGCCAGAGCCTCTTACCCTGAAGTGTGAAGTGCGGCCTAGTGAGGCCTAGAGTTCAGGGCTGAAAGCAGCGGGTTTCTGAACATTTTGAAGTAGCAGTTGGACGCTGTCGGCCAGGGATGGAAGCACATCAAGAAAGGCTGGACCCTGCTGCAATGGCTCACCATTTGTCCTGACCTTATGGGAGGTCTCATGGCTGACGCTAGGAACCCATTTCTGCATGATTCTGCATGCATACTGAGTCGGTGGTGCCGCGGTGCTCATGGGCTACGGGTACGAGATGTTCCAACGTTTGCGCCCCACTTCCACATATTTCCACATCAATTTTCGTGCTCCCGCCTGTCCGTCCACGTGTACAGCTAGATGTCAGCCATGTTGTGGCAGCTTAGGTGAAGGTGTTCTATCAGCATACAAGACAGCTGTCGCGCTTGGACAGGAGGAGCTGATCCTTGCAAAGTACAGAGTTCCATGAATCCTGCCAGCTTTCAGAATGTTGCCTTTGTCATACCGAACCATCTGAAAGCAGCTGGTCTGAACCCCATTGACGCATTGGGGTCTGGGGTCTACGACTTGGGAAAGACATCTTCCCCAAGGGTTCCACGCAATGAACTCCGATTAACCGTATAGCAGGTGCTTAGACTGAAAGGGGCTATTGCCCAAGTATTCCCCATTGACATACCTGCGCCGGACATTTTAGTTCAACTGCCAACCCCTCATCGTCAACCTTTCGTAAAACGCAAGTGTGGACTAGTGATGGGTTATTGAGGAGTAGCTGGCATAGCTTTTTCGCCGCGGCTTGACCCATCACCTGATCTCAAACCCATGTCTCAACCCGAACCCGAATCCCAAACCATCACGCAGCGTGCCGCTGCTTGAAGGACATGCCTGCAGACACGAGCACCAACGGCGTTGCGTTGCTCGACGAGGCGTGGCATGCAAGAGATGCAGCACGTATGGTCAGTTATCTAGCACATGGTCCATCATTCCTGGGGGAAGCTGGCGCCGTATGATGGCATGCCAAAGGAACCATAGGAGGGTAGGATCTGGGCCAAATGGTTCGCTGTCAGAACCAACTGATCAGAACCAATTTGAGCGGTTCCGAAGGTTGAAGAGATGAGTTGGTTTGTGGTCAACTTCCGTGTTGTCACCGGACTGCCATCTCCTCAGAGCGCTTTGCCTCTGTTGCGCCGGGATGGAAGGAGCGTCTAGGGCTATGCTTCTTGCGTGATTACCATGCTTTGCATGCGAGATGCTGAAGCCCGTTGCCCTCTGCTGATGGCAACTGTCTTCCAACATGATCGCGTTCTGTTTCACCAACATGTCCAGGTACTGCTTGCTTCTCATGGTGCGCTTCTTTACAGCCTTTGGAGCCCAGCCGCGACTGGCGGTGGTGACCAAAACTCTGGAGGCTTCCCGTGCTTTAGACAATTTTGAACATATCCAGCCGTACGGGAACCAAAGATCTGCAGAAGCTTGAGTAACTGGCCCCGAACTTCTTGCACGGGCGACAAAGCTTGTAGCTGGCTTGAGACGTACCCCAGCAGAGCATTCCGATCCAGACATTCAGCTTTGGATTGTCGCAACATCTCCCGCTAGGTCAGTGCTTTCGACATTGTGCACTTCCTAGTAGTTCTGGCCCCAACTTGGCTGGCCGGAGCCTTGCGCATCAAGACAATCAAGTTCAAGATGACGGGCTGCGGGGCTCAATCCGTCTGTCGCCATCTGTTGCACCTGTTATCATTTGTCCAAGGCCTACGCCTTGTGTTGGGCCAAGCTTGATCATTTGAGAACAGTTGGGGCATACTTGCGCGACTGTACACAAGCTTCGGGCGCGGGCCAGCTTGAATCGGCTCAGGGCAGGGTGCTTCATCTTCGGCAGGAGGATGGAGGACAGACTCGTCGCCGTTGATATTCAATACTCATCAGTTCATGATGATTTCCTAGGAGTTTGCGACGCTGGACGCTTCGATTGGTTACTGCTTCAAGCTCATGATTGAAGGGGAGCACAGCTGGCTTGGATTCAACTACTTCTGGCAAGTCGCATGGGGAGCCAGAAGGTTGATAGCGCTGAACCGCCAGGTACGACTGGCCATACTATTCGGAGGAGTCGCGGTCCTACGAAGAATCTCCAAGATGCGAGCCAATGCGCGCATTCCGCTTTTGCACCTCTTTGGCATCTCCAAATCTCAGGAATTACTTCACGACCATGTTCTGGGTGTGGACGTTCATGGTCTTGCTGAATGTGGTCATGTTAAACCTAGCCACAGCCTCAGAATGTTCATCGTTGGACTGCTCAAAGATCTCCTGCCGCAGTGCTTGCATGTGCTTTCCAGGTGCTGGCCATCATCTTGGATGTCTACGGCTCCATCCGGAGGGAGACCGGCAAAAGTGAGACAGCGTCCAACCCTCTGTGTATGCTGGCCACATCCGGACACAATTGCCGACCTCTAGACATGAACAGAGCTTGTGAGCTTCGACGAAGCTTGTCCTCCAAGGTGGCTCACGCTTTGGCGAATGTTTCTGCAGCTCTGGTACCGGCGAGTGTGGGTGAAGAGCGCCACACTCCTGGAGGCGATGTCGGGGTATTTCTGGCGGTGTGGCGGTATGTGTGAGGAGTCGCAACTGCGAAATCGGGCCACATCGGGCCATGCCCCGGAAGGCTTTAGAAGAGCTGCCAGATGAGATTCGACGTGAGGATCTGGAGGAGCAGCTGCTTTGCTGGCTGTGTGATCTACGCGCTTGTCCCCTTCAAAGTGGGAAGCAAGCGGGTAGTTCTGCTTCGCAAGTCTTTCTTGGGGTTTGCCTTAACAGGGTGCGTCGTGGGCCCATGTGAAACCCATTTTTAGGTCAGAAGCTTTTTGGTTAACGCCTCGCTTTATCATCTCGCTTGTCGCTTGTGGCTTGTGGCTACTTCACGATGCTGTATCCTTACTCGCGTTGTGACCGTTTTTTTGGCCAAAATCTTCAGGCAACTGTCGAGGCGCAGAAGCCCTAGAGGGTCACGGTGCCCTGCATTTTCAGGAGAAGTTCCCATCGATGTGCAACGTTTGCTCCTCAGCGCGTGCGGTGAACAGCTGTCCATTCTTGAATACCATTATGCATCCCAAGTCCCCAAGGAGCAGCTCAAGGTCTTGTTCCAGGAGTGTCATTTCCAGGCTAGGTTTCAGAGATGCTGGCGCGCTCATGTTCTGTTCATGGTTACGAAGTTCATGCTTGAGGGGGGATCCTGCTTTCTCTGGCAGGTCGCCATGGATGATCAAGCAGCCGCAGAGAGCAAGCGGTCAGCAACCCTGTCCACAGGATTAATTTTCTCCTCTGCCGAGCTTGCCAAATTGCTTGAAACGGAGATGATTGCAGGAGGGTGCGGGGGCTGCCAGAAGACTCGAAGTTTCCAGGTTTCAGCGCCATTCGTCTCAGGTGCATGAAAATGGCCTTGTCCTGCAAATTGGCACTAGATCAGGCGCCTCAGAAATCTTGCAAGTAGCCATGAATGGCCGACTAGTTGCTGCCAAAGTATCATCGCATCCTTGCAGGTGGCAGAGACAGCTCCAGTCTTAGCAATGTCACTTGTTCTTGCCTCGCACCCCGCACGCAGCCCTCAGCAGTACCAGTGCAGTACCTATAGAATCCATAGAACAAGCCATGACAAGCCAGTACGGCAGCACGGATGTCGCCGGATATGATGTTCCTAGAGGCTCAAGCTGCCTTGTTCTGAGCTTATCTGAGTCAGGTCAAAGCACTGCACAGTGGGACAATTGAAACCGGTGGGCAAGCAGGCGAGGCCTCAAACTGGGTGCGACACTCAAGGCAAAGCATTCGCACGAGACGAGATGTGCACAATCTATAATTAGGTGATGGTGGTTGCTGCAGGAATTGCCGGTACCGAGGTTCAGAAAGTCGCTGATGAAATGGCAGAGCAAAATCACTACATGGCGTGTCCACCTCAAAATCTTAGAGTGCCAGCCAGGTTTCTGGAATCTCAGGGATGCCTGCAAGTGTCTTGAAGCTTAAGGACTCTCCGAAAAAGGCTGGAAACAGTTCAGAAGCAGTGGGAGGCGGCACATGTTGCAGACTCCTACAATCTACAGTCCACTCGCGGTGCAAAGCAGTGGGTGGAGTCCCGAGTTGACCTGCAATCTTGCGTTGAGAGGCGATCAAGCAGAAAGAGCAGACCCGACATGCTTTGGATGAGCTCTTGAGCAAACCTACTATATGCTTTGCAAATGTTGTTTTCCTTGTCAACAGCTCCGAACCCCATGCGATGGCAGACACGAACGACCTGCCACAATTAGAATTCTGCACAGGTCAGGACCCGAAGTTGATAAAAAGCCCCGGGCCGAAGGCGATGGACCCCCGAAGTGGCTGTTGCATGAAATTGCATCAGCCGACACACGTTTGGTACCGCCAAAGAGCGAGTCGCTTGCTGGATCGCCCTGCCAGAAAAACAAAAAAGAAACCCAGGTACACGACGTCTCAACTAGAATGCAGGGTGCATCCCGAACAACGACGAATGGACATGCCACAAGTCGACACTGCCGAGCACACCTCGCCATCGCTTCCCAGCAAAGACTCTTAAGACACGACAACGCCTCAAAGCCAAGATTAATTGCCGGGCTTAAAACTACCATTCCAAGCAGAGCCTTGAGCAAGAAATCATCGGCAGAGGGGTGGGGGCGGAGGGGGTGGGGTGACCGCATCTGCAAGCGAGCATGGGTGATTTCGTCTTCCCCCCCTACAACCCTAAACCCTAAGCCGTCTCGTCACTGCCAGGGCTGAAGCAGAGGCCGAGGCGCAGGACTGAAGGATTTCACCTCCGACGCCTTAGCTAAGGAGAAGTCGGGAACGCGCTGCGCATAACGTATGAAAGCAAAGAGCATCAAATCAAGCAACAAAAAACATGTACATACATACATACATACATACATATATGTATATGTACATATATTGGTTTGCGGACTCCCGACATGCCCGTGCGGAAAGGCGCAGGGTGGGTCGATCTTCTAGGGTAGACTGGCTTCAGCCCTCTTTGCCGTCGCTGAAAACAGCGATGCACCGCTCTGATGTTGTAGATCTTGCGCTCCATCGGCAGCGCAAACAAGCTAACACCAAATTGGCATCGAGTCTCAAAGGGAACTCGTGTGCTAAGAATCTGCCAGCACAAGTCCGCTGCTCCGGGGTGCCTTGTTGCTTGGGGTTCCGTAGCAGAAGATTCCAAGGCAGGCGAATATTCTCACCCCGCAGTGGCTTGTTTCACCGTGACCGAGACTTCCAAGATGTTCGATTCCATTTCTGGTTGAAGCCTCGGTTTAATCAGACTGCGCAGATCTTGACATGCATCATTCGCTTGATGGCGAGTGAGGGCAAAGGACCTATTTGATGCACATATGCAAAAGTCTTCCCAGATAGTGCCAGGGGTCACTGGAGCTGTGGCTTGCAAGGACTGACATTCAGCATTCTGACACTTGTGCCGTGCATGTGCCCTGATACCAGATAGCTTCAATTTTCCGACACAAAGCAAAGCCTCATAGCCAGCAACGACATGTTCCACCGAAGCCAACTTTGTTGGTTCCCCTACAAAGAGAGCTGCGCTGTCATGCGAGCATCGTACCGCAACTTGCGATTGTGCATTCCTTAGCCCTTGTCAATGGGCAGAGCAAACGGATGGGTGCTACCTTGGAGCGATGCAGGCCGGCGCACAGTTGATCTTCATGTTGCACACGCTCCGACAGGAACAGCTATGAGAGCTTCCAGATGGCCTATGCTTTGTGCAGGAGTCTTGAGCCAGTACGGTTGGCGCCGTTTGTGCCTTCGCCGCCTGCGGGATCCTGCAAGGCCATGCCAAAGCTGTCCGAAGCTTGTCAGAGCTTGGCAGTTTTCCGATTCAGAAGCAGTTGTGGTGGGGGCCTATATGAGGTTCCTGTTTAAACTGTCTCTCATCCCCCTCCTGGATTTTGTTAACCCCTCCCGCAGTGCCAAAAAAGGGATTATTGAAAGGAAGACCCCAAGAGAAAACGACAAAATGACAGCAGCAAGAAAAGCTTAAAATGCTGCAGGCCAGACGCACTTGTGTCATTAAATTCTAATCCTGCATGTGCAACGTGCAGGGGGCTCAGCAGCTATACTACAGCCATGGTGCAGGTGCTTCATGCCAGAGAAGTGAACTGCACATGTGCAGCTCAAGTATTCAGCTGCGGTGCTCCTCGTAGGTTTGGTGTACGCCGGCATTGGCAAGCAGATCGCAGGAGCCTAAGAGGCAATTCAACATGCCCTGGCTCACGATTCACATGGCAGCCCGGCAGCCGCGGTTCCTTGAAGAGGTGGCGCACAGTGCTGCCACCGGGCAGCCGCGGAACACGTATGAAGGCCGAGCTTTTTTGCGAAAGCTCCCTTGGAGAGCGCTGGGGTTTGCAACCTTCTTGTTTTGGCACAAAAAAGGACTTGAGGGCCGTAGTCCCTGATATGTCAGGGATTTGGGGCGATGCCTTGCGTGTCGTAAGGTGGAGGGGGGGGGGGGGGGGGACCCACCGCCCTCATGCCCCCTGGACCCCCCCCCGCCCCCCTTGGACCTCCCTTAGGATCTTCAACTTGTACCAATAAGACACGAAGGCGAAAACCCGAACAAACCAGGCGGTTGAGAAGTCAAGAAGCCTTGCTCGTGGGAAAACACACAACACAACAGGCAGGAATGCAGAAACATACGTTACACCTGAAATAGGTCCACCTCTCGCTGGTACCAAAACAAAAAAGGGATCGGATCTGGAACCAAACGAACCAATAACGGACATGCAGAAGCGGGTAATGCTGGTCCGGCCAGGACATGCTGGTCCAGTGACGTGTCTCATGGTGGCCTTCTGCCCACACCTTCAGTGAGCACTACTCAGTTTTCCGTGCGTGGCACGTGTTGTGGCGACGGTGCTGCCTCGAAGGTGACGTTCTCCTGAGTGGCTCGGTAGACAGCACAGTGGCTCGGCACTGCATTTTAGGGACTCGTTCGTTGGCGATCGCTGATAGCCGAGATAAAATGCTGGCCACTGCGCCCGAGTCTTGGCCCCCGCAGAGGTCTCAGGGTGATTTGAGAATTTGTGATGCAATTCAGCCATCTTGCTTTTGAGGCCGCCGCTCGCCCAGGACCTTTGTTGGACACACCGGCGCGGCCGAAGCCGGCATGTCTGGTTCCAGGAGCTACCCAACAAGGTTTAGCAAATTGGGATTTGTTTTTAACCTAGGGCGCGGAAAGCGCAGGGTTTGCATATTCGTGGATGGTGAGCCAGGTTTGGGGCTTAGCGGTGAGCTCGACGTCCCTCTTCAGCTGTTCATCAGATTGCACTATCAGGTGCCATTTTGCTGGTGCCTGTGCTTCACCGTGGATATTCACAGTGTAACATGCGCGAGCGATCCGATGTCTCACTGCAGGCAGTGGTGCCGCAAAACCTGCCAAGAGCTGACTGTTCTGCGAGGCACTTGCTTCCTGACCCCGTAAAAGACATGTTGTAGAGTCTTGCAGCTTGTGCTTCTATGCACTCGCCTGCACTTTATTCTTCGCTTGTTGCAAACATGTCTTGACTGCGTTGGGAGGGGATGTGCAAAAACTTCAGGGAAGGCCGCGCTTTTCAGCAAGCATGCGCTGAATGCTCTGAGGACATGCTGGCCCTGTCCTGGCCCTGGAGCATGCCGGTGCATGCTAGGGATCGCAACTGAGGGGCGAGGACCAGATAAGGCCGCAAGTTTCAACAGCTCCGACACCCCAGCTTGGGGGAGTTTTGGGGGGGCCTCAGGTGCAACAACTACTCATCCTGGAAAGCGTGCTCTGCAGTGGTGCCGACCTCACCCAGGTGCAGTCAATTTGCTTTAGAACCTCCTTTCTCGAGGGTAGCCGAGCAGGTGAGATATGCTGTGGAGGTCTGACAAGGTAGATGCTGAACAGCTTCTTGACACGGACAGCTTAAGGTTCCGAGGATGGCATCGTGAAAATCTGGGGTCGAGACAGTGGCCGGCTTCTGCCGCTGGCCAAGCTGCTTCGAGATTCGAACCCCACGCGCGAAGGGTTTGGGGCTTGTCGGCAGTTTTCAGGTGCAGCTTGAAAGACCATGAGGTCTGAACCTGAGTTACTTGCGGGAGTTGGAGTGAGTTGGTGATGGTGTCAAACTTGTGTCCTTGGTCTGCAGGATGGAATTACGTGTATGTTGACTATGAGTCCAGAGGACACAGCATGCAGACATGCATTTTGTCAGACGCAGAAGTTTCTTTTTAATGAACTGCTGCAGGACATTGTGACTGGCTCCCGCGACTGCACGATCAAGCACTGGAAAGTAAAGGTGCCGAGTACGGGAAGTGTTGTGTTTGGTTTGTAACTTTGTTGCAGTAAGAGGACTGTCACAAGAGCCTCCCCTGACGGAGTGTCCTTCATTCCTCCAGTTTTTCGGGCCTTCTTTCTTCCTCCAGTGGCGGGAGGGGGGTTCTCGGGTGAGGGGGTGGCCATGACGCTGCTGATGCTCGCCTGTTCGGGTCTTCTCTGAGGAATCACTGAGGCTCTTGACCACTACACGGTCTGACTGCAGATGTCCTGTGCTGGCGGAAGGGCTGCGTCATGAAAGTACTTCCTAAACACAGCCCTGCAGACATAGAGCTTCTGTCCGAGCCCGTGGCCTTCAAGCGCTTGCAGCAGGTAAGCTCTGTTGAAACCTTCATGCAAGCATCGACCTGTCGGCAGTCTGGCAAGCTGACTGGCACCATGTACGGCCACACGGATTGGGTGACTTGCTTGCTGGAGGCCGAAAAGCCAAGTAGTCAGAGCGTGGTGGAGCTGTAGTAACGCTGCATTGAGCACTTGTCAGCCAAATTGAGGTTGGCTAAAAAACTAAGAGTGCTTCCGGATGTTGTCATCTCCCAAGCAGGTCGAAGATTCCTTATGGTCTGGCTCTCGCGATGCTACCATCAAACGCGGGCGCCCGAGGAGGTCTGCTTCATTGGCAGCTGAAGTTGATGTCCTTTCCTTTAATTGAGGCTGGCACCCGGTCACACATCAGCTGCTTGCCACGCTGCACGGGTCAGCGGCGCTGTCTGTTGCGCTGATTCGTGTTGTTACTCTCTGCGATCCCTCCTGAAGCTTCTTGGGCGCTTGGCCAGGCACTGTTCTGGCGTCAGCATCCTCTGTGCCATGTCGGCCGACCACTTGGCTGTGACTGAGAAATAGTTTGCTTTCGAACAGCAAGGAGCCATTGGGCCCAGGAAGTTCTGGTCCAGCTTGCCTGCATAGCTGCATAGCTGTGACGTGAGTAGGTTGTAGCACCTCTTTGATGGTTGGTACCTAGCTGGGTAATTGTCAGAAGGCTGCTGATTTTTCTGGGTTTCGCGTGGGCCAGTAGATGGTGCGAGTGAAGGCAACATGCTGTAACATGCTGTGTGCCGAGAAAATCTGCTTGTGGCCCGCAAAGGACTCGATCCTTTCTGGATCAGCAGACCGGACCATAACGCAGTGGCACCCAAAGTTGCAGACCGCGTCAGTGCCCCAGCACCAAGACAGGGAAGCAGACAGAGACTGCAGAGTTCAGGATGCAGCTCAGGCTGGCGAGCATTGATGGGAAGTGTGGCGTGAGCAGCCTTGTCGAAGTTCCAGCAGGCCCAGCTTGCGTTGTTTTCGCCAGTAGCCTGTAACCATGACCTTGATGCTGCGCCCCACTGATGAATTGCAAATAACCCCGGCTGCGTTTATCTTGAACAGCGTCCGGCAATTTGCGTACTTGTAACGCAGAAATTGAGGCAGCAAAAGCAAGTCAGGAAATACTGTAGTCGGCTAGTGCTCAAGATGCCAACAAGCAGAGGCTTCGGTGGGTTTTGGCTGCTGCTCGAAGTTGCAGGTATTTTCCGACTTGCCGCTCGTGGTCCTCCAAAGCTTTCTGCCTTCAACATTGGGCTTAACGGGCTGCATGCATGTCTCACAGCAGCCATTGACGCAACCTAAAGAGCTGACCAGCTGAACCGGTAAGACGGGCAGTCCTGAAGGCTGCTGTGCGAGATATAGGAGAAACCCCCCCCCAGCCCGAGGCCATCAGTCAGGGGCCCTGCGCGTTCTCTCCGGGAACTGAGGCTGCTTGCCAAGCCAAGGCATCCAGCCGGCCTCCGAGTTGAAGCAAAGCGCTTGGGCGCCCAGACGCGCGCGAGGTAAGACTGGCACCGCTCACTGAGGACCTGGATGCGGAGCCCGCGGAGTCTTGCGAGTCGAGGCCCCTGAAATTACTTTGGCATTTGGGCCAGCTCGCAAGACGTCGCACCCGTAGGCTCAAGGTATAGTCGCTATAGTCGGGTGGTGCCCTGTGTCGTGATCAGGTGGGAGGCAAAAGGGGTGGTATGAGTCGGGGTTGTCTGGCACGGGAAAACTGAAGAGCAGGCTTTGTGGTCAGAGTGAAGTCGCACGCCTGAACACAGCTCCCAGCTCCCAGGATCTGCAAGCCAAAGGAGGTTGAAGAGTACGTTTACGATGCACCGCCGGTGCCGGACCAAGCCTCATGGTGTGGCTGTCGGGGCCAGTTCGGTAAAGAGCTTGAGGTGGCTTGCGATGAGGCTTTGGGGCTGCGTGTCTTGACCTCAGGACTGCAACTGACTAGCTTTGTAGCTTCGCCCGCGGATGAATCCTGTCCAATAGCCATGGGATCCTCATGAGAGCTGGCCAGAATTCAGAACTTAAGAGAACTTGCTAGCATTGACTCGGTGAGGGCGTCGTGAACCGCTGGGGCCGTGCTTTTAGGTTTCTGAGAATTATTCGGTGCCAGGGGATGGTGCACTGGATGGCTGCGACTATCCATTCGGAGGACTTCTGAAGAAAGGCACGATCCAGCAGGGTCACCAGAGAGACGGTCGCACATGTTCGGTCACATTGGATGTGGCTTCGAAGCTGTGTAGAGCCGAGATGACGTCAGGAAGCTGCGAGTTGAGAATCCGCAGCCCTAGTGGTGCAGATGCACGATTTGCCTGCACATCTGCTGAATAAAGACGCTTCTTGGAGAGAGGGATCCGGCTGAAAGCTGCTGGTCAATTCATGGTTGCATTTAGGGTAGACTCTTCTGCAAAGTGAGCAGCAACTTTCAAGAAGGAAGTTTCTGCGCTTGGGTGGCCAAAGTGCTGCTTTCTAGTACGTCAATGATACAGTGGCCAAGGAAACAAGGAAACGGGGCCAATCCCACCGAAAGTTGTTCTCTGGGCCTCAGGTTGGCACTTTGGGATTGCCACTGAAACTTAGCATCAAATGTGGCCGATTGGCTGTCAAATAGCACTCGGAGGTATCGTCCTTTTCGAACACAAATCGAGGTCACGGACAGCTCCGTTCTACACTACATTCTGTGCCCCACCCATTTGTTTCTGAACCTAACAAGCTGCGGTCACAGTTTCCGAGTGGTTTGGGGATAGTATGTGAAAGTTTGAGAGGGGAGTCAAGATTACGCCTCATTTCGAATTGACCGCAATCTGCATAACAAGGCTTGGATAACCAAGGTCCGACTTCCACTGCGCAGCTAAATAGGCGTGATCGTTGCTAAAGCAGCCTAAGCCCAAACTGAAACCGTAAGCCCAAAGCATACAAGACGGCCCCCCCCCTTGTAATTGGTATGTGTGGGGGGAGGTAACCCTTGGTCCCGCCAATAAACGGAATTGGTCCAGACCAATTCTGGTGACCGTGGGGGGGGGGGGGGTAACCGAAATTGTGGGACCATTTTCCGGTTTAACGTTTCGGGCCTTAAAGCTCCAAGATATGATCTTCCAGGGTTTTAGCAGTTCAAGACTAAGGCTTCGCATGGTTCAACCTTATGCAAGGTTTTTTTCTCTTCAGGAAAGCAGGGTGACTGAACTACAGCTTTTTTCTCGCCCTCACTTCCTCTCTCTCTCTGTCTCTCTCTGTCTCCTGGAGCCCCTCTCTTGGATTCACAGGAGAGGTCGCGGGAGAACCTATCATAACTCTCACCGGGCGTGGGGGGGGGAGGGTTGATGTCCGCCCCTGCTTTCTGCCACCCAGACACCTATGCAGATCACAGTTTGAGAGGACAGTTCAGGCGTATGAGTTGGAGCGTGGTGTCTCGCGAATTGCAACTTCATTTGCTGGTCCAAGTCCGAGCTTTGTGGCGAAGGCCATTGCGCACGACAGTAACAGTACACGGGACTGTTTACAGTAGTTTGTTGAGAATGCAGCATGTTAAATGTGTGGTAAGTGTAGACAAAAGTAGCATATGTAGCAGATGACTTTTTCTGTACATTCGAAGCATGCATGAGCTGCTCTTTCATGCGCCCGTTTGTGCGACCACAGCCAAAGCACGACACCGTGCTGCTCTCAAAGCATGTCCTCCTTGCCTGGCTCCAGAGAGATGCTCGTCACATCGCCACAGCCCTGTCGCAGTCTTGCTGCTCAAGGGATCATCCTTTGGTTGAGTTACGCGAACGGAGGTTTGGGGAAATGTTGCTTGAAGCAAGCTGTTAAGGGCCCGATGCCAAGGAGAACGCGAGCGTGGCCCGTGCCCTGCTGCAGTTCGACTTGGATGCTGATGGCGTGCTCTCGGGCTTCGAGGTCTCGCGGGCTGCTCAGCAAGCAGGCGTGGCTGGCGAGGATATCCCGAGGCTGCTTCAACACCTCGGCATCGGTCCCTCAGGCTTCAGGGGCGTGCAGTCTTCGGATGTCTTCAGTTCTAAATGCTGAGATGCATTCCTGAACCACTCCTTTTGACACTTTTGTCACTTTCGTCACTTTTGTGACTTTTGTCACTTTTGTCACTCCTGTCACTTTTGTCACTTTTGTCTATTTCATGTCTTGAATCTCTCGAACCTGGAGGCATCCGAGTCGATGCTTTGGCGGACCTCCTCCTGGGACACGCTGCCACCGCTGCGCCACCGGCTCCAGCCTTGGCGCCTCGCCTACCACCACCCAAGCCCACTCCATTCCAGACTTCATTGACTTCATGGCCAGGCAGATTCCTGCAGGTGTTGGAAGATGCGAAGAAAGCACAAGCGGATCAGAAAGCGCAACTCCTTCAATTCCTGCATCATCAAAGTTGTCTGGGAGTCAACCGTGAGCAAAATGAGACGGATGCTGTCGCTTGCTGCTTGTCCTTGGCTGCACGGGACCTCTATGGCATCACAGACAACTTTGGTTCAACAGCGTTGGTACTCGCTTGCAGATATGGGATGGAGCAACTATCGCAGGTTATTCTGACCACCGGAGCTTTGTCTGAGGACCTCGCTTTCATGAATCTACACATGTTGCACGCCTCGAGCTCGTGTCTGGAAGCCTGAGGGGCGGCTTCCGAAAATTCTTGTCAGGAGCGCCGCGCCTACGTCAACAGGCCAAACGACATGGGATGGACCCCTCTCCTGCTGGCTGCACAGAACGGCCACCACCTCATATGCGAAGAGCTTCTGCTGACACAGGCCGATCCCAACCTTCCCACTCAAGGCACGCGGCTCTCCCCCCTGACCTTGGCAGCTTCGTCTTGGATGTTATGTCTGTAAGGTGAGGTCCCAAGTAGCCCTCGGTTCCCTGATGGCCCTGACCTATCTTTACCCAGATTCTGAGAGCTTGGCCAAGGCAGCCTCCTATGGCCATGTGCACACGGTCCAGCTCTTGCTGGACCGCCGTCCCCTTGTCACTTTCCTCAGACCTGCAGAGTCTTGCGTCAATTCATGCGCACAAAAAGCTCACAATCTATCGTGTTTTCAGCGGCTTGATTCGGCAGGATCTTGGTTGGACCAGGCCGCCGAGCAACAGAGCTCATCCCTGGGGGTTGTCATCTGATGGGCGTTCGGCCTTGCACTTTGTCAGGGCACGACTGCAGTCCCGGATGAAACTCGCTGATGACGGGGACGTCAAGAACGAGCTGGACAACTATGGAATCAGGGAGCCACGGCGAACAGAACTTCCTGAAGACTACAGCAACATTGAGCGGATGCTGCTTGCAGCTATGCGGGTTGTGCCACCTCCCCCCGAATTCGACGCTCATGTTCAGGATGAGTACTTAGACGTCGGCACATGGCATCAGATCCTTGAGGAGCTGGATCTTTTGCCTCGCAACGCCCGCGCAAGAAAAACGGCCAGCATTGCAAAGCGCAGTATGACCACCCCCTTATCGGAGGCATCTAGCCCCAGGCAGCCCCAGGCAGCTGCAGACAACCCCAGACAGCCCCAGGCCATCCAAGACCTATGAAAGGCTCATGGGGCAGTTCTGATTTTGTGATCTACAACTGCTGCAGTTTTTTGAGGTTTGCACGTGACATCACGTGAACCTCGCGACACAGCAGCATGTCTTCGCAGCTGGCTCGCAGTGCCTCTTTGAGGTAGGGCCGGTGGGGGGTCTTTCGCGCACGCCTTCGCGCATGTCAGATGACGTCGCATGGGTGCGACTGCCAGCGTTGAGGCTCCCAGTGCAGATGACCTGAAGCGACTCTACGACAAGCATGACATCACTGGCTCCGGACACCTGGAGAAGCAGGAGGCCATTCGTCGATTTGGGTTCATTCAGGACTAAGCGTGCAGCTGCGCCTGAGAAGCCCTCCGTCTGAGCTTCCCGAAGAAAGGAGGACGTCAACAGATGTGAACTGTCACACCATGATTGCCGAGCCAGGCTTTTGCGCTGCTTGAAGATCTCAGGATCAGGTATGGCATGCCGTGACCTCAGAGCAAAACTTGGTCATAGGTGCGGAATGGGCAGTCAGAGCGATTGCCCTGATTCAGCTTCCTTTCAGGGACGAAGAGCTTCCGGAGTCTTTCAAAGAAGCGGTCTTCCAGGTGAGGAGCCTGGCGTTGACAAAAGCCTGTGCTTCATGAGCTCTCTCCAAGCTGAAAAATTAAGGAAGCATGAAGAGGGCCCTCAACTTGTGCAGCAATCACTTTGGGCCAAGGATCCTCATCGCAGTTCCTAGCTTCAAACTGTAAATTTGGACCTGAGAAGCTTGGAAGCTTACTGAATCTACGTCATTCTATGTTCAGGGCGAACGCCAAGCTTCATCAAAACGCTCCTCAGTGGGCCACAAGTCCACCTGGCTTTCGTAACTGTACTCAGAATACATGCGTTCAGGGAAGAAGTAGTCACGGGAAAGAAACATAAAATTGATAGATGGTGCAACCCCCAGCAGCAACAATAAAAGAGCAGCAACACGTGGCCAGGACTTTGACAAGGACAACGCCGGTACCTGGAGCTGGTCCTTTCGGCTGCTGTTCAGGTTTTTTTTTTTCTTTTTTTCCGGTTCTCCAAATCAGGCTCCTGTTTGGGTCCCCCTTGGGGATACCCCAAGTGCAAGGGGTATGGCGGGAGTTTGGAAGGGTTTGAGTGAAGCGGGCGCCCAAAGTCTGAGTCTAAACGTGAAGGAAATCAATAGTGGCTTTCTTGGCCTCGGAAAGGTGTGCATACATGCTGCTACCCTACTAAGGCCCTACTACGCAAGAATCTGCTAGTCAGGGCTGTCTTTTCCTGCCGGCTTGTGCCTTCAAGTGAACCTTTGAATACCTTTGACCTCTGCCAGGCACGACGTGCGGGTGCTGAGCGGCGAGGGCTGGCCCGTCGGCGTCTCGGATCTAAGGGAAGAGAGCTGGAAAATGCTGGGAGCCTGAGGGTCTTGATCATCTTGATGCCCAGTAGCTGCAAGTTTGGAAAAGCCACGCTTCGAAAAAGTTGTGCTAAAGGCCATGCGACGCCGCTTGCAGCGCTTGCGCGTGCGAGGAGGCATGTAGAGTCTGCAGAGACAGGTTGGATGGATCTTTTGCGCTGTGTTTTCAGAATCCCACCTCATCCTCATCTTTAAGCCCTAAGCTTTCTAAAAAGCCCTTAAGGGTATTCGTGAAGGCTCCAGGCCTTCTGTCTCAAGGACTTTAGGGAGTTGAGGGTTGGACACCTTGGTGGTGCACGCTGGCTTCTGTGCGAGCATCTGAGGCTCATGTCTTGTAGACGTCTATTCGCGAACGCATATTCCGCCAGAGGAAGTCCCCACCCAGGAGCCCTAAGGTTCGGCCCGAGAGAGGCTCTCTCCAAGGGGTGCCCAGTGATGGCCCGTAGGGAGGCGCAAGCTATCGCTCTCGGCAGGCCAGCGGCACAACCGGGCTCAGCGGCAGAAGGAGCAGACGCTTGGCGAAAGTAGGGCTCTTGGCTGAGAGCAGAGCAAGAGACATCAGAGTCAAAGAGACGTGAAAGATGGTTAGATGGTTGTCGTCTCATGTCTTGTCAGTTTCTGGTCAAGAGGTGCGGCATCGGCTTGGTCAAAGGTCCCGGGCCCAAAGTATCAAAGTATTCGCCCTTTGTCCAACTGAGCGTTCACAGATTGCAATAGATTGCAGGTGTCTGGTGCTGGAGCTGCAGTTGCGGCATTGAAAGAGGTGGAGGCAGTTCGAGACTTGGAGGCAACAGACTTGGGCACGCTGCTCTGGTAGTACCATTGCGCCCATTCCGTGCTCTTCTTGCTAGGAGCAACTGAGACTTGTTGAAGCCCTTAGAGGCCGTATGTGACTCTTGGCAGGAAGAGGTCCAACTGGATTTCCATCCGCTTCGTATCCAAAACATCTCCATTGGGCAGGACTGAGATCCGGCTGACGCGCGTTCCGGGCTAAGGAATATAATATGCTAGTTCGTCGATGGGAGATTGATGGAGCCAGGAGCCAATGTCGCTCATGGTGGCTTAAAGTTCTCGTAAACATCCACCGCTGGCTGTTCATCCCGTGTCGCAGGAAGCATGGACCTTTGCTCCTGCGATCGACCTGCGTGTGATCCGCCTGGCGCTTGCCCCAAATCGGCATGAGCTGCGCAAAGTCTTTCAGTCGCAAAGGCGGCGACCCGCGCCGTGGGCGGGCAGCACCCAATGAGGTCAACCAGGCGGTTTTCGAGGGGCTTGATCCCCAGGCACCGAAACAGCACTAATTAAAACTTACTGAAACCTTATCTTTTAGTTTGTTTCTGTTCTGACAGTCACGACGTGCATTGTCGCTGGTCGCTGCAGCTTTTGTTCGCTGACGGTCTCCAGGCTCCCTGGTCCCCTGGTCCAAACATAATCGGGCCGTCAAGGGACGCTACGTATTTTCCTTCAAAACCTATATGAATCCTTTCGAGCATTGTGTTTGCAAGTGAAGGCGGGGGTTGCCCCCCCCCCCCCCCACCCCCACCCCAACCCCCCCCCCTGCTTTCAAGTTAAGCTTGCTTCGAGAAATGTCGTGCCATCAAACAACACGCCCTCAAGACCATATGAATACATCATACGAGCCTTGTGTTGCAATTGGGGGGCCTGTCAAGCCGAGCAAGCTTGCTCCAAAGAAAGTCGTGCCATCAGTTGCTTCAAACACGATTGGGTCTTCCAAAGCCATCATACGAGCATTGAGTTTGCAAATCGGCCGTTTAAGCGGTGCAAAACTTGTTTTCATTATTGTCGTGCCATCACAGAACACTCCTTCAAGACCCACAGAAATCGTTTAAATAAACTTCATACGAGCAGTGATTTTGCAAATGAGGGGCCCGCTCTTCTAAGCCGTGCACGCTTGTCTCAAAGAATGTCGTGCCATCAACGGAAATTCCTTTACCCCATGCGACTGCCAGCAGTGGGTTTGCAAATGAGGCGGCCCTTGTTGCTGCTCTGTAAGACCGCGCAAACTTGCTTCAGAGTATATCGTGCCATCAGAGGGAGCTCCTTCGAAAGCCGTTCGAACCCCGTAGGTCATAAGAGCATTGTGTTTGCAAACGGGTGCGCCCCTTCCAATCCTATCATTGCGAGCTTGGGGGGTTAAAAACCCGCGTGCAAACTTTTCTGCTCAATAAAACGCTCCGACGGGAACAGTGGAAGGTGTCAAAACCACGCAAAAAGTGCAAAGCACCTTTTGAATCACTGGAAACATCTCTACAAAATGCACAAACATAATAACAAGTATCAATGATGAAGGTAGCAGTTCTAACCAACATTTCAACTATAGAATTTAGGGTCTACGGCATAGGCCATGAAGAGGAACTGCTTCAAGAAACATGCGGGCCTTTGGCAAAACTGCTATATGAGCATTATGTTTGCAAATGGGGAGGGGGGTTCTCTGCCTGTGGAATTGGAGGTTTTCCTGCTCGCAATGCACGGAAGCAATGGTTTTCCTTTGAAATTGCAGAGGCTGCACCCCCCCCCCCCCCCCGCAACAAACAAAGACAGGGAGCAAGCAAGAAGGATCAAACAGAACTCCAGCCGCCAGCCTTTGACTGCTTTCACGTTTGTGGGGTCTGTGGTTGTGGTTTACGCACGCGTAGCCAAACCGCTTGCTTGTCACAAAGGCCGTTTGTGGCACGAATTGTGTCCGGTGCACCTCGTGGCACCACACAGGCCATGGCGGCTGCACGCGTTGGTCTTGGCTGGTCGATAGCGTTGGTCTTGGCTGGTCGATAATGAGTTGGCGGGTTTGTTATTGTCTCTTCAGACAGAGCTCTTAATGTTTCTCGAAAGCATCAAGTATGCCTAGCTTCTGCTAAACATGGAAGTTTCGTTTGACTGCTGCAACGCCCTGGCTGCCTCAGGATCCGACGTGGTCAGAGTCACTGCAATTGTCCTTCATGAAAGCGTTCCAGCCTCGGTTGTGTCAGTTGTGTCTTTCCCTCCGGGAAAGACGCGCTGAAGTCTTGCAGCGTGTCCTGAGAGGGATGGTTTCCTTCGAGCGCTGCCTGTACTCGTAAGTTCGGAGAAGCTGGGAACCAGCGAGGTATATTCTACATAGCCATGATTCGCCGTGCCCGAGCTTCCCTGGCTCTCCAGACAGCTGAAGTCAGTCTCAGTCTATTTCGCCATGAGTGCTTTTCACACTGGTAGCAAGATTCAGCAAAACAAGTCAGCGAAGGCGTGTTTTGATTGTCCAAACAGCCGGCCCGCGCCATGCCCGTGTCGTCGCATGGATTCTGTATTGGTGGGCTCTCCACATGCGGCTACAATGCCCAGTGCGCGTTCCCATCAAGGTGTGGGATGTGTGGGCCGCGAGGGCACAAGGTTGTCTTGGAGATTTTGGGTTCTGGAGAGTTTGGAGCTTCAGGGTTGCCGTGGTTGCCGTTGTCCAAAAACACAACACTAAACCAAAGTGGTGAAGATCTGCGAACTGTGGTGAAGATGCTCCCTGTGGCAGGCCGGTTTGTTGCAGTGGGCCTGAGCAGTGCAGCTCTTCAGCACAACAGGACCTTCGTTGCTTCCTTTGAGGCAGCGAGCCTTGACTGCTCCGATCAGCCGAGAAGCACATTCTCATGTCGGCGGATGTCAGCACACGTCCAGCAGATGACGCCTATGGATGTCGAGCAGATAAGCTCAAGACTAGCAGCCGTGAGACGAAACCATCTTCAGTTTTTGTCTGGCGAAGCCCCTTCGGAGCCTGAGGCCGAGCCGGTGAAGGTCAGACACAATGCTCGTCCTGCTCGTCCCGCCGCGTCGAGTGGCGAAAGCTCGGAACTCTCTGAACTCAGAAGCAGGTCACAGCGGATGGCCCAGAAGAGATTCTACGACATTGACACGGGCAAGCTGGACGCGCAGAGTGTGTTTGAGAAGGTTGCTGGAGCCCCGGACAGGGTGAACACAAAGCTGACTTTCTTCCGTGACCGTCTCGAACTTGTCCTCCCTGCGATTGAAGAAAGGTTCGTAGTCAGGGATGAGAAGCGGGATTGCGAAATGCTGGATCTCCCACGTTTGAGAAGTGGCGCCAAACAATCAGCAAGGACGCCTCGGAAAAATGTCCAGCCCATCTCGAACAGTGGAAGTTTCAAAGATCTGCTGAGTTCGGGGGATGAAGCCCCTTTGCACCCAGACGAGATGGAGGATCAAGGTTCGCAAGACAGCCCCCACAGACAAGCGGACCTTACCTTGGCGGAGCCTCGAACGCTGCAGCATGTCATGTCCATGGATTCAGTGAATACCCGTCCTTCGGAGCACAGCAGCATGGAGACTGGGGAGCAGAGGTCCCTAAGAATCGTGCGAGCTGCACGTGTTCGTGATGAGCGCATTCAGCTTGCACAGCAGGTAGTGCGGAGCAAGGAGTTGGAGTGGCGCCTGCATCATTTGAAGTCGTTCCAGGTCAAAGAGCAGCGCAAGGACTGGTGGGGAATGGTTGGGGCTGGTTCAGTTGAAACTCACAGACCCCATAAGAAATAGATGCTCAAGCTATTCAAGTTGAGCCCAGTCGCTGTCAGGAGCTCCAGAATCAGGCGTCCAGGCAGCGCACCTTGCTGGAGTGGATGGCCGCAGCCATGGTGGCTCAGCATCTCCTCAAGGCCGTGAAGATTGACCGCGAGCGAAGGAGGGCCTTGCTTTCACCCCAGGGTGAGAGCAGCAAGGCGCAGCTGGCGACCAAGTCCAAAGCACACTGGCTCCGTGCGAAGCGGATTGTGAACAGTAGCGTGACCGAGAAGGGCAACTTGCAAGAAATCTTCCACTCGCGAGCCCAACGCAGCAAAGCAGCATGGGAACGGTGGGATCACTTGCTGCGCATCATGAAGTTCTTGGCCAAGTTGAAATACCGTAGCAACCTGACCCGGAGTGCCACTGCCATCAAGCAGTTCCTGGAAAGTGCCTGGCGCGGCATGCGCTTCCGTGCTCGGGTCGGCGCCTACCTCTCCAACGTTCGGGCTTTGCCCCTCGGCCTCGGAGAGCAGAGAGAAACTCAGAGAGGAGAGGCCCAGAGGCCCCCAAATTTGGAATTCACTGAGTTGAGTGTACTTTTGGTGTAGCTTCGGTGTTTTGCTTTTGATGTTTAGTATTTGTAGTAGTCCTTGGCTGAGGCAGCGCGCAATGCGCGCGGCCATCAAGTTCCGCGTGCAGGTCCGCAGCTTCATCTATCTGCCGACACTGTGGGAGGTCGAGACGCAGCTGCTAGGAGTGCTGCCAAAGCCTTGCCAAACTCAACCGTGTAATGCTGACAGCATTTACCATCAGTTGATGTAGGGTTTTCAGGATGTTCGGCTGTAACGTGTTCGGTCTTAGGATGTTATAGGGAGTTAGGTCCCTCCCCCGTGGTGTGGCTGTGGGGCGCTTTTAGGGGTTAGGATTAACTTCTGGTTTACGACTTGGGTTTTTGGGTTTTAGAGCTTCGGGTCTCAGGACGTTTTCCCTGCCCCGCCCTCCCACCCCGCAGACGCCAGACCATGTAGGGCCGTTGTATGTCATGATCCGTCATTGCCAGAGCCGTTAGAGATGATCGGAGGAACCTGGTCTGCCAGATTTTCAGTGTTGTGCATCCTTTCATGCCGGAATCGGCAGGAGAGAAGCTCATGGCGCACTTGCCCAAGGGGTACACAAAGCAGCGCATCCAAACGCACCGTCAGACTTGGGTGCCTTGGTTTCCCAACCTGTTCTGATGTTTGTCCTTTAGAATGTGCCCTGTGCAGAAGAAGCAGCCCTGGGCTAAAAACCCCAGATAATCCCAACACAATCCCTGTGTATATATATATATATGTATATGAAACGAAAGCATGTCAACGGCGGGGTTTAAGTTAATCGCAGGGAGGGCGCTTTCTGATCAACTTACAGGACCTCGAGGGCCGCATCCGCCTGCTGCAAGAGGCGGCGAAGGAGCGCAGGATCCCGGGCCTAGGACTGCGTCTGCTTTGGGCATAGTGTGGAGCCATGTCTCGCTTCATCAGTGCGTGGCTTTCCCTGGGGCTTCTTGGAGGACGCAAAGGGTACATGGTCGAAAAGCGGAAGGCCACACTGAACAAGTCCGCGCATGCCTGAGACATTTGGTGCGCAAGAGTGATGCGGTCTGTTCTGCATGAAAGATGCATTCGCAATTCACCTGTGGCTGTGGCAAAAGGTGACGCCAAGAGCCACTCGTGGTGGCATGCGCCGACGAAACGCGGCTATTCGCGCTACAGATCGGCGCCTCGATTTGTCAGCTTTTCTTGTGCCACACTACTTTGCTTATTTTGCACGCCGTCTTGAGAGTTGCCGGGCAACTGCTTGCGTAGTACCAAAGCCAACCAACCCAGACCCTAAACCACGGAGTCCGCTGTGTCTGTGTCTGTGTCTGTGTCTCTGTTGTCTGTGTCTCTGTTGTCTGTGTCTCTGCTGTTGTCTGTGTCTCTGTTGTCTGTGTCTCTGTTGTCTGTGTCTGTGTTGTCTGTGTCTGTGTTGTCTCTGTCTGTGTTGTCTCTGTATGTGTTGTCTCTGTCTGTGTTGTCTCTGTCTGTGTTGTCTCTGTCTGTGTTGTCTCTGTCTGTGTTGTCTCTGTCTGTGTTGTCTCTGTCTGTGTTGTCTCTGTCTGTGTTGTCTCTGTCTGTGTTGTGTCTGTCTGTGTTGTCTCTGTCTGTGTCTCTGTCTCTGTCTGTGTCTCTGTCTGTGTCTCTGTCTCTGTCTCTCTCTCTCTCTCTGTGTCTGTGTCTGTGTCGTGCATGTGTCTGTGTCTCTCTGTGTGTGTGTGTGTGTTTGCTGGTTCTCAGGCCCGAGCGTTTGGTTGTCTTCTCTGAGCTGGGCGAGGCAAGCCCGGGTGCAGGCAGTAAACACGAAGTCCTCACAACCAGGCTCTTCGCATTTTGTCATGTTGGAGGAGTGGAGGTCTGAGTGTTGGCAACTTCGGATGCTCTGAGCGCGCCGCCCACCCCCAGCCCTCACCAAGCCCCCTCCCTCCTCCCGCACCTCCCTCCTCCCGCCCCCACCTCCCGCCTCCCCCTCCCACACCACCCCTGCCCCCACGCCCCGCCAACTCCCCTGTGCCTTGGACGCTGAACGTCTATTCGCTCGTCGTTTCCAATAGCGCTTCAAGTGTGCTATCGGATGAATGGAATTTTGATGGGAGGGTGTGGGGAGGCGCTCCGCGCCCTCCGCGCCCTCCCCCCCCTCCGCGACCTCCATGCCCTCCGCGCCCTCTGCGCGCTCCGCACCCTCAGCCTGCCCTCACACTCCGCACCCTCCGCGTGCCCTCAGAGATCTTGGCACCCTCATTCTGCATGCGTGTTGCGTCTACTCTGCGGGTGTTTCCTTTAAAACGAATCTGTTTAGAAGGCATGCACGCGCAGCATAGCCTCTAAGCACCCACCTGCCGCCCCCCTTCCCCGCCTCCCCTCCCCACCCCCCGCCCCTCCCCGCCCTCCCCCATGCCGGTGGTGTGGATTTGGCCCCCTGCCCTTCCCTGACGCACTTTCACAATCCACTGGACCCTGTTGCTCAGGCAATCCCCACCACTTCGGCTGAGCGGAAGCAGCAGCAGGCAAGCTAAGAAGGGGCCTTGAGCATTAATTACTCTGCGTCCTTGTCAGGGTCCCAATGGTCAGTCAGTCATGGTCTGAAGTTTGACAAAAAAGCTGTTGGCTGCTTGGAGAGGCACTGATGATTGCGAACAATGTGCTGGCGGCTTTGACATGAAAAGCTCGGGCTAACTGATTGCCAGTGCTTTGAGACCAAAGGCCTTGCTTTCGAGATATGATAAAGATACAGCAAGCTACCTTAGCAAAACGAGTGGACGACTGTCGAAGACGACTGGCGAATCAAGCGAACATGGCTTCGTGCAGCTTCTCTGCTAAGAGTGCTTGGTGCTCAGGACCACTACCGTCTCGATGTGGAGACGCGCCAGAACATCGTGCACACTCTTTTCATTCAGAGCCTGCACCGCTGGAAAGAAACTTACCGGGCGTATTTGGTGGAGTGCAAGAGAGTTAACAAAGTGTGGCAACTCGGCAGCATGCGGCTGTGTCATACTTTTTTCGTACTTGGGACCTTAAAAGGTTCGGACCTTAAAGGCCCGTGCAAGATGAAGAGACTGAGGCAGCAGTGGCGGCTCGAAATACAAGCTCTAGGGCCCCACAGGAAGGAGCACTGGCCAAAGCCCCCTCCATTCCCACAGCCTCCATCCGAGATGTATAATGTCGACGCGAAGAAGTTGAGAAGCATGATTATCTCGGCTCTCGCTCAATCTCCGCTGGGTCGTAGCCTATTCGCCCGCGACATCAGGCGAGTGTCGAACCCGAATTCCTAGCATCTTCTGGCTTGTGCATTGTTAATGTCGTTGCCTTGCTGAAAGGTGTACAGTCAGCAAGGTTCTGAGCAAGTCCACTGTCCTGAACAGCGGGATGGGACGAATCGGCCAGTATCTGGCCAAAACGAGGCACCGTTCGACACGGCGCCGATTGGCTTTCTGTAGCCGGCCTTTGGCCCTGTACCATTTCGATTCTTGGTGACTCTCCAAGAGTTGCTCCATGTTGCTTTACATAGCCAGAGGCTTTGACAAAACTCTACCAGTTCCCCACTGGAGTGGAGCCGCCCATTTGCAACAGTCAACTTTTTGGGCAGGTCTGCCATGTGCTGCTGCAAGCTGTGTGTGAGGAAAGGGCTCTACATCCACGTGGTTCTTTCGGACAACCGCTTCGGGGTGGGTCTGGGCCCACTGGCAGAGTTGGTCGTCAGCCTTGGGGAGGCTGGGCAAGTCGGTTGTCACGTGGCGGCATGGTGCCATGTAAAACTGCTGGACTGACCAAGCCAAACACAGAGCTCAACATAGCTCAACCGAGATTTGACAACTTAAGCCACATGGCAGACGAGTCGGGAACGCCCAACTGGCCACTACCGTCCATATCTGCATGCTCTTCCTCGAGCGGGCTGAGCTCGAAAGCAACATGAAACAAAGTGGCACCGAATTGAGTAAATTGGACCGCTTGTCTGATACAGGAGGTACTTTGTTTTTTTCCTTTGTTCCTCTGCTGACATCAATGTAGGCACCTGCTGCAGGTGCTGGACATGATGCGTTCTCCCAGCGTGAGCCGAGAGCTTACGGCTTCTGGTCGACACCGCGCGGCATTGACGCTGACACTACATTGCATTGCTGTCTTGCACCCCATGTTGGCACCGCACGTCACTAAGACAGCCCCGGCTTGCTATTTTTTGCTCTTTCGTTCCGCAGGCCTTTCGTGCTCAAGGATGAAGCGGCCTAGCGCTGCAGTGCAGGTACCACTGGCCACAGGGAGCTCTGGAGACCCCAAAAGCAGAAAGAAGTCGGAGGGCTCAGAACAAGCAGTCGCAGTCTCCGTCAAGGTCGCAGAGTTGCGGTCTTCTGGATATGCCGATCTCGAAGCGTGGCTTCAAGACTCCCAGAATTTGTACGTGGGCCGGCGTGGAAGGATCTTCATTCATACCGATGGAAGAAAGCGGATCTTTCATTATGCCGGGTCGAAATGGCACAATCCGTATGCTGTGGGGAAATCGCTCTCGCGCCAAGAGGCCTGCTCAAAGTACAGATCTGCTCTAATTGGCGGCACGCTGAAAGACCCGAAGGACTGCTGCTTTGTTCACTAGCGGCTAGCGCGTCACGTTGGCGTCAACTGTACTGTGTTATGCTGTGATGCAATCTTGTGCAACGTGATCTGAAGCACCAGAAGCAAAGCTTCGGTAACATTTGGCAACATTCGGCAATGTTTTGATGCTCCCCGAGCCCAGGACGGAGTGCCGCTGTACCTGAAGTTGTCCGAGCTCAAGGGTTGCCGGCTGGGATGCTGGTGCAAGCCGCAAGCTTGCCATGCTGACATCCTGGCCGAGCTGGCCAACTCCACCTGACTGCTACCCTCGAGATATCTCGAGATTTGTGTGGTGCAGCTCTTGGCTTGACTGCGCGGCAGTCCAGGCATTCCAGTGTGATTGGCGCATGGCAGTCCGATGCTACGACTAGGCTGGTACAGCGAGCCTCCCTCATCGGAAAAAGTGCGGCTTCAGCAATCAACCAGCACCTCCCCGTGAGCATCCAACGTTTCGATATGAGAGGCCTACTAGCGGCCTTTCAATGCTGCAGTAAGTGAGCTTCAGAGACCCGAGGCCGCTTCACAATGCAGCCCTTTTCGGTGGACCTGTCCAAGGTCAACATCAGCAGGGCGCCTATAATTTCGCAGACTGTTGAAGGCTTCAAGGGGCTCCTAACATTTTAGAAGTGAGCACTGGAGGCAAGTTTCGTATTCGCCAAGGCCCGCCAGTTGTACTGGTTGCACAGTTCGGCGGACCACGGCCCAGCAGAGTCCACAGCAGAAGTCAGCAACGGGGGCAGGAGTGGATAGGGAACAGCAAGAGCAAGAAAGGTGAATTCACGAAGTCGGCGGAACGCAACATGTCTGCAAAGGCCTGCACTGCTGGTGCCACGTGATCAGAGCCGAGGCTCTGCCGGAGGCTGGAAAATGTGGAAGTATGAGCCGCATGCAATCCCACTCACAGATCTCACAGCACCCTGAAGAGGAGACATTCGTGGTGGAGGCGTCTCTTATCGCAAACCAGGGGCAAGGTTGTGTTCTGGCGGCTGGGTGGCAACATGTGGCAACCCACGATCTTGCCGAGTCTTGCTCGGTCTTTTTGCTGTTGAAACCACTGCAACGAGGTCCGGGGACGTTCAGATCCTCAAAGCGGCCTTTTCCTCAATGCCCCACTCCATTGCTGCACCTGCGGATTGAAGAGCTTAAGCTCTTGCAGGACCCGACCCGGTCTATCACAACTCGGTAAATTTGGACTGGGATGTCGCGCTCTCATTCTCATCCCTTCAGGCGCCGCATGAAAAAACTGAGCCCGCTGGTCTCAGGATGAAGGTGACATGGCTTTCAACTGCCAGGCGGTGCGCAGGTAGCACTCTGCAAATACCGGCGGAGCTGTCATGACCGTGCTAGGTCATTCGAACTGGCATTGGTTTCAGCGAGGAAGTGTTTGCAGAGCTGAAGGAGAAGCTGCCACAGGTCCTGAATGGCTGCAATGTCACATGCAGCGGGTTATGCGAGATGTCAGCCACGTCTTTTGCAAACAAAGCCTCGTTGGCTCCTGCATCATACTCTCTGTCAGAGGCACTCGTGGCTCCGGTTGGCAGATCGCAGCGGCTGGAGCTTCGATGCTTAGATGGATCAGGCACAGGCTTTCAACCTGCTGCATCGAGCGGGGTATGCAAGAAGCTACTTGTACAAGTAAGTCAGCAGCAGTCACCTTGCTGCAGTCCTTTGCACGCACTGCCACAGCAAAAGGTACGAACGCAGAGCTCAGCGTACACTTTGCCACGGTCATGCCAGAGGCCGCCATGTTGCAGCGGAGAGCGTAGTGTCCGGAGAATTGTCTAAGCATCAGTAAAGTCTGCGTCTCTTGTTTCTGTCTCCTCTGTGTGTCTCTGTGTCTCTGCGTGTTGCTATGTGTCGCTCGCTCTCTGAACTCTGAACCCAGATGTCTTTGAGCATCACGGCGGCTTCGGCCACATGCCTCGCGCCCAAGAGCGAGGCCTGCTGCATTGCAGAGCAGAGTCTGGTGGTGGGGTGGATGGTACTGTAGTAACCTGGCATTAATTATATTAATTTGTTGTTAACTTAGGATCAACTTGGGAGTAGCTGAGTAACGTGGTAGTAACCTGGTAGTAACCTGATGGTCAGAGGTTGCCGCCACCTTGGTTGATGTTGTGATCCGACCAGGCTTGGAGTTTCAATCCATTTGTGGAGGCCACTGCGTGGTTCTGAGAACAAGACGGACGAACAGTGATAGACTGATCCCTTCGAACCTTCGAACCGGCAGCATGTGCTCCCAAGGTTCAGAGCCGGGATCCACGGCTCGGTAGTGTTGGACGCAGTGCCAAGGTGACAGCGGCACAGCCAAGCTCCCAGGATGTTGAGAGTTACTGATGGAACCAGGGTTGGATTCAGAGCGGCTTGCTGCTCCTGCTCTGCTTCAAATTGCTTCAGGACTGAGACTCTGACCAACTGCCACGCAGATCCACACTGGACGCAGCCAATGGTCCTCAAGCTCGTGCCGGAGCCCGCGGACTCAGAATCCTTGGCTGCCGTAGCTGCAGATCGTACTTCCGGTGGCGTTTGATACTGAGAGCTCAGACCCCATACACCCCTTTGTTGGACCCGAAGCCCGTCCCGTCAACTCCCCAAATCCTGTAGACTATAGACCAGTCCGAGACATTCAAGGCCTGGGCTCTTCTTGCGCATCGTGGTTTGCTCGGAGGCGCTTGGTGTGACGAGGACTGGAGAGGCACTGGCGTGGGGAGCCGACTGGAAAGTGAAAATCGCCGGCAAAGCCACAGGGCCTGGGACGAGCTCGCCGAGCTCGTCATGGAGCTGCCGGAGGTGCTTCTTGCATATTTCTGCATCGTGTCGTGCTCATTATTCGTCGTTGTTTCAAATGCCGGCTGTTCATTTTCCATCACTTTCCCCACAGCCCATGAGCGCAAGAAGGCTAAGTTCACGACAGTTCACGCAGGCATTGAAACTTGCACAAGGCTCGGTGGAGTTCCAGCCTCGTGTCTTTTGCCTCCTCGAGCATCTGCGCCTGTACGGAGTAGCATAGCGATGTGTTCGTGTCCATTCCGGTGCACCGAGGCGCAAGTTTACGCTGACGAGGCCACTGAAGCCTTGAGCATTCGGACCGCAAAGGCGTGGTGTCGGCCTTTTCTAGTGCGCCGCAGCCATTGGATCCAAGCGATGTCGAAAGATTCGAGATGAAAGTGTGTTTAAACGAAGCATGTCCTCATATGCCCTCTGACAGTGGGATCTATGGACCTCCTACATTTGAGCTCTCGGCAGGTGATCTCACAAGATACCTTGGCTTGGTTTGGGCCTTTGTTGGAGAAGGAGCTCGAGGATGCAGAGGAGATAGCCGAGTGTACAGACTTTCAGATCGACTGGGATGACACGGAACACCTTGCAGAAGAACGACCGATCGAGGACAACGGCAGAAGAGCACTGGCCCAAATGTGTCGTGTAGAGACTCTTGAGGTGCCAGATGGCTTGGGCAATAAAGTCTCTGTGGAATACACACGGTCTTCCTGCGCCACGGCTCACGGAAATGCCATTTGGGCAGCATCTCTTGCTGCTGCCCTTCATGTCGGCAAGCTGCTGATGCCCACCCTTCACTGCGATGTATCCAGGAATCATTCAGCAGACTTCCTCCGCCAGGTGCGCATCATCGAACTGGGTGCTGGAATCGGCATTCCATCTCTTTTCCTTGCGCGCCTGCTTGGTGACCTGCAGAAAACCCACAAGCTCACTTCCAGTGAGAGTTCTGAGGCTTCCCTTTCCAAGCAAGTTTATATAACGGATGCACGCTCGTACCACAACCTTCGCCAGATTCTGTTGTCCGTTTTGCGACATCCACACCTGCAGCTGTTGCAAGTAGCCCCGCACAACTGGGGAGAAGTCGACAGCTCCGGAACCATGTATTTTCTGCATGAGCAATGTCAGGGTGTAGCTTTTGACTTCGTGGTAGCTGCAGATTGCATTTACAATCCTGACTTTCATGAGCCATTGCTGGACAGCATATGCCACGTAATGACAACTCATGGCCGTGCGATTGTCACCTTCTCGTTGCATCCCAACACTGAGGAGGGGAACGTCTGGGCTTTCTTTGATTGTGCACGGCGTCGAGGCCTCGATGTACACAACCCCTTGGAGGATGCACAGGACTTCGAGCCCTTGATGCAGGAACTTGGCCTTTGGCAGGCAAACATGGGGAAGCGCTACATGGTACACATCCGAGAGCTCTCCTGGAACAGTACTTAGGGCCGTGAGAGTCTGGGGGTCGCAGCCGGAGAGTGCTGCACTGGAACTGGGCATGAGCTCAGAGCTCCCGCACATCGTAGCCGACTCATGGGGCGATCAACATCGTGATTGCCTCGTGCCGCTGCGTTGCCACACAGAGCTACAGGGCCTCCCAAGACCATGCGAAGCTAGCCCACAGGTAGAATACAGTGCGGCGCAGAGTTAAAAGCAGCATCTTGCTCAGTTGCCTGTATTTTGACCACCTTTGCCACGTTCTCGTAGTGAATTTCTGGATCTCTTGCTTCCATTCCGTTCCAGTCTAGTCCACTGTCCAGGCTGATTGACATGAAGCGCCACGGGGAGTCTGAAATCTTCCTAAGTTTTGCGCAGGCCGCATGGTCCATGGCATTGCTGCACTGCTACACCTATGGAGCTCTCAGCTGCCAGGTTGGCGGCAACGTTTCCGTTCTCTTCTCAGCTGTTGCGTACTTCGCAGACTCAGAGTCAGTGAGCTGTCGCAGCTGTCGCAGCTCTCCTTGAGGCGTCAGCGTTTGAGGCCGGGCACGATTTGCCCTTGCTGGAAGGAGGTGTTCGCCAACCCCAAGTGCAGGCCATCCGAGCTGTGCCCGATGCTTTGCCAGGGTTTTGCCAGCTCTGCCTTCCAGATTGAATGTCAATGCGGCAAGTCCGACACCTGCTGCTTGAGAATCCATGTGCCTGTAGGACTGTAGGAGAAACCGAAGCTGTCACTGCCATGGCCAGGTTTCAATTGACGGCAGCCCCATCGGGGCAAAGTCAAGACACCCGCGCCTTGCTTAGAAAGACTTCTCCGACTTGTCTGAAGTTTACTTCCCACTTGAGTTTGGGACTTGAGTGTCGAGTGGGAATTAGAAGCTCAGCAGTCTTGGAGGACACTGCAGCGTCCAATCGCTGCTGGTTACTCTCTACCACCGCAGCCCTCTGTGCAAGGACATCCTGCACTCATGGCTATCATGGACAAAGTCACTTCGCCACCGTTGCTCCTGGAGTCAGAGCCAGGAATGCAGCACTTGGGGCAGGTTCTTCAAGCACATAGCCAGGTCCCTCTCACCGTTGCACGTGGTGCATGTGGGCATGCGAACCATGGGTCGCATGGGTCGCTATTGAAGCCAGTGAAGGAGGTGCCAGACATCATCGCGCAGCGATATGGGCCGCCACAGCAGCCAAGGCTGGAGCCTGAGCTTTGAGTTCGCACGAGGGGTTCATCCTAAAACCCTCGCCAGAAAGTTGACACATGGGGACATGTGGTTGGGGAAGAGGCATGTCTGAGGAGGGAAAAGTTGCGCCAAAGCATATGGGAAGGGACAGCGGAAGGAACCGTGACGAATGGAGAGATTCCTGGCTTCTCAACAATTCACTGCGCTAGCCTTGCTGTATCCAAACTGTTGCAAGAACCAGATTCGAGCGAAAGGAGATGTGTGATGTTAGCTGGGCAGAATTGCGATTCCAATCGACATTGTGCCATTCAAGCATGTCTTGGGTGTTTCGACCGAAAAAAATGGTTCGACGGTACTCTTCAGCCCCGTACTTGTATGTAGGCTGGGTTTTTTGGTGCAGAGGCCTGACCGGGCATGTTTCCAGCCATTCGGCCACGGGGAAGGTTCCAAGACCTTCCTCCACCTCCAGCACCGCGACAAATCTCATCGCCATCGCCGGAGGACCTTGGGAAGAGCGATCAAAGAGTCATATAAATTCTTATTACATTCAGAATGCCGCATACAGCACCATGTAGCCCGTAGATGCCCGTAGGACTAGAATCGGACTTGCTGAGGAGCTCACACAAGCTTTGCAGCAAGCTCCACAAGGCGCCATCGTTAAAGGGAACGTGCAGGATCCTGAGAATGGCTGTTGCGACTTTAGAGACGCGATACGACGAGTCTGTGAAGCCGAGGCCACTCAGCTTCTTCAACACTCCTAATCCTCATCTTGCCCCCAGCTGAGCATGGCCAGCATTGCATTGCTCCATCCCAATATCCGTGCGCCTTTCCAGGCCTGGATTGCTCGTCGGTGAAGCTTCCACACGTCTCTTGAGTCCTGCCACGAACTCCAGCCTGGAGAAGAACATGGACATCCAATGACGACCAATGTTAGCTGCCGGCGCAAAGCGGCAGATGACCGACGTTGGGGGCTTTGCTGGCAGAGGTTCTCGCTCGCAAGCTGATGACACGGCGGCCCCCCTTCCGCGATTCTGCGATGGGTGGCTGCTGGTAGTAGCTGCTGCTGGTAGTAGCTGCTCGTATGCGAGGAGAGGAGCTGATCAGCGACCGAGAGCCGGCATTCCAGCCTGGACGATCGCAAGGAAAGAGTCCATCAACTGAGAAGCTATCCGCAACGCATGACCAAGCTCTCAAGCTGCGCACAAAGGAGAGGTGGTCTGTTGTATCCGTCTCCACCACACCCGACAAGAGGCCTCGGGGCTTTTCCTCTTACAGGGTCGTTCCTGCCCTCCTGCAGGAGCAGGGAGTTGCGTTTCCTGCAGACCATCGGCTCAGGACATTCTCAGGCCACCTGGAGCATGCTCGAACAGCCTGTCAGAGTAAGGCAAGAACTGCGGCAGGTGTCTTGCGGGGTGCACGCGCAGCGTGCATCGAAGTGGGATTCGCTAGCAGATCTTGAGCACGTTGTGGTGTGTGCAGTGTCACGGCTTGCTTTGCATGTGCATGGTGCTTGTGGCAGTGCGAATGCTTTCATCACATGTGCGCATTGAACTTTCTCGCTGCGTGTGCAGCCATAATCAGCTGCTCGAATGCTATGTGCAGAAGATAGCAGCAGAAATCCTGTTTCACATCAGGTGTGCTCCAAGTTTTCTGTTTCCCTCCCTCCGCACCTGCAGAAAATCTTGGTTGTGGGAGGGGGGTTGAGGTTTTCGTCGCGACCTTGCAACAGGGCCTGCTAATGTAGGGCGTTTGTTGCCTTGCACTGATTCACTCGGGCTGGACTGTCCGTGGTTTAAAGGCCCTGGGTCGTCTCTTCGCCCTCACCAACGTGACAAACCTCATTGCGCTTGGGAGCAAAATGAAGGTTGCAGTCCGCTTGCTTCTTGTCTGCGTAAGAATCCCGAAAGAGTATCCTGGCGCAGCGGCGCAAAGTGAGAGATTTGATGGAATCTTGCGTTGTCATGTCTCGAAGAGCAGTGCAAGCAAGAGTAAATCGACATTGATGCGGCAAGTCAAAGTAAAATCCATAAGCCGTGCAAGAACAGGCTATGAAACATGGAATTTACGAGTTTGCTCAGCGTACTTGCGAGTCGCGCTCATTCAATCGGTCTGCAAGGCTGGAGAGGCTCACAGCATGAGCTTCCAGATGACCCGAACAAGCACACGATATGGGTCACACACACACACACACACACCAGGTCCAGCGGCAGTCACTCTCGCATGGGAGATATTGTACCGAATGCCGCATGCCACTTGACAAGCTGCGCGCGGATGGCGGAGCTTCTCAGAGCGCAGCTTGCGCAGGCCCATCGCCGAACGTAAGACGTGCAAGGAGAGGGCCTCCATGTCTCGGAGATCCCGAACAAAAAGCAGGGAGATCTCTCGAGGTACGACGTCGCCAGAAGGCGGCCGAGGCCAAGTTTGCAGCGTTGGAAAGCGAGGCCTGGAGCCCAAGCCAGAGACAGAGAGAGAGAGAGAGAGCGAGAGAGAGAGAGAGAGCGAGAGAGAGAGGGTTCGTCCCTATGCCCCAAAGAAAGAAAGAGAGAGAGAGAGAGAGAGAGAGAGAGTAGCCATTTTGGCTCAAGCCACGAGCGGCTCGAGCCCCAGCCATTGTCCGGGGGACAACTGAGAAGGAGGGAAGTGAGAGAGAGTGAAAGGGGGGAGGCCTGAGAGCTGACTCCTCTGCCCCTGCGCCCGCGCACCGCCATACGAGCCCACTTACCTGTTTGCAAAACTACGCGGGGGCATCGCGAAGGTCCGGGGCTTTGAGATCGGAGGGGACAAAGCACGAGGTGATCGGCGCTGGCCGAGCTGCCCCACTACCACCGCTGAGGCGTGCGGGGGACATTTTGACCTGCTACCTGAAAGCCATCGGCGGCCTACGCGACTTGCTCGGCGAGGGGGCGATTCCGCGCATCCTGCAGCCCGCCAGGGACTTTGTCAACTCAACGTACGTGACTTGGGCAGCGACACCGTGAAGGATAACTATGTCTGGTGGCAGTGGAACAACTGCAAGCGAGGGGGCATCACCCGCCAAGAGGAAGGTGGTGGACCTCGAGCCGGGGGCGGAAGTTGAGGTGGTGGAGCAACAGGGGGGGATCACCCTTGCTACCCTTCAAGCAACCCTTCAGGGGGAGCTCCGCGCCAACCGGGCAGAGATCAAGCAAGCTGTGGGGGGAGTGCAGAAAGAGATGGTGGAGCGCATTGCCACGGTGGAGACCGAAGTCACCCGCCAGCTCAAGACCACGCTACAACTCCTGCAGGAGCTCACGGCCAAGCAAGACAAGCACGCGGCGGGGATCGAGGAGCTCATGGGGGGCCAACACGACCTGGAGAACAAGATGGGCAGCCTCACGGAAAGGGTGGAGAAGCTGGAGGTGAAAGCCCAACAAGGGGGCCTATCGGTCCAAAGCACCACCACGACGGAACATGGAGATGGGTTCGGGGGACGCCGAGTGCCGGCACTCATCGTGGGGGGCTGGAACGACGACACCACTGCGGGGGACGTCCTGGAAAAGGCGCAAGAGGCGCTGCGGCTGCTAAAAATCGACATCGACTACCAGGACATGTTCGTGCCGGGGGTCCGCAGAGGCTTTGGGCTCATCCCGCTCAAGGGGCCGAGGTCTGGAGAAAGTGATGAAGGACACCGACAACGCATCCAAGATGCCATCACCAAGGTCCGAAACGCCAAGATGCAGACCGGCCACGTGAGAGAGGACACGGGGCAGCCGCGCTACATGTTCCTGGCCATCTCACAACCGCCGGAGCGACGACGCCGTGCCAAACTCGCGGCCAAGGTGAAGAGATGCATCCTGGAGCTGGGTGGCGAGCACGCCCACCTGGAGGCGGAGTTCGCGACGGGGACCGTGTGGTACAAGGGGCTTCGGGTATCGTCGGCAGCTGGCCCGACGAAAGAAGGAGCAACCGAAGCGGGGCCCGGATGGGTCGACACCAAAGCCATGGCAAGGGGGCTGAAGATCCTCCCGGACAAAGTGCAGCAGCAGTGGGAAGGGCTGGCGCCCAGCCTACGCTGACGGAGAATGGGGAAGAAGAGCGCTTGGTTTCACCTTGATGGCGGGGGAGAACATTCCCACCGCCCAGCACTGACATTGCTCACCTGGAACACTGGGGGGGCCGGGGGGCGAAAGATCCTCGACACCCTCCAGATGCTCGCGGATGACAGAATGCTGAACTGCTCCGCCTTTGCGCCAGCAGTCGTGGCCCTCCAAGAGGTGATCTGCGACCCAGGGGCCCACATGGAGAGTTCAAAAAACTGGACACTCATTATGGGCAAGACAGAAACTGAGTGGAGAGGGACAGGCATAGCGTACACCACAGCGCACTACCACCACACCCACACCCAACACTTAGAAGGGGCGACCGCGCTGATCTTGAGAGGGGGAGAACCGTCGAACACGGGGGTGACGCACAACACGCACACGGCCATGTGCATTGGGGTCCTCTCCGTCCATCTCCCGCACCATGCCACAGCCGCGCGCACGGAACAGCTACTTTCCACTTGGGGGGCCAGTTCGGCGCTCTTCAATGGGCATTCGCTGTTGGGGGGGGACATCAACGAGACCTTCTACGACACTGAAATAGGGGCCATGGCGACCACTGGCAGGGGGGAAATTGTGCTGCAATGGCTTGCCGAACAAGGACTATGGCTCCCGGGACAAGAGATGCACATCCCAACATACCACCCCTACAACCTGGCCATGAGACCGCGAAGACTGGACTATGTCGCCGTGAAAGGGCTGCCCGGGAGCGGGGGTCGAGTGCACCAAGGGTCCAGAGATATCGTCCAGTCGGACCACGACGCAGTCTCGCTCAAGGTGGATAACCCGCTTCCGCCGAAGCTGAAAACCACGACTACGTGGGGGGGGCGTGTCCTCAAGTCTCCCGACCAAGTGGAAGTGGCAATGCGGAAACCACGCAAAGGGGGACCACACTCCATGATTGCAGACGTCGCCAAGGAGATCACGATACCAGCACCGCAAGGAGGTGAACCCTGGAGTGAGAGCGAGGCTCTCAAACAGCTGAGGCGCGAAGCCCGCCGAGCACCGTGGGGGGACCGAAGGCGGCTCTGGAAATGTGTCTGGACCACCCTCAAGCAAGAAAGACGAGCATGGATGGCACGCAAAGTCCAGGCGGCAGCGCTCATGAACTGGGGGGAACTGCGTGATCTGGGGCGTCTGAGACAGCCCCCGCACTGGGAGCACCACCTCACGGCAGATCCGGATTGGCAGCGTCACCTGGCCCAGCACTTCAAGGGGGTCTTCGCCACAGTTCCGAGAGCAGAGGTTAGCGAAGCGTTTTGCGGCATCAAAACGAAGCTTCGGGGCATGTGCAAACACACGCGATGGCAACCCTTTGACCTGGACGAGCTCAATGCAGCGACTGCCAAATGGGAAGAAGAAAGGCCACCGGGGCGCTCGAAGCACTCCAGGCCATGCTGCAGGATGCAACGTGGGCGGAGCGACTCCTCTACCTGTGCAACGACATCCTATATACAGGGAAGCTGTATGGCAACATGGGGGAAGGCATCACCATCCTGCTCCCCAAAGAAACGCAGCCGGACGAGTGGGGACAGACGAGGCCTATCACCCTGTCCAGTGCCACACTGAAGTGGTTCTCCCAATTACTATTGGGGAGAAGCAGCCATCATCTGGACCCGCTGACAACACACCAGTGGGCGTGGAGGGGCAAGCAGGCTGAAGAGCTCATCCTGGTGCTACGCAAAGTCACCCGGGTAGGCATGGACTGGAAGCTCCCCACGTGGATCGTGAAGCTGGACGTTAAGAAGGCCTTTGACAGTGTCTACCAGCAGATGGGGGCAATGATCGCGCACTGGGTCGGCGAAGTAGGGGGGCAGCCGTGGGAAGCACATGCATGGATGGCCCTGCTAGAAGCCGACGTGGTGAACCTCTTTGTCGGGGGGCAAAAGACGAGCATCGAACAAACGACGGGAGTACGCCAAGGAGCACCCGATGCCCCCGTGCTATTCGCGGCACTTGTTGGAAGAGCACTCCAGCGAGCCTGCATTCCTCCCCCCTCCGGGGGGAGAAAATCGCCAGAATGTCCCACTGACTCCGGGGCCTTTATGGATGACACATATATCTGGGGGCACGACCCAGAACAACTGCAGAAAAAGCTCATCGAGGTGGAAAAGAAACTGCAAGCCGATGGACTGCGAGTTCACCCCAAGAAGACGGCCATCCTCACCAACTCAGGGGACAAGCGGCGATTCAGAGTGGGTGGAGACTGGGTTGAACCCATGCAGGATGAGGGAAGCTTCAGGCTGCTGGGGACCCCTATAGCCTTCAAACACCAGGTCTCCCTCCTGATTGCAGAGATGCAAACCAGAGCACGCAAAGCGTACTACGCCCACCGGAAAGAGCTCACAGCGGAAGCCCCACTTGAGCCCCGACTCAAGCTGCTGCTCGTCTATGTCCGACCCGCAGCATTGTGGGGGTGCTCTGCGTGGCCACCTCAAGATACGCTCTTGAAAGCAGCTAACACATGTCAGCTGCAGTACGTCAGGAACGTCATGGGGGCCAAAAGAAGACCCAATGAGCTGTGGGTCGACAGATCACTGCGAGGGGCCAGGGCTCTCATGTGGAAAATGGGAGTGCCGAGATGGTCGGGGCACGTGCTCAAACGGATCTGGGGGCTCTGGGGGCACATCGCCCGACAACCGGGGCTCACCCGCAGCATGCTCGAATGGAAAGGCCAGAAGTGGTGGAAAGCCGAGCAGGCGCGACCGCAAGGACAGCGCCATCCGGGCAGATTCAACCCGAACCAAGACATTGAGAAAGCCGTCGGGGGGATAGGGGGCGTTGACTGGATGGACCGAGCGGGGGACAGACAGTGGTGGCAAGCACACGAGGCGGACTTCGTGGCAAAGCATGATCCACCCTGGACCAGTGGAAAGCAGCTGGGACTGGGGAACCTTGCACCCAACAAGCCCATGGGGGGGGGAAGGGGGGCAAAGGGGGGGCACAAGCAGAGGAAACGAGCCGCATGCCTGGCAATCGCGAATGACCTCTGCTGACGGGCTAGCGAACGGAAGGGGGATGTGTGATGAAGGGTTGCGGTTGCGCCCAACCCCCTCCCTTCGAACCCCAATCCCGCCCAAACAGGCCCAAGGGTGTGCACACCGACTGAGCCCACACATACACCGGGGGGGACGGGGGGGCATGCACGCACGCGCAAACCACCCACGCTGCACCTGGCCCCACCGCACTCACCACCGCCCAGAAGACAGACAGAAGAAGACGCCCAAACCCTCAACTGCAACAACAACAGCAGCAGCAGCATGACACGAGGGCATGTGAGCTGTGAGCCTGCTGCATGTGTGCTTGCTTGCTGTGTGAACGCTGTGTGTTTTACCTCACCGAGCCGCCGCGCCCTCCTCTCACAGGAGCACTGAGTGCGTAGT